AGGGAAATGGTTCACTGAGCACAGATGATGCTCGTGAAAGTTGAGTAACAAATGATGATTTATGAGTAGCAACCGATACATTTTGTGTAGCGTTTTGCGATGCGATACAAGGGAAATGGTTCACTGAGCACAGATGACACTCGTGAAAGTTGAGTAGCAAATGATGATTTATGAGTAGCAACCGATACAATTTGTGTAGCATTTTGCGATGCGATACGAGGGAAATGGTTCACTGAGTACAGATGACACTCGTGAAAGTTGAGTAGCAAATGATGATTTATGAGTACTGTAGCAACCGATACAATTTGTGTAGCATTTTGCGATGCGATACGAGGGAAATGGTTCACTGAGTACAGATGACACTCGTGAAAGTTGAGTAGCAAATGATGATTTATGAGTAGCAACCGATACATTTTGTGTAGCGTTTTGCGATGCGATACGAGTGAAATGGTTCACTGAGCACAGATGACACTCGTGAAAGTTGAGTAGCAAATGATGATTTATGAGTAGCAACCGATACAATTTGTGTAGCATTTTGCGATGCGATACGAGGGAAATGGTTCACTGAGTACAGATGACACTCGTGGAAGTTGAGTAGCAAATGATGATTTATGAGTAGCAACCGATACAATTTGTGTAGCATTTTGCGATGCGATACGAGGGAAATGGTTCACTGAGCACAGATGACACTCGTGAAAGTTGAGTAGCAAATGATGATTTATGAGTAGCAACCGATACAATTTGTGTAGCATTTTGCGATGCGATACGAGGGAAATGGTTCACTGAGCACAGATGACAGTCGTGAAAGTTGAGTAGCAAATGATGATTATGAGTAGCAACCGATACAATTTGTGTAGCATTTTGCGATGCGATACGAGGGAAATGGTTCACTGAGCACAGATGACAGTCGTGAAAGTTGAGTAGCAAATGATGATTTATGAGTAGCAACCGATACAATTTGTGTAGCATTTTGCGATGTAATACAAAGGAAATAGCTCACCGAGTACAGATGACGTTCGTGAAAGTTGCAGTTTACACCGTAAAGCTTAAATTATAAAGCCCAAAAACAGACAACTTCCGGGATTTGAAATTTGGGGTTTGGTTTCTTAAATTACGGGTACTCAGGTATCCATGTTTTACCTCAGTAGGGTGCCCTGTTCCCGTACAACCCGTAAACGCACACCACAATTGAAGTCGCCATGCGCCACACGATTTTTGTTTCTCCATCGACAAGATACAATATCCTCACGCCATCTGTAACAAAAAAAAATTGCCTCTTCACCTCCCAAATTGCATTAACAAGAAAAGGTCCTTAATCCTCTCAAAAAAATGACAAATTAGAGCAGCTGTGTTTCTGAATGCATGGCAGTAATAAATTATATGCCATTCATTAATTGGCGAAACATTTCGGTCCATTGCACTGAATTATTAAATGTCTCACTCACTGTGTGTGGAACACCTGTTTTTAACACTATTCAATTCAAAGGTCTTTGAAAGTGTCCTTGTCATGTGTAGTTTTTTTTTTCTGTGGACAAACTGTGAATGTCCTGATTTTTTCATCCGGCCCGGATCATTTGACAAGAAGCTTTGGGCTGATGGTACGGTATGAAGGCATGCAAGTTTTCCTCGGATCCGCTGATTTCCCCGCTTATTTTTACTTCTCATGAATGCCATTACAAACTAAAAAACATTGTACGAAGTCTTGTGTGGTTTGGAATTTCATCGTTTTCCTAAGTTCCCAGTTGCATGCCTGTGTGTGGGTTCAATGAGAAGCATTGCTGACGATTGTGTTTGACATCATCCTAAATCTCTCGCTGTTTTGATTATTCTGTTTATTCTTACGGAACGTGTACCATGTTATTTGAGGATTTAAAAAAAAAAACACTGTGACAAGGCAGGGTATCAGGCAAGATATTGCTTCTGATGCCCAAACTTCTTGATACTAAAATCTTAATACTAAAATCATGTTATTGGAGTGGGACCCCTCTAAAGGGAAAATACAACATTTGCAAACATCAAAAAATAAAACTACCAAATCATTTTGAAATACCTTGCTGGACTGTTAGTGAATGACAGTGTAAAGCATCCTGTAAAATCATGGCACCTGGTATACTGTCATTTTCAAGAAAAGTGGTATTTTTGTATCAATTTCCAACGCTGGTCGGCCGACCAGCGTTGAAAAAAACTGGCTTTTTTTCAAATACTGGCCCCAATTGACCATCGCACTTGTTTGCAATCGATTACACACCTATGAACGGGTACAAGCCAGCTAGACTGGTTCCCTGACCTTACAATTCCCCAATGTATGTAAACTGCTCTGTTTCTTCTTATAATGGAGTCAGGGAACCAGACTACAGGAAAATGATTGTTTTTCTTGGTTTTTATAGCATTTTCAAACCCAAAACCTCAAAAAAGTCAGTGTAACTATATTTGCTATATATTTCCAACCCCCCATTCCATCCATTTCTGAAAATTACAACAAAAGCAAATGATGTATATTCCCTTTAATTTTTCTAATTGTCTTATTGTTGGTCACGAGTGTCCCTTTAACCCTAACCCCCTAGGCCCTTGTTGCTTACAACCATCCTCAGTCCTCCAAAATCCTCCAAAATTTTGCAAAATTTTGCAACTCCGCCTAAATTTTGCAAAATTGTCAGACAGTCCTGCCTCAAAATGCATTCATCCTCAATCCTCCAAAATCCTCCTCATCCCAAAATTTTGCACTCGTGTTTAAATGAAGGATAACCAACGCCAAATCCTTCAAAATCGTCACACGGTCCTGCCTCAAAATGCATTCATCCTCAATCCTCCAAAATCCTCTTGTGCTTCAATCACCATTCATCCTCAATCCTCCAAAATCCTCATGTGCTTCAATCACCATTCATCCTCAATCCTCCAAAATCCTCATGTGCTTCAATCACCATTCATCCTCAATCCTCTAGAATCCTCCAAAACCGCCAGGAGGATTTTGGAGGAGCGAGGTGGGTTAGTTCCTAATTGTCTTATTGTTGGTCGCGAGTGTCCCTTTAACGTTGTCTAGTCATGACCTCCCGGGGACGACCAACCGCAAACCAGTTATCCAATCCTGGCCCCAATCTGGTTCCATTTGATTCCGAAATAACACCGGCCTCCGATTTCCCCCCCCCCCCCCCCCCTCAACTACTTTATCTCCATTATATTATATACACGGTCCTAGAGCTAAAGAGCGCCAACTATGTGAAAAATGTAAACCAATGTCTGGGTCATATTGTGCAGTGTTTAGCTGCTCTGATGACGTGAACTTGTCCTTCCCCTACTGGGAATATTATGGCCCTATGGTACAGGTAGTGTTTAAAACTGTCATGTACACGTACATGTATAATTTACATGTCCCATTTTTTACTAGCCTACAGTACATGTGCAATGTAAAACGGTAAATTCATCAGTGAAATTTCTCAATACAGTGGAACGCCGCTATACCGAACATTTGGCTAAACCGAACATCATCCTTGGCTCCCGGTTTTAACCCTAACTCCCTAGGTATTTTTGCTAAGATGGAACCTCAATCCTGCAAAATCCTCCCATTGGCCTCATGGAAAACTAGCATATAGCCTCAATCCTGCAAATTCCTCCATTATTTCTTGAATGTGGTTCTTGGAGGGATGACCACTGCCTCACTCCTGCAAAATCCTCCGGCTATGTCTGTCAATATGTTGAGGCTTGTGACATCCTGGAGCAGTACGGAGGATTTCAAGCTTAATCAAGGACTCAATTTATGCATGGCTGAGCATAAACAACACAAGGTCCTCCAAAATCAGCAACGCACTTTTGCCATGTAACCTCAATCCTGCAAATCTCTCCAATTTGCAAAAAGGATTTTGGAGGATTTGGGATGGTTAGGGTTAATGTACAGAATGCACCAAACATTGTTGTTGAAAAAAGTCAACAGATTAACAAAAACATTTACCAGTTGTACATTAAACACTATTTGGGCCACTTTTAATTCCCGAACATCAAACGACCCATAGTTACATCGCGTTTGATTGTTGAAGAGCGATAGATGGCTATTATTTCCCCAAGGAATAGAAGAGAAAACCACTCGTGAGAAATGCCAGTTCACTATTGGTCAAAAGAGGGTACCGGCGGTTAAAAATCGCTATACCGAACGATCGTTATTACGAACACTTTCTGTGGATCCAACAATGTTCATTATACTAGCGGCGTTCCACTGTTCATTGTAATTGAAAAGTTAATGGAATACATGTATTAAACAAAAAAATACGTACAAAAGTTTGGAGCCTTGATAAAAATAAGAGTTGTTTATGCTTCGCCCTGCATACATTAAGGCCTAAAAAATACAATGTACTTGAAATCATCCACACTACCGGTACTCGTGGATATCATCGGCACTGCCTTAACATATCAACAGTGATTGCTGGAGGATTTTGCAGGATTAATGCAGTGGTCACCCCTCCTACACATGTATGAATGAATTCAAGAAATAACAGAGGATTTTGAAAGATTGAGGCTGTATCTAATTATTACATACCGGTAGAGGCAGTTGGAGGAATTTGCAGGATTGAGGGTTCATCCTAGCAAAAAGGCCTAGGGGTTCGAGTTAAAAGTTGTGCTATAAAATTCAGGTTCTATTCTCGTGTCATTTACCTCAAAATGCTAATTAAGTAAAAAGTAAAGTCTGTCCCGAGCCAACGTGGCTCATCAGGCCGGCGTTTATCTCCGGTTTCGGTAGCATGAAACGACTGAGAATATTTCTGCTCCCCCTGGATGGGATGCAAGTGCATCGCAGGTTACTCCCCAGCTAATGCTGGTACCCATTTATACTCCTGGGTGGAGAGGGGCAAGTGGGGGTGCAGTGCCTTGCCCAAGGACACAATATATGACCAGCGGCTGGACTCGAACCCCGGACCCTCTGATCATGAGTCACGAACCCTAACCACTAGGCCACACACTCCCCAAAATGCTAATTACCCAAACAAATTTCCTTTTTTTTTTTCTTCCAGATAATTGCGCCAGTGGATAGTTTGATGCTCGTTTGATGTCCCTTGTTAGAATGCCGGAGAGAGACAATGGGCAGGAGCTAGCACTGAGAAGTGCCATCAACCAGGCCCAGCGAGACCTCCACGCAGAGCCCGACACCCCCTCCCACATCCTGAAAACCGTCCAACAGCAGGTCAGATTATTTGAAGATTTGAAACATTCGACCAATCACATGGCAGGATTTGAAGGGTCAAAGTTTTTAATATTGGCCAATTACCTTTGAATTGTTTTTTTTTCCCAAACAAGTTGGATTGTGAGCATTGTTGATTATCAGCCAATCAGATTCTGACTTTGAGAATCGTTAGCCAATCAGATTCTGACATGGAGAATCGTTAGCCAATCAGATTCTGACATGGAGAATCATTAGCCAATCAGATTCTGACATGGAGAATCGTTAGCCAATCAGATTCTGACATGGAGAATCCTTAGCCAATCAGATTCTGATATGGAGAATCATTAGCCAATCAGATTTGACCTTATTTAATCCATTTGTTATCATTTGCATATCTGTCTGAAGTGCGTTGGATGTTTTATTCATTTTCGTTCTGTGTCATTGTTTCAGGATTTTTAGATTGACATTACATCAGGTTAAATATAAGTGGTAAGTTGTCTATAAGTTTATAAGGGCTGCCATTTTTAATTCAGTTTTAACCCTTTGGTGCAAGTTAACCACAAGAGCTGTAGCATATCTCACACCCATTTTTGTTAGTATTTTTTTTGTATGGTGTTCGTTTAGTTTATTTCTGTTTTAAAAGTTTCATTTTGTTTTGTAATCGGTGGTCTTTTTTATTCTGTTTGTGGGTGGGTATGCGTCAGGGTATCTGTCAGCCTTTTTGACATTACTACCCTTACATGTACATTGTATGCACATGCACATGTACGGTAAGCTGTAATTTGCATGCCACTACGGTATTTTCATGCTACATGCTTTCTTTAATGCCCGCCTGCACATTGTTTCCCCCCATTTTCTCAATCTAATTTAACAATAATACCGGTACATACATGTACATGTACATTGTACATGCAACATTCAAACTCAAACTTTCAAAGACACTCTGATGCAGTTAAAATTCAGTTACATGTACATTCTGTTTTCGCTTGGATTATTGTTATTTTGTCGATGACAGATACTGGTACACCTAATTTTTGTTAACATGTACATGTATGTACTGTAAGTAGCATTTGTTAATAAAAGATATGAAAGAATACTTACATACAACCTTTGTTTACTAACTTGTTTATTTTGATTTTTTTTTTTACTGTTTTCACATGAAAAGCACTGGATTTTTCCTGTTTTGTTTTATCAATTAATAATTTTTAATCAAAATGTGAGACATTTACGCTGCTTACGTAATTTTTGCGGCATTTATAACATTTGTAACGATGTTTACATGTAGATGCTTTTCAAACATGTACATAAACATGTAGTTTATAAATAGTACATTGTTGCACTGAGTACCCGTAGTTTATTTGGCGTCTTACCCCGATGCTGCAACCGTGCTCTATGCTTAATAATTTCATCACATTTACTCCATTTTTTTTGTTCTTAAATAATTAAATTTCATGCGCAGCAGTTGCATAAACATTTTCGGAAATAGTTTGGCACTAAAACTTTGTTGAATCATTTGCGCTCACGCATCCGAAATTGAGCTGACATTTTTATTTGCGAGCATTGAAACTTTTGCGCAGGCTAGTGCCCACGCTGCATTAAACCGTAATCCCTTTAAAATTGACTCACATTAACAACAAATTTGGTTGGAATGTAATCCAATATTGTGCAAATCCGTTGCATAATAAGATGAACTGAAACCACTTATGCATGATAAATACATGGACACAGTAATCCAGTACGGGTAGGAGTGATTGAAATATGAAGGACGTTTAGGTAAACACTGAAACGTTTACTTGAAAAAAATTCTAAATCTGTTTACAAATTTTCCAAAACATTGAAACGAAACCCGAACTTTAAAACGGAATCTACATGTACATGTGCCTTCAAGCTGTCTTCCTTTTGAGTTAAACAAACATTGGAAGCACTGCAGTGATTACATTTGGGGTACATGTACCGGTAGTTAAAGGGAAAATACAACATTTGCAAACATCAAAAAACGAAATGATCAAATTATCACGAAATACCTTACTGAATTGTTAGGGACTGACAGTCTAAAGCATCCTTTAAAATCGTGGCTCCTGGTGGGCTGACATTTTCAAGAAAAACTGTATTTTTCCAACGCTGGTCGGCCGACCAGCGTTGGAGAAAACTGGCTTTTTTCAAAAACTGTTCATAATTTTTCATATTTAGTTATTCTGACTTTTCTTTGCAATTGATCACACACCTGTGAAGGGGTACATGTACAAGCCTGCTAGACTGATTCTCTGACCTTACAATTCCCCAAAGTGTATTAATTGCTTCGTTTCATCTTAAGTGGGGTGAGGGAACCAGACTACAAGAACATGATAGGTTTTCTTGGTTTTTCCAGCATCTACATGTACATGTACAAGCCCAAAACATGAAACTAGTCAGTTTAACCATTTTTGCTATAACATACTAATCCTCCAATCCATTTATTTCTGAAAATTGAAGCAAAAGCAAATGTTGTACATTCCCTTTATGTTTTTACTTTTTGAATGACATACATATTGTAATGGGTACATGTACGGGTAGGTGTCAACATTTGTGAAACGGCTAAACGTTTAAACATAAACCGTATTTATAAAATTTGCTAAGCATTTACAAAATTGAACACAAAGTCACATTCTTACTAAGCATTCACCTCAAAGAGATCAGTTTTCAAGTCCTGATTCAATGTTTACATGTAGTTGGTCTAGAAACTACTGTACCGGTACATGTAGTTCATACATACATGCTCATGTCTACATATTCTTTAAAATCTACAAACCTTCTTTTCTGGGTTTGATGGGCATTTCTGTGGATGACACGTAAGACATGACAACTTGTTTCAATTAACATTCAAATTTAATAAATGCTTTAAAACCAATGCTACCCTACTAATCCGGTTAGTATTGCAGTTCTAACAAGATTTAATAGACGTTTCATTTGCAGATTATTTTGAAAATTTGGTTTTTTGGAAGGTACCGTAGTACCCCAGTAGCACAATTCAGCATGTGCATTACTCACTTTATATACTGAATTCACACACTGAATGATTTTATTCAGCAATGAGTTTAGCAGGGAAATGCTCCACGTTGTGTTATGTTGTAAAATTGTTGTCTGGTTTGGTGTACCTGTCGGGAAAAGCCTATGGGCTCCGTGCACGAACAAGAGAGGGCGCTATTTACCACTTTCCAGAGTCCCATGGACGGGACACACCTTGTATACGTACTAGTTTGCGCAGGTTTAGCGCTAAGTACTCACGACTTATTTTATTCTGAATGTGCAAAAAGCCATAGCGTCTTCATGTGAGCGTCAGGTGTCGGCGATGCGTTCGAATGTCTCTCCAAGTGGTTTCCCCCAACTCTCCCTTTTCTTGCCGTTGAGGGGGTACTTGTTCACGGAGCCCATAATGCTTTGTGATTTGGACTTAGCTGTTTTGGTTAAATGTAGAGTTTCATAATTTGGTTGTCAATGAACTTGGTTCTTAATTGATTTTTCTTGAATTTGATCGACCAGGAAGAGAAGTTTGAGAAACTGACCCGAGAGTTGGACAAGGAGCGACAGAGCGTGCTCAACCAGTTTGAGAGAAGCCGCCAGGAGTCCGAGACCGGGACCTTCGCTAGTATAAGGTTAGTCTTGGCCCCAGACTGGGTCTTGATTTTGTTGATCATAATGGAGCCGGTCCTGACTTCGGCAAGCGCAGTTGAGCTGCTGCCATGTGAGGGAGCTATACACAAGATGAACCAAATCAAATCGGGGGACTTTCGCATAGGCCCTGAACATACCTCACTTGTGCGCTTTCTTGGGGAGTCAGGTTGGCGTAGCGGTTCTTTCCTCGCCTTCCACCGCTGTAACCCGGGTTCGAATCTCCCCATGGCCAACTTGTGGACTGAGTTTTCAGTCCCTACCTGATTCCGTGGGTTTCCTCAGAATGTTCACCTGGGGTTTTCCTCCCACCTCTAAAACTGTACTTTCTTCTCATTGTCTTCTCTCCACAGGTTTCTTCATGCTTGCCAGCTACAGTGCCTAGGCAGCTTTTGAGGAATCCTTGGTTTAATTGCCAGAAAGAAATAAGTAATAATAATATTCAAGCAAATGCATGAGCGTGAGGTATGCTGGGAATTTATCGGGCCCCAGCGCCAAAGTTCCCAAGACTGGATTTCAGAAGGGGAAATGGAAACCGCCCGTCTACTCAAATTTGACTGAATAAGCACAATTGTTCTGAACACGTGGGTCAATTTCTAAGCTGTAATCTAAAGTTTTTTTCCAATTTTGTTCCCTTTATACAGTGAAACTGAGGACTCATTTTCCTTCCGCCGTTCGGCAGTCAACGAGTCCGTCCTCGAGAGCGAGAGTAGCGTGGACAGCAAGGCGTACAACAACTCTCATCTGATTGATTCTGCCCTGTAAGTTACATGTGACACGCTGTGAGTTTCAAATATATGATGCGATCAAGCTAAATGAATCCTTTTTCAGCAATTATGATTTTAAGATACAGCCCAAAATAGGTCAGTAGGGGTGGAAATGTCAAAAAAAAAAAAAAAATGGTAAAATCGGAAGGCTACACATGTTCTCTTTCATGTCAACTATTTTTTTTCCGGGAAAACTCACAGTAAAGTACGTAAAATGTGACATTTTTGCTAAGAGGTTAATATCCAATAACCTGAAATAATGCATGTTTATTGATGCTTAATAAACACTTCAATTTTGAATCGTTGATTTCTCTGTTTGATTTCTCTGTTTTCTTCTTTCTGATCTGCCTGTGTTCTAAGTCCCATAATTTCTGAACGGAAGGTCGTATTCACATGGGGTTTTCAACAAATATAAACTGAAAGATAGCTCTATTCAAAAATGTGGGGGAAAAAAACCCAAATTTTGATAAGGGCCGACACATAACTCATTTAGCTTGATTGCATCACGTTATTTGTCCATTCGAATATTGCCCATCAATTTACGCGTGAGACGTCTAGCAGTTTAGGATTACTCAGGATTCTGCCAAAACTTTTCTGTCGGGATTCATCTGATGTCTCACATGTCTTGACTGCGAAGTGTCAGTGGGATGCAATTAGATTCACCTGGTTAGTTGTTGGTCTGTGTATTAAATTTTGTTTTTATATATTTTTTGGTTCTCCAGAGACGCATTGCGTGAACACAAAGTCATGGATACCGGAGACAGCATGCACTACCCTGGTTACGGCAACGGACCGGACAGGAGCTACAATGGTAACGCTCCAAACTTTACTTTTTGGCTGATGTGATTTTAGATGTGGCAAAGCTAAAGTTGCCATGATAACTGTAGTCACAGATAAGGATAACCATGAAGCTGTGGTTTTCAAATTGCTATAATTCGTCAGTTCAGTGCGTGACATCACATAGCTGCAATCGGCTCAGTGAAAACGTGTCTCGGATGCTGAATTCAGGCCCAACTCAAAACGTGACTTAGCAACTTTTGATTTGAAAATCGAGATCCTAGAATATTGTTTTCTTGGAATATCACAGCATTCTCTGAGCTGAAAGTTCATCTTGAGATTTTGAGCACTTTTGTTGCTTCAGTTCAAACAAACATAATGCACTAATTACAAATGATGGACGCTACTTAGTTTAATGAACGATATAATTTCTTTGCTGTTGTGACAGACTATGGCAGCCCGGCAGTGAACGGCCACGCAGAATCCCCAGGACCCAAGCAACAAGTCAAGAAGACCACACAGGTAAGCAAATAAATAATCCAGGGGTGAGATTTGTTAGGATTTTTCCTGATTTGAGGATTTTCTTGTCAGGATTTTTTTCCTGATTTGTGGATATTTTGTCAGGATTTTTCCCGATTTCAAGACTTTTTGAAGGGAATTTTCGTGATTTCTGAGTTTTTTAAAAGAATCCCTTTGGAATTGCAGAGGTTTTTCTGTAAGCCTGTTTTTACCTATCAAGGTATATAGAATAAAAGAAATTGGTTTTAGGGGATGTCTTTAGGCAAAGTTGTACAAGCATATTCCATAGACCCTTCGTTGCTCTGGGCCTTCGGCGACCCTCAAATCCTCTATGGATTATTTTGTGGATATTTCATTTTCTCCCAATCTCACCCCTGATAATCTCATGCAGCTGCTAAGCTCAAGTTACTTATAAATCCATTGCAAGCCAAGCCCAAGTCAATCACAAGTCAATCAAAAAAAGCCTTGGTCGAGTCCATGACAAGTCAAGTTGGCAAGTTTTATAGTCACAGGTGACGAATAATGCCCAAGTCACAGTTATTGGCAGTGTTCATATTTTTTTCTGGTAATGAAAGCAAGGATTCGTCAAAAGCGCCCTAGGCACTGTAGCTCGCAAGCCTGATGAAACCTGTAGAGAGAAGACAATGAGAAGACATTTAGAGGTGGGAGGAAAAACCCAGAAGTATATTCTGGGGAATACCCACGGAATTAGGCAGGGACTGAAAACCCAATCCACATGTGGTCCGGGCAGGAATCGAACCCGGACCCGGTGGAAGGCGAGGAAAGTAACCTCTGCACCAACCTGACTGCTAGTCTTGACGCTCACCTAGATTGACTTGGGATGACTTCCGATTGATTGCAACTGTGTATATTAGTGTGCAGTACTCGGTATGTTAAAAAAAAAAAAATTCCCAGTTTTCATTTAAATTTGTTTTGGTTCATAGGTCACCATTACGAAGCACACGGTCCAAACCCGTATCGTCCAGTCCCCGGACGGCCGCGACTCCCCGGCCTACGACGGCCGCAACTACGACCGCCCGGCCGACTACCCCGCCCACCCCGACGACTACCGCGGAAGCAACGAGTCCCCCTACCCCGGCGACCAGTACGATGGCAACAGACAGTACAACAAGACGCCCTCTATTGACGGCAGCGACCGGCCGGGCTACCGCGGCGACCCGGGGCAGGAGCGGTACGACCGCTCTTACAACGACACGCCCAGTGACATGTACGCGCCGTCCGTGGAGGGCAGCGACCGTTACGGGACCGCACCGAGGTCACAGAACGCTTACGATTCTCCGCGGCCGCAGTACGGAGACCGCTACGATGAACGACCTGTTGAGCCGAGAGGTAAAACTTGGCACAGGGCCAAATCTTTCGGCCCCGCTTAAGCCATATGATTCTGGTATTATAATAACGATTCTGTGCTCAAGTTTCTAGCAGCAAGACCCATGAAGTGAATTTTCCTTGGGAACAAATTTTGAGCAGCTTTCTTCTGCTCCTCTCAAATGTATTACAACTATTTGACATCCCTTTTTTGGTTGGTTGCTTTCATTGGAAAGGGCACTTCTTTAAACATTGACCATTTTCCATGCTTTTCCGAACAACTGAGGGCGCTGTTGCTGTGATGTCATTTCAGGAAGACACTGTTCAGTTCAGGTGTTTCTGTTCAAATTGTGAACCCAAAATTTGGCTCATTGAAAACATTTGTGAGAAAAGTTTGCTCATTGGCTTACTGCCATGTACTGAAACAACGACGAATCACACAAGAAATGAAACATCACGACAGCGAAATATCCAAAATTCTGGCAACTTTTTGGTGCTGAAATAACATTGAGGTTTCTGCCTGAAATGACATCACACGTTTGCTCATGAATGTGGAAATTTACATTAGCTTAAAATCAAAAAGCCACCGAAATAGCTAACCGAAAATTAAAAGTAAGGTTAAATGGGACACAAAGGTGCATTTTCAAGGAGAAAAAATATTACAAGAATTTGTCTTTAAATCGTATTTTTTTGAAAACTGTCCCAATATTTTTTTTCTGATCCAACCTACTACATGTAGCAACATAGTGCTCATAGCAATTGATTTCTTCCAACATTAGCCAACTATCACCAAAAAAAATCCCTATCTTTCATTCCATCATATCAACAATTTGCCATAATTTCATGCCATTTTTTTTTCATTTTGTGTGTGTGTGTGTGTACCGGTAAGTCTCATCTGCTTTTTTCTTTTCCATCTGACTATCCAAACCTCCCATTATTTTTTATGACCCCGCCCCCCTTCCTGTCCTTAGCAGACACGTATAATAATTACGCGGATCCGTACGACGACCGTTACCCTCTGCCGGCCCACGAAGACTGGGACTCGCGTCTGCCGCCCGAGGAGGGCCACTACAGTGAGGATCTTTTAGTTTTTGTTTCTCCGAACTTCTAGTAAAAAAATTGGTCACTGCACGTTACTTTGTTTATTTTGGGTCATTTTGTTGACTAACCTTCGAACCTACATGTACCCCTGCACCCGTCATCCTGTGTCATGCTTCACTGACCCCCATAACTAACTTGACTGGTTACTACACGCTGAGTGGCCTATTCGCTTTGACACAACTGAAGCAGCATTTTCCGCCATCTTGCTTCCCCCAAAGCCAGTGCTGTAACACATGTCACATGGGGGAACAAAGATGGCAGATAGCTGCTTCAGTACACATGTGATATGTAGAGACCTGAGGTACTGCACCCTATTACATGTATAAATCTCACTGCACAGTCCCAATTCAGTCACATGTTTGCCTAACCAGCGGAGAGATTTGAAAGGATTTGTTATAACAGCACCAACTGTAACCAATCACCAACTAACCAATCGTGTGTCTTCTTTTATAGGTGCATGCCTAAACTGACCAATCCAGCACTGGGTACCATTTAACCAATCAGATTATTCCACCATATTGACTATCCATTTTCACTATTAAACCAATCAGGTGGCTTCTTGTTACCAGTCAACCAATGACATCGTTTTTAAGGTCACTTAACTAACCAATCACACAACTGCTTATAAAGCAATTAGGCAATCACAAGGTTTGGTAACCAACATTCTTAATTAAAGATGTGTCATTTACAATAACCAAAACTCACCACTTTGAAATAATATAATACCCAACAAAAATAACATAATAACCAATCACATGAGTGCTTATATATTAATCAACCAATCACAGCGTTTCTCTTATAAATTGACAATGCATGCATGGTAACCACCGTCACATCTACTAACCAATCACACAACTGGTTATATACCAAATCAACCAATCACTTGGTTTCCCTCATAGATTGACCATGCATGCATGGTAACCACCGACACATATGTACTAACCAATCAGACAACTGGTTACATACCAAATCAACCAATCACGTGGTTTCTCTCACAGATGGGTCCTACCCGTATGATAATCACCACCCCGATGACATCACCGCGGACACCGCCCACGAACAGATGGCGCCGTTAGGGGCGATGGACCGCACCGGAAGTCAGGACACGGTGGAATACGACAAATACGACAAAGGTAAGTCTAGCACCCAACCTCCCCCTCCCCTTGTTTTTCGGCCGCATCCATTGTTTCAAAATCCTGTGGACTCCTTGCCAAAGTACTGCCGCAGCAGTGAACACATTGTCTCCACACATCTGCTGCTCGCATGAAAGCGCTATAAATTTCTGCTCATTTAGAACAAAATTTTACGTGCTGTACTGCGATCCAGTGTCCCAAAATGCATAAAGAGTCCGTAGTCGGGTACCCGTTTCATGTTGTTGATACCTGTACTTCATCATATATCATCGAGTCAGGACTCCACACCAGGCATTATAAAAAGAACAATTTTCTAGCACTTGGTTTTAACCAAGTTTTTGGATATAATAATGTATCCATGAAATTCACATTGTTTAAGACAACTGTTTTGCAACCATTTTGTGAACACCTGTGTTTGTAGTAACCATTTGTTTATTCATAACATTTACCGAGACACGATTCGTCATGTTATGAATGTTGCATTTTCAGAAAAGATTGTTGTAGTGTGCAGTGGTTGACCTAACAGAAGTTTTAATAACACAATTGTTCTGAGCATCCGATTAAGGCATGCATAGTTAAAAATTGGAAGTTTGGGTCAAATTCTGTGGAATTATTATAGAAGGCGATTGTGTAGTAACGGGCCCTGTTCCTATAAGAAAACTAAAATTCACTTTTACAGGTAGGTTATTAGACTTACCGAGCTAGTTAGTGACATTTAAAACCAACATGAATTTCGTGGATAGAAGGCAGGGTTTAGATTATTTTTTTCTTGAGGGAAATTTTTTGGGTAAAATGACGATGAAGACGACAAAACAAAGAACAAATTGTATTCCTCTATTTTTAATTTGTTTCATTTTCAAATCTCGACTTCCGTTTCTAATGAATCTCTTCACCCGTTGGTGATGCCACACCCCGTCAAACATGTACACACACCCATGGACACACACTGTCATACATCCCCCCTCCCCCTCAGGTCCGTCCAGGTACCGTCACTCCCACCACGTTCATCGTAGTCAGGATTCCATCCCGCGCAAATCCTCCATGGGTAGTGGTAGTGGGAAAGGTATATCTTCCAAGTCTGCGTTTTATTTGCATGCCTCGTAAATTGCATGACACATGACGAGAACGGGGATTAAATTGTCCGTTAACCCTAACCCCCTAGGCCCTCTGGCTAGGATGCAACCTCAATCCTGCAAAATCCTTCAATTGCCACCAAGAAAAAATTGGATTCAGCCTCAATCCTCCAAAATCATCCGTTATTTTTGCATTGAGTCTGTGGAGGGTGACCACTGCCTCAATCCTCCAAAATCCTCTGCCAATTACTGCTGTGGTTTGAGGCAGTGTGAATGGCGCGTTTAGAAGCAGTGTGGATGAAATACGAGAAAACAACAGGGCTGATTTATGCATGGCTGAACATAACCAATGCAGGATATGGCCTACTGGCTTGACGTAATGCATCCTCAACACAAAAAAAGGGATACGTCCTTGCCATTCATCCTCAATCCTCTAAAATCATCCAAAACCGGCAGGAGGATTTTGGAGGATTGAGGAGGGTTAGGGTTAAAAACCATAATTCTGATAAGATCGATTCATATCCGGGACGAGTTCCAGACAAATTGCAGACATTGTATCGGGTATAAGTTGCAGGATTCTGAACAACTTCCCTGCAATCTTCCCGCAATGAAGTTATCAGTATTGATGAGTCAAGCATTTGCTGATGAAAATTTTCCCCGGAACATGTCTGGGACAAATGCAGAGCTTCTTTTGGACAAAGTGAATGATTCTGCCAGCAACTTGTCCAGAACTCGTCTCGGATATGAATTGAGACGGGCCCAGGCAGCCAAAATTCATTTGTAGTACATGTACATGTACGCACATTGTACATGTACACACATATTAGTGCATGAAGTCGTATAGTAACCATGTTGCATGTACATGTTTTCAATCAGATTGCAAGTTTTTAGAAAACATTTTTCTAATTGTACACCTTTAATCTGTGGTTGTGCAAGTTGATAAAACTGTTATTGACATGTATGAGGTTTTAGTGCATGACTTTCTACTGTGTAACATTTTATTTATGTGTATGTGTACTTTCTGTACTAAGTGTACTAAGGCCAAAAAAAAAATAATACTCGGTCTCTGGTCAGCGCGCGTGGCGATTTTAATCATGCGCGTCAACCTTTTTTTTTTTTTTCAAATTAACACGGAAGCTACAACAGCGCCCTCTATTGCTGCGCCTCCTCAAATTTTTGTACCAAGGAGCACCAAGGAATTGGGAAATTGCACCAAGGCATATGATAAAGGGCACCAAGGCAAATTATGGAGGACACCAATGTATAATGAGGACACAAAAAAGCAAAATAGTACCCACCTTGTCTGTACAATACAAGCTTGAAAAAAAAAAAAAGCCACCAAAAAAAAAAAAAAACGCGTCACCGCATCAATTCCGGAACTTCGGTCTGACGAGAGACCGACTATTTTTTTTTTGGCCTAATGTACGGCATGCATTAATATTGATAAATATCTTAATTACTTTCTTTGAATAATAATATTATCTATTTTCACTTCGATTCCCTCTCCTTAAATAATTTGGTAGACTTGTGATGGGGAAAAAAACTAAATAAAAATATGCACGATTATTTAGCTTTAGATTAAGATTCGAATAATTTACATGTTTGTATTGAGCATGTTAGAATATTCATATTAACCAGAAGCATGCCTTGTGTAGTTCTTTCTAAAATGTACCAGTTGTTTATTTGTTTTCGTATTTGTTTTGTTTTCATGTGGGATGAACAATTTTGAAAAATGAAGATTCTAATTCAAATCAGAAATTTCGTTTGAAAAACGATAATTTATCTTCAGTTCTGAGTGTGACCCTTGAACTCATGAATTTTGACCTGTGACCTCATTTACAGATGAGCAAAAAAAAACCAGTTTCTCATTTGATAAATTGCATTCCATTCTGAGTGTGAACTTTGACTTCATGAACTTTGACCTGTGACCTCTTGTGTACAGATGACCCACAAAATACGGGGAAAATATATACATGTATATTGTGTTTGAGAACAGTTTTTCATTTGATAAATTACATCCCATTCTGAATGTGACCCTCGACCTCATGAACTTTGACCAGTGACCTCTTATTTACAGATGACCCAAAAAATGTGGAAAAAAAATCTATATTCTCTTTGTCTGAGAACTGTTTTTCTTTGATAAGTTGCATTCCATTCTGAGTGTGACCCTTGACCTCATGAACTTTGACCTGTGACCTTTATCTACACAGATGACCCCCAGTGGAGGACACCGGACCTGCAGGAGATCATTGACTACCTGAGTGACACCAATCCGGCCATCGTGGCCAACGCAGCGGGCTACCTGCAGCATCTGACCTACGGGGACGACCCTATCAAGAACAAGACGAGGTGAGACATAGTCCTGATCAGAGCCTAGATATTGCAATCGGATACATGGGTCATTCTGTAAAATTGGCGTCTCTTTTTTTCCCTGTCCCTGTTACATCTGACGTCGATGATTTTATAATTCTGATGCACTCCTTATAGGCCATCAGCCTGGGGGTTTGGTCAGTATCAAATGAGGGGAATAATGCTCATTGTGATTTTTGGTAAGGTACAATGTATGCACCCCTGTAGTTGGAAAATATGTGATAGCATTGCAGCAGTGGCAACTTTTTGGGTGCTATCACTTTAAAAAAAAAAAAAAAAAAAAAAAAAAGTGGCAGCCAAAACAAGCTTGTTACCACATATAATTAATCCGGTAACAAGCATATTGGCTGCCATATTCAAAAAAAAAAACTGCCACCGCTCACACTGCAAAGCTATCCCACATTTTCCAACTCTATGTGCATACCTTGTCAAAAATCACTATGAGCATTGCTCATTTCGATTGTATGATACTGGTGGCCCAATTTCGGGGCCGAAACTGATATAAAATCTATAAATGCAGTCGTCCTCCAAGAGTGATTATGTATAGCACACTACCTACCCAACACATACAAAAAATCATTTGAAGTCATTCTTAATGATACTTGAATGGCAAATTACAAAGTACGAAGGTAACAGGGACGGGAAAAAGTCACACATTGAGCCCTAAATGTATAGAATGACCCATCTGGACTTTGTACAATTGACGGCATCAGTGTTGTAGTCGATTCACTTGATTCAAATCCGAGAAAATCGAAATTTACGGCCAGCCCATGTGTAAACCAGTAAAAGTGTCGACATTAACGCAAGTCCATTGTGTGAAAAGGCATAGATATTACTCATTTCTACCTGTGTCTTCCTCTTCGTCTCAGGAGTCTTGGAGGCATCCCCATCCTGGTGGAGCTCCTGGGCAACCCCACCCCAGAAATCCACAAGTGCGCCTGCGGGGCGCTGCGCAACATCTCCTACGGCAAGGCCAACGAGGAGAACAAAGGAGCCATCAAGAACGCCGGCGGGGTGCCGGCCCTGGTCCGACTGCTGCGGACCACCAGAGACCCAGATGTAAGAGTAAAAGCACACTACTGGTTTTATTAAACCCATGAGCATTACACTGTATTGTATTGTATTTTTTCTCTGATGAATCTGTAAAACCGTGGAGTGCTTAGCCGGTTTCGAGTGGTACAGGGAGTAACAGGCAGGGCAGTTCGGGGCAGTACAGGGAGTAACAGGCAGGGTGGTTTGGGGCAGTACAGGGAGTAACAGGCAGGGTGGTTTGGGGCAGTACAGGGAGTAACGGGCAGGGTGGTTTGGGGCAGTACAGGGAGTAACAGGCAGGGTGGTTTGGGGCAGTACAGGGAGTAACAGGCAGGGTGGTTTGGGGCGGTACAGGGAGTAACAGGCAGGGCGGTTTGGGGTGGTACAGGGAGTAACAGGCAGGGTGGTTTGGGGCAGTACAGGGAGTAACAAGCAGAGCGGTTTGGAGTGGTACAGGGAGTAACAGGCAGGGTGGTTTGGGGCAGTACAGGGAGTAACAGGCAGGGCGGTTTGGGGCGGTACAGGGAGTAACAGGCAGGGTGGTTTGGGGCGGTACAGGGAATAACAGGCAGGGCAGCTTTGGGTGGTACAGGGAGTGATAAACAGGGCAGTTTGGGGCAGAACAGTGACTAAAAGTTTAAAGATTTTGAGATACAGAAATGGGAAAAAATTATACAAATAGTTCTGAAATAATGATTAATAGCAGAGAATTAAAAAATTTGGAGGTATTTTTGCATTTCCATAATGTATCTACACTTGAGACCGAAAAAATCTTCCTTTTGCCCCCGCCAAAAAAGATGTTTAAATAAATAAGTACAATATGGTCTAAATTACTCTTGTCATTAATTTTCCTATTTTCAGACCAAAGAGCTTGTGACGGGGACCCTGTGGAATTTGTCTTCATCGGAGGTAAATATTAAGATCAGATAATCAAATTTTAATTTTTTGGATGACTGTATTTGAAAAGAAGAATTTTGAATTCACTTATAAAGTGATTGTTTTGTTTGTCTCAGCATTAACTAAGAACTAACCCCATGCAACAAGGTTTCGCATACTTTAACCTGTTGTAATTTGTTGCATTTAGCTGTTGGGTAAAGTCTGTCATGAGCCAATATGGCCCATCAGGCCGGCGTTTATCTCCGGTTTCCTTAGCATGAAACAACTGAGAATATTTCTATTCCCGATGGATGGCATGCCAGTCCATCGCAGGTTACTCCCAGCTAACGCCGGTACCCATTTATACTCCTGGGTGGAGAGAGGCAAGTGGGGGTGAAGTGGGTTGCCCAAGGACACAATGTATGACAAGCAGCTGGATTTGAACCCCTGACCCTCTGATCATGAGTTGCGAACCTTAACCACTAGGCCACACTCCCATGCATTTAATTGGGTTATGGCTAAGAGTGTCATTTTATCTCTCTTCCAACAGCCCCTCAAGAAAGCCATCATTGACGACGGCCTCTCGGTCTTCGTCAACGACATCATCGTGCCGGATTCGGGCTGGAACCAAGAAGATCCAGAGAACTACCCGAACGATAACGCCTGGTCTGGGGTGTACAGAAATACCACGGGGTGTTTAAGGTAAGGGACATGTTGGGAGAAGAATTTTTATTATGTTAGGCCAAAAAAAAAATATTCGGTCTCTGGTCAGACCAAAGTTCCGGAATAGACGCGGGGACGCGTCTTTTTTTTCTTTTTTTTTTTTTTTTCTATTTTTTTTTTCTTCAAGCTTGGATTGTACAGACAAGGTGGGTTACTATTTTGCTTTTTTGGTGTCCTCATGTACATTGGTGTCCTCCATAATTTGCCTTGGTGCTCTCGATCATTTGCCTTGGTGCAATTTCCCATTCCTTGGTGCTCTTTTGTAAAAAAAAATTGAGGAGGTGCGGCAATAGAGGGCGCTGTTGGAGCTACAGTGGAACATTTTAGAAAAAAAAGAAAAGATTGACGCGCATGATTTAAATCGACACGCGCGCTGACCAGAGACCGACTTATTCATTTTTTTGGCCTTAAAATAGAGTTTTATTTTTTGAAAGAGTTTTACTTTTTAGAAGAGAAAATGTATTTTTGTTACTCTTTGAAAAGTTACTTTTTCTATGAAAACAGGTTGTACTTCTTAATATATTGTACATCAAACATCAATCTATTTATCAGCTCTAGAGAAAGCAAATTTTTTTTTTTGAAGTTGAATATTTTGGGCACTGGCAAAGTGTAATAGCTCAGTCAGCAGGCCACATGTACAATACTCCGATGGTTATACGTTCAATTCCCACTTTTGTCACTTTTTTTATTCAAAGGGGAAACAAAATCGACAAAAGAAGGGAACCCTGGTCCCCATGCAGAAAAGAAAAATTCTGATATTTCGGAGGTCATGAATTCCGCTTTAAAACAATAAAAGTAAACCTGTAGGAATGTTCACCTCTCCTCGACAGAAACGTGAGTTCCAGCGGACTGGAGGCCCGTAGGAAGATGAGAGACTGCATAGGATTGGTGGATTCCTTGGTCCACGTCATCAAGTCGGCCATCGACACCAATAACGTGGACAATAAGGTCAGCTCTTTGTTCTCGACCACTCGATGGGCTATGACCTTTAACCCCCTGGACACACACCATAAGGTTGTCCCATAATATTCATACAGCTCAGAGGTATGGATAGTTGCCCACAGAATTTAAGTATTAAATTTTGAGATTCATTTCATGAACCCTCAATTTAATATTTCATTCTTTATGCTCTTAGGTGGTGGAAAACACAATGTGCATCATTCGTAATCTGTCGTTCAAGATCTGCAATGAGGCCAATCACCCAGACGCAATCCCGGCCCCTCCCCCTCGGGCCACGCCCTCCAGGAACGGTGTGGCATCCCCGCCTAAAAAGAAACGTGAGTTTGATTTTTTTTATCTCTCGCATTCATGGGCCAAGAAACAAAACAAAACCCAATCAAGTTTACATTAACCCTAACCCACCTCACTCCTCCAAAATCCTCCTGGCGGTTTTGGATGATTCTAGAGGATTGAGGATGAATGGTGATTGAATCAAATGAGGATTCTGGAGGATTGAGGATGAATGGTGATTGAAGCACAAGAGGATTTTGGAGGATTGAGGATGAATGCATTTTGAGGCAGGACTGTCTGATGATTTTGAAGGATTTGGCGTTGGTTATCCTTCATTTAAACACGAGTGCAAAGTTTTGGGATGAGGAGGATTTTGGAGGATTGAGGATGAATGCATTTTGAGGCAGGACTGTCTGACAATTTTGAAAAATTTAGGCGGAGTTGAAAATTTTTTTGAGGATTTTGGAGGATTGAGGATGGTTGTAAGCAACAAGGGCCTAGGGGGTTGTGGTTAACGACCTTTAAGCCAGTTGAATTAAGGAGCGCTGAATAACTGTTACATTTGCATACACAGCAGGATGTTGCTGTAACATACTTCTACACATTTGGGTCCGCAAAAGATTGTTTGTTATACGTGAGGCGTTCTGGCAATATGAGACAGAAGTGGGCGGAGGTCGAAATGAGGGTTTGTGGGTATTAGGAAAGAGAATATAATTCTCCTTACAATACTGTTTGTTGCACTTCAATCAGACAATCCATTGACAAGTTATGGCTATTTTAAGTCCGCATTTATCGACATGACAAAAAGTGAATACTGTCAAAAAGGCCTTCAAAGTTTCGAGTTTTGTTGTGAAAATGAAAGATGCCAATTGTTTTTTTTCCTTTAAAGCTCTTTTATTCCACAATTGTTATACTATTTATTTAAAATATGTGTCGTAGACATATCAAAGATTACAAATATCAATAAATCTGAAAATCGGAAAAATATTCGCCCCATTCTGTTTTTTGTATTTTTTCCACTATGGCCTGTCCCCATTTCCATCTCATTGTTGCCAGAACGCCTCAAATGATTGTTTATTCATGATTGCAATATAAAGCCCTCAGTGCTAGTATAACTGGCCATAAACTTTTGGAACAACTGTGGCTGTTTGTCACAGCCAAGTGTTTGGCGAAGCGTAGTTTGTGGTTGAGTCATTCTTGAAATGGTCAATTTTTCCAGAAACATATACTCCTGTCTATCAAAAATAAATTCAATCTGAACGGATAACAGAAAGAAAAGACAACAATTTAACAAATTTTGGAACCAACCCTATGAGTGCTAGTGTAATGGTTTTATGTGTGTTCGTTCTCTGTGGGTTTACAGCAACAGATAAATCGGGATGTTTAAAAGGTAAGCTCAAGAAAAAAAGGCTCATCATCGTCTTCACATTTTCCTTACACATTTTATTTTTTACTCGGCAATACCTTGGAAAGTCCTAAAACAAATCTTGAAATTCCGGAGAGTTAAATAGGAAAAGACTTGCAAATATCTCCAAAAATCACTGAAAGTCCTTAAAATCTTTGAAAGTTCACATAAAAAGTGCTTGAAATTGTCCCAGAAAGGATTTGGTCGTGGAGAGAAAACAGACTGTCAACAGAGAAAATCACACAGCCGCCATATTTTTCAACCACTCGCTTACTAACTGATATGATGTCATCATAACATCTCATGAATAATGCATCACATTTATTTAAATTCTATCGTGTATATTTGTTATTGTAAATATGTATTTTATTCACAGGCTTAAGCGTCACATTCAATAACTTGTCACTACTGACTGCTTACTTTCTAGGGGTGTGCATTTACGGGTAGTTCAGAAACTGGGTACCCGATTGAAAAAAAAACACCGGCACCCGTTGAAGACACCCAACGCCAAACATGCCATAATTCAAATCTCGGAAGTTGCTTTTGAGCAGAGTTGAAGTCAAGTACTTTCCGAGTACCATCTTAGCTACCAGAGATTATGATGGTTTGGTGTGGGTAAAGCTGCATAATGCAGACACTGGGCAGTAAATCCCCACCACAAGAAATTAAACACTTAAGATAATCAGAATCTTGTACGAACTAACCTTTTAAGACAAAAGTATTCGGAAAGTACTCGCCGAGTACTTTTCAAGTACTTTTAGGGTACTTCTGTCCCAAATAGTTAATTAAAAAGTGGTTTTATGTAACCAAAGTCTCAATATAATTTTTTATTTCTCTAAGACTAACTTCCTTTTGCTGTCTACTGTCAATGTTTCTCTTGCGTTGTTTGCAAGAAACAGCTCAATACTTGGTAATAAGCAAAGTACTCGGAAAGTACTCAACTACAACTCTGCTTTTGAGATTGTGTACAAAGGTCCTCATGATAATACTACCGCATCGGCTCATCAATACAGCAAGATACAAATGTGTACAGTGAGCTTTACGCTTTACGGTGTAAGCTGCAGCTTTCGCGAGCGTCATAATTGTGAAAAATGTTTTGTTTTCCCATGTGGCCTGGTATTTATTTTGAAAATTTCACACTTCAAAACCTTTCTTTTTCATTGTCAGAGAAGTTACTATGTAATTTGTAAAGTTGGTTATGGGGACGAGACCCCATAATCTGGAACCGATTCCTGACATTAACGGTCCGGTACTCGGGTACCCGGTTTCGATGCACAGCCCTACTACTTTCTCATGTATGTGCATGAAATTTTCAGAAATCACAGCTTTGGCTTCAAACCTACAAAACTGCATGAATTCAGGATCTGGCTGCGGCTCCGACACGCTCTGGGTCCCCGTGTTTCTAGCCAAGTGTACACTGGGCCTTTTGCATCCAGGTTTTGGAGCCAGACTGCCAGCACCGAAGCCTTTATTGGTCCAAGTTTTCAGAACTGGGATATGGTTCCGCAGCTGATACCAAAGTCGAGATTTGAGAAAGGGTCACAATGCTTCAAGCAATCATTCTAACATTTTTCTACTTCAAATACATGTATTGATGTATTAAGACACTTGAATAATTTCACATTTAGTGTGTAAGTTCACCTCCATGTTGCTTCTGCATTAATGAGGGTTTTAATAGCTCTTCAGATATTTGTATATTCATGAATTTCACATTTATATTCATAGATTCATATATTCACGTATTCATTATTCACACAGCCGATGACTCTGGATGCTTTGGAGGCAACAAGAAGAAGAAGACAGACAGCTCCACCCCGGCCGGCAAACAGGCGACGTCGACGTTACCGTAAGTTGACTTTGTTAAAACCAAATTTTGTTTTAAGTTGAGCGCTGGTCCCATTTATTGTGCACATAAATGCACAGTGGGGACTGAGGACTTACGTTCACTAGGGGTTCTGTGCGCGAACTAGAGAGGGCGCTTTTTTGCCACTTTTGCGAGCACCGTGGGCGGGACACGCTGCATGCGTGTACTGGTTCGAGCATGTATAGCGCGAAGTTTGCATGACTCCTTATTCTGAATGTGCACAAAGCCAGAGCTTCTTTGCAGAGCGTCTTCGCTTGAGCGTCTTCGCTTGAGCGTCTTCGCGTGAGCGTCTTCGCGTGAGCGTCTTCGCGTGAGCGTCTTTGTGTGAGCATCTTCGCGTGAGGGTCTTCGCGTGAGTGTCTTCGCGTGAGTGTCTTCGCGTGAGCGTCTTCGCGTGAGCGTCTTTGTGTGAGCGTCTTCGCGTGAGCGTCTTTGTGTGAGCGTCTTCGCGTGAGGGTCTTCGCGTGAGTGTCTTTGCGTGAGCGTCTTCGCGTGAGCGTCTTTGTGTGAGCGTCTTCGCGTGAGCGTCTTTGTGTGAGCGTCTTCGCGTGAGGGTCTTCGCGTGAGTGTCTTTGCGTGAGCGTCTTCGCGTGAGCGTCTTTGTGTGAGCGTCTTCGCGTGAGCGTCTTTGTGTGAGCGTCTTCGCGTGAGCGTCTTCGCGTGAGGGTCTTCGCGTGAGGGTCTTCGCGTGAGCATCTTCGCGTGAGTGTCTCCGCGTGAGCGCCTTCGCTTGATCGTCTTTGCTTTAGCGTCTTTGCTTTAGCGTCTTCGCGTGAGCGTCTTTGCATGAGCGGCGTCAACAATGTCTTAGAATGTCTCTCCCAGTGGTCTCCCCAAACTCTCCCTTTCTTACCGTTGAGGGGGGTACTTGTGCACGGGGCCCTTAACCAGAACTGTTTTGTAAACAGGGTTCATATAAATGGGAGTCAACTGACAATGTCACAGTCCTAACCTAATCTCCCCAATCCTACGCTTCCCCCCACCCCCACCCTCTCACAGGAGGACAATGACCTGGGATCCCAACACCCCCATCCCGGAGCGCAGGCAGCCCCCGAGGGGCGGGGAGCTGCTCTTTGCCCATGAGATGGTGGGGACCTACCTCAAGCTGCTGTCGGAGTGCTCCAATCACGTCACGCTGGAGGCCACCACAGGAACCATCCAGAACATATCCTCTGGAGAATGGAGAGTAAGTCTGAAAGACGTACAAGTCTAAAACTTTAGTCTCAGCTTCGTCCCTGATCCCCGGAACAGTACAAAGAGTTATAAAGTACATCCAAGTTTGGCTTGTCATTGTAGGATTTTAATATCCAGTAGTACAGGGTGAGTAACAAAAAAAAAAAACTTAAATGTTGGGACCATTGTTTTAGTGAAGTTCTGCATGTAGCACTTCCAAAATCTAAGACATGAAAGCCCAATTCATAAGCTTTGTTTTAGTACAAGAATCATTCAAATCACTCATGTACTTTTCAATTTACGGAATTTTAAACACAACCACCGTTTTAAGGTTCTGTCCACGGATCACAAAGAAGTTCAGTGTTCTTCCATCAAAACTAAAACAAATCACATATGTGTGAATTGTTTTTGTTTTGCTGAAAGAACGCACACCTTTTTTGTGATCCGTGGACAGAACTTCAAAACGGTGGTTGTGTTTAAAATTCCGTAACTTGAAAAGTACATGAGTGATTTGAATGATTCTTGTACTAAAAGAAAGCTTATGAATTGGGCTTTCATGTCTTAGATTTTGGAAGTGCAACATGCATTATTCAAATAAAACAATAGTCCCAACATTTGGGTTTCGCTTTTTTTGACTCACCCTGTATTTTTTCAAAGGACAAATCTGCTATGGCCATATAGCCAAATATTTTTCTTAAGATATACTCTGATTGTGTGCCAAATGCCATGCTTTTATCGTCAAAGGCACAATTCCCCCAAATATTTCCCCTATCTGTCCCACTATGTAGCTGGATCACTCATTCCATCTGGTATTTTTCTTCCCCCCCAGTGGGCTCTTTACGTCAGGGCCCAGGTACGCAAGGAGAAGGGTCTGGCTGTCCTAGTGGAACTCCTCAGGCTGGAGAACGATAAGATCGTCTCTGCAGTAGCCAGAGCACTGCGTAACCTGGCTCTGGACACCAGGAACAAAGAACTCATCGGTAAGACGCGCTCTCTCATTGTCCAGTTTTATGCAACTTACCCACGGTGCTGTGAGTTTCCTGAATTGTATGCTGTGAATGATACAAGCCGTTGTGATCATCACTCTTAGATATGTGATGCGATCAAGCTAAATGAGTCGTTTGTCGACCCCGGTCCAAATTTTTTTTATTACAGATTTGAAAAGAGCACAATCTCAGCATTACTGCTGTGAAAACGGCATTGTGATACCATCTTTAGTTCAAAAATTATGGAAGTCGGAACACCAAGAGATGTGATGTGATGAAGTGGCCCTATTTTGGCCTGTATCTCCAAAATGAAAATTTCAGACAAACGACTTATGTAGCTTGATTGCATCGCATGTGACGGTTGACTTGGCTTGTAACCGTGGCACAAGCCCAAAATTGACAGATATTGTTTGAAGGTCTTAACCCTAACCATCCAAATCCATCAAAATCCATTCCCCATTTTGGTGGATTTAGGAGTACTTGGTCCAGTAGGCCTGGCGTGACTAAATATCGATGGAGTATGATGGACTTGGGCCTAATGGCCTGAAGCAGTGCTAGGGGTATCCCATTGATTTTGCCTAGCTTCCTGTACTGCTATTGTGATAAAAGCCATGTGTACAGCAAGTCCATGAATGTCAACCAGTGCGTCAGTGGTGGATTCCATTATGTCATGTACAGTTTTGTATCGGACGCACAGTGATTCATGGAGTTTGATGGACTTGGTCCAGTTCCTAGTAAAAGACGCTAGGGAGCTAGGGTTAATGTGTAATTCAGTCTAGATGTTGGTTTTTAACAAAACTCCCCGAGACTTTCTGATTGGGCTCACAGGAGGACACTTCATAAGGACAACGACGCACTTGCAGATCCTTTACTCTTTATCTAAGGGACCGTGACCATTCAGCCCTGGTATGGAAAGGGCCCCCCGGTACCTCGTCCGGTCCAAAGCCAGTCCGGTCTTCAGCCCAGTCTCGTCCGGTACATGGTCCTGTCTGACCAGAAGTTTTGAAGTCAGTCAGGCGCATCAATGTATTGCCCTTCAGAGAACTCCAGAGCAGAACAATAGCAGACTTACCGGATTAAAGATAAAATCCTTCCATAATGCCTTTGTAATTTACGGTCCCATTGTGTGCGAAACCGCATGGCAGGGGTTTTGATCTGTGCCGACGAAAGTGTTCTATTGTTTCGCACTGAGAGATGAAAACCACAAGCGGGTTTCTTCTGGGATATATTACATGTGTCAATACTTGCAAACAATAGACCCCAGGATAGAGGAGTTCCTGATTAGCAACCGGACCAGCTCCTGGGCCGGTAGCTGGGACGGTACGAGAGGACTTCTTGGGAGGGGACGAGCTTACCGGGGAGCCCTTTTCATACCGGGGCTGAATGGTCACGGGCCCTAAGTGAGCTATTGTTAAGGCTAGATTACTCCCTGATACTTTTGCCTAAGACTGTCTGAATAGGATCACAAGAGGTCGCCCTCTTAAGCCCCGTTGCTTGTTTCTCTCGACCTGTCTTGCAGGCAAGTACGCCATGCGGGACCTGGTCTTCAGGCTGCCTAGCAGCGACGTGTCGGCCAGCAGCGCCACTGACAGCAGCAGGCAGCAGCTGAGCACCGACACCTTGGTGGCCATCCTGAACGCCCTGCAGGAGATGATCAACAGGAACCCGGAAAACTCAAAGTAAGACCCACCAGAATGACGTCTGTTAATTGTGAGCCATTTTGGCAAATGAGACAGAACTGGGCAGAGGTGGAAAGGAGGATTTGCGATTAATTATTCAGAAAGAGACTAAAATTCTCCTGATAATACTGTTTGTTGGACTCCAATCGGGCATTACGTTGACAAGTTATGATTGTTTAAACTTCTCGTTTGTCGACATGTCAAAAAAGTAAAATACTGAGAAAAAGGGCCTTTGAAGTTTCAAGTTTTGTTGTCGTGAAAATGAAAGATGCCATTTTTTCCCCTAAAAAACACTTTAATTCCACGATTGTTATACTGTTTCTTTAAAATATGACATAACAAAGGTTACAAATAGCAATAACAAAAAATTTACAAATATCAATAAATCTGAAAATCGAAAAAAACAATCACCCCAAGACGCCAATATATATGAAAGACGCCAATATTTTTCCTAAAAAACATTTTTATTCCACGTTTGTTATACCATTTCTTTAAAATATGACATGACAAAGGTTACAAATAGAAATAACAAAAAATTTACAAATATCAATAAATCTGAAAATCAAAAAAAAAAAAAAACAATCACCCCATTCAGGTTTTTTTTTTTTTTCCCTTCATTTTTCGCCACAGCCTATGCCCAGGTTCGTCTCATTTTTGCACGCCCATATTATTCAAGCACCATGTGCACTGTTCTGTAATGTGAACACGTGAAAGTTATTTGAATTGGTCTCATTTTGTTTCCCTTCAACTTCTTAGGTCTCTACGAGATGCCAGCGGGATTGAGAAGCTGGTCTCCATCACAAAATCACGCAACAAGTACCCCCCAACGGTCATCAAGTGTGCCTTCCAGGTAATTAAAAAAGACAAAAAAAACAAGGAACAAGCATTTCTTCAGTCCGAATAGAGAACAAGGGGCTTGTGTTCTTGGGCAAGACACTTTCCTGCAATTGCCTCTCTGTTAACATTCTCATACGGCTCTCTAACATTGATTTGGACGCTCAATTCTCAATTGGTCCGCAGGTTCTGAGCACCATGTGGAGTTTCAAGGACCTCCGTCCATTGTACAAAGCAGGGCAGGTTGGATAAAAAAAACTGTAGCCCAAATGCATACACATATTTGGTAACTTATTATTCCAATACGGGTCTCTAACATTAATTGGGCCGGTCAATTCTCAATTGGTCGGCAGGTTCTGAGCACCATGTGGAGTTTCAAGGACCTCCGTCCCTTGTACAAAGCAGGGCAGGGCCTAATTTCACGGCGCTGCTAAGCAAAAAAATTTGCTTAGCACAAAAAAAGTCTTGCTTATAAAAGCAGGTTATCAGCCAAAACTCCATGTGATTTTCATGTTAAGGCAAACAACAGCTGAATACTAATCACGAGCAATATACAACACATGGATTTTTTGCTGGTAACCTGCTTTTATAAGCCAGACTTTTTTTGTGCTAAGCAAATTGTTTTGCTTAGCAGCGCCGTGAAATTGGCCCCAGGTTGGATGAACAACTGTAGCCCCAGTGCATTTACTTATGATTCTTATACGGGCCCTAACATTAATTGGGCCACTCAATTCTCAATTGGTCGGCAGGTTCTGAGCACCATGTGGAGTTTCAAGGACCTCCGTCCCTTGTACAAAGCAGGGCAGGTTGGATGAACAACTGTAGCCCCAATGCATACACCTATTTTTTAACTCATGATTCTTACATGGGTCTCTAACATTAATTGGGCCGGTCAATTCTCAATTGGTCGGCAGGTTCTGAGCACCATGTGGAGTTTCAAGGACCTCCGTCCCTTGTACAAAGCAGGGCAGGGCCCAATTTCACGGCGCTGCTAAGCAAAAAAATTTGCTTAGCACAAAAAAAGTCTTGCTTATAAAAGCAGGTTATCAGCCAAAACTCCATGTGATTTTCATGTTAAGGCAAACAACAGCTGAATACTAATCACGAGCAATATACAACACATGGATTTTTTGCTGGTAACCTGCTTTTATAAGCCAGACTTTTTTTGTGCTAAGCAAATTGTTTTGCTTAGCAGCGCCGTGAAATTGGCCCCAGGTTGGATGAACAACTGTAGCCCCAGTGCATTTACTTATGATTCTTATACGGGCCCTAACATTAATTGGGCCACTCAATTCTCAATTGGTCGGCAGGTTCTGAGCACCATGTGGAATTTCAAGGACCTGCGTCCGTTGTACAAGCAGGACGGTTGGGAGGAGCAGCACTTCAGCCCCGGCGTCTGGACCACGTCCCGCTCCCCCAACAAGAGCCAGACCCTACAGACCCCTAGCTCAGAGAGGATGGGCGGTCCCACCCCCCAACGCTCCTCCTCAACGCCAGGCGCAACACCTGGTAAGTTCCCTCGATCAGCTCGTCCACATTTCTGAGTCGGCCAAATTGTCACAAACTGGTTTTCAATCAATCAAATTTAAAAAAATGAAAACTGACATTAACAGGCATGCAAGTTTTTGTCGAATCAGCTGATTTCCTCGTTTTTCACTTCACACTAATTCCATTAAAACTTGAAAAAACACTGTATGAAATCTGTCAGGCTTGAAATTTCCTCTCATTCTGTTACTTCCCAGTCGCATGCCTGCATTAAGAAAAACTGAGAGGAATAAAACAAATCACATAATCTTTGTAGACCTTAAATTGTAAATTTGTTCTAAGTTATTGAAGGAATATGACGCTCATCGTGTAATGGTTCATTTTGCATCTTATAAGACTCTTCATTGAAAAAGGTTAGAGTGAGCAAATTGACCTTAAGACGGACTTGTTCTTTTGACCGTACATTTTTTTTAATTTTTATGATTTCTTAATTCATCATCGCGTTAGTCAGCAGCCCAAAACAACCTTTTTTGTGCCATGTGCAGGCCCGTCGTCAAGGGGGGGGGGGGGGGGGGCCTGGGGCCCTTGGCGAGTACTTGCCCCCCACCCAACAGCAAAAGCCATGCATATGTATTTTGTATTTGTGATGGTAGTGGGCCCCCTAGTTGGTACTATGCGCCCCCTCCTCCCCCCCCCCCCCCCCTCCCTGATGCTGAGGGCTGGCGACGGGCCTGGCCATGTGGCGAGGGTTCCTGGTGCTAGCAACATTAGCAAGACAATCAAAAATAACAACAATTTATAAAAGTGTGATTTTGATATAATTTGCAATAATTGGCGAGGGGGATTTCTGTCTTCGGACTTTTTAACACAGAGTCCATTTAAGATATTTCTTACAATGAATGCATGATACAAGATAGGGGTGTGATATCTCAGCTTTAAAGCTGATTTCAGCTTTTTTTTTGTTTTGGATTTCAGCTTTTTTTCCCTCACTCGCTGTGTTCAAAAGTATAGGAGATTTCCAAAGTTCTTTCAGCTGTTTTCAGCTATTTTCATCAGTGGTCACTCACACCCCTGATAAGACTTGATTGGAAAACTTTGCCTTTTTTTTTTATTAATCCACCAGCTGGGCGATTGGACTACGAGGCCTCCCCCCTCCCAGTCAAAACAGCCCCGCCCAGGGATGAGGCACCCCCGCCATTCAGCTACGACTCTTACGACCGACGACAGGAGCAACAGCAGCAGAGGAGTGCTCCGTACGATACCATTAGGTCACAAGGTAGTGTATGCAAATTCATGCATTTTTTTTGCAAAATTATGCAAATGTTAGGCAAAGTTATGCAAATTTTTCCAAATTATTCAAATTTTGGCAAAATTATTCAAATTTTGGCAAAATTATTCAAATTTTGGCAAAATTATTCAAATTTTGACCAAATTATTTAAATTTTGACCAAATTATTCAAATTTGGCAAAATAAATCAAATTTTGGCAAATGTTTGAGAGTTCAGCAAATCTTTGCAAATTATGTAAAAAATGGAAATTTTATGCAAATTTATGCAGATATTGCAAACTAATTTTATTCTCTTAACCTTAAAAACTGTTACAGTTTGTATGATTCTTGCATGAAAAAAAATTAACCCCCCATAACGTTTTTTTAAGAAATGTATTGTGGGCTTGATATATTGTCTATAGACAGATAACCCAAACATTTTAATGCAACATAATACTGAATATTATGCCAACTTTTCTTAACTGAATTTTGGTCCCGTAAAAATAACAATTGTTTTAACACCTAATTTTGCTCGCAATCAGAATGTTCACAAGTCTGAAAATCCATATGTGGAGCACATTATCCAAAACTGATAAAATAAATAATAAACCACCAACTTATACTATTGAATAGATTGTGCTCCTAAAAAAATGTCAAATTTTGTTTAAAGTGAAATGTTTTCCGTAAACAGATTATATAGATTGGCGCCGTTCAGATAAAAATTAACCTGCATGTGGCCCGACTGACTCTGCAAAAAAAAAATGTTTTGCAGCGTTGTGTCGTTGACAATTTTCATTTTGCTTTGCATGCGCTATGGCCCCTGACAGCCAGTTTGAATGATGTGCCTGTGTCAGATTTAATATAATTCTTGTCTGAGAGACATTCTTTCTCTTTATTGTGTTTGTATTTTTGCAACTGGCTGTCCAAACTTTTATTCCACTTGACGATTTTGAAGCCTCATTTCTTCTGCTTAAACACACCATCACTTTGTGAACTTCTTAAGTCGTATTGACATCCTCCACTCTGACCATTTCAAATTTCGCCCTGGCTTGCACCCTTTCCTGCTTGGAGTGCAGAGGAGCCATTGCGGTAAAGTCCCTTGCTCAAGAACACAAGAAAAAAAACCAGTCACCGAAAGAGCATCCGTAGCTCATTTCTGACAATCTCTCTTCTGTCTTCTGTCCTCGTTAGAGTACCTTAAAGAATTTATCCCACAAACGCTCTGACTTATAACCGTATATTCAGGTTTGAAAAAGAAAGGGTTTGATTGAAATCTTACAAAACCTTCAATTTGTCAGCGAAAGGCAATCCCCACGAAAAAAAACCGACATGAATAAGCCATTTCGGTATTTCAACTGCACATGTGCACAATGATATGGGTCACGGATCATTCGGGATAATCGAATGTTTCAAAGGCGCATGAATGCGGGCGCATGACGCTTGAGTGTAAATTACCAGCAGAATGGGCGTGCGCGTAACATCGTGTAACATCACGTCAGCGATGTTATCCCGAATGACCTCGGGTCATTGAAATACCGACCTGGCTTATTATGGGCCAAACATTTTAAGGATTAAAAGTACATGTACAGTCACATTCTTGACTCTCATGACCTTTAACCTTTCTGTATATACCTTGCATGTGTAGGGTCAGAGCCTGTCGTAGCTAGAGATGAACGCGACATGGAGGACCCCTACATAAACGTCCGCCAGCCGTCGTACGCTAGAGACTCTATGTCGGCCTATAGCGACGAAGGTAGCACGCTCATCGCTTTATATAATCATAGCCTTCTGCAGAACGTTATGGCTTCTGACTAGCGACCATTGACCAAAGACATTGACATAATTGGGGGGCTGCCAACGTAGGGCTGGATAGCTCAGTTGGTAGAGCGCCGGAACGACAATCCGGAGGTCGCAGGTTCAAACCCCGCTCCAGTCAATTTCTTTGTGCAACTCAAGAGAAAAATGATAAAATCTAAGACAGATTTCCTTTTCTTCTCAAATCCTCAAACAAGGGCTCGATTTCATGGGGCTACTAAGCGCAGAAACTTAAAATTCCTGTCCAAAAACACCCTGCGCAAAAAAACCCCCAAAACTTCTGCTTTGCGGACTGTTCTCCGGTGTTTTTCCTCTTAATTTTCAAAAATGAACTTCTTCATCTTCAGAGCTTGTTGATGAGGGTGAAAAGTTTTAGATCCCAGATCAAATCATATAAGGCCCAAAAAAAAGTCTCCGGTTTCTGGTATGCGCGCGCATCGCTGTAGCCATGCGCGTTGGCAAAATGAAAAAGGTTTTTTTTCAATGAAAGATGATGTCTCAAAACCACCAAACTCACTGGTTTGACTGGAATCCTGCTGCTGCACAATTTTAACGTGTTTTTAGATGGAGTTATGGTCGAGAATAAGCTTTATGTGGCCTCTCTGGACTCCCAATCCCATATAGGCCTATTTGTACTAAGTTTAGTCAGGCACCATTTGCAGTCATCAGCCGACATTTGAAGCAAAAAAGTCGGCTAAAAAAAAAAAAAGCCGCGTCGCCGCACCACTTTTTGGGCAAGCTCCATACCAGAAACCGGAGACTTTTTTTTTTTGGCCTAAGATAACCCATTTTTCTTTAGACCGAAACAAACATAACAATTTCTACTTTGTAATCTCCAAAATGCTGCATGTGTTGTATTGTTGTTGTATTCTGCCTCTAATACTTTTCAACTCACTAACGTTTCAATCGTTTCTTTTAACCTCTTGTGTAATACTTGCTTGATGTGATGTGATGGTGTGCCTTGCATGTCTGTGTGCCGTTACGTAGCACCCAAAGCGGCCGCCGAGGAAGAACCGTTGCCGCCGGCAACCGATCAGCCCGGCGCCCGGGATTCTATGTCGCAGTTTAGTGACGAAGGTATCAACGGTGCACTAATCTAAGTTTTTAACAACTAACCTTAGAAATACTGCAGAATTGCTTCTTGAACTGCCTTCGCTAAGGTGCAGCCTCAATCCTTCAAAGTTCTTAAAATCCTCTTTTAATTATTTTTTATATAAATTGATTCCAAGTGAAATTTTGGGTGTACGGCCATCTGAAAATAAAAAGTTGGCTTCATAACTCAGGCATTCAACTTTTCCTCGGATCAGCTGATGTCCTCGTTTTTCACTTCAGACTTTTGCCATTTAAAATTGAAAAACACTGTACAAAGTCCTGTAAAGATTGGAATTTCCTCGGTTTTTGTTAATTCCAAGTTGGATGCCTGCTTTACCCAGCTTTCCACCCGAGTTAATCCGGACTTATCCTTAACCTAGCCTTATCCTAACCCTTATCCCTAACCCTAATCCCTAACCTAATCCTTATGTGAGTCAAACTAGCAGTACATTCAACCGCACACAAAAAATGCCACCAGTCCAATCTCAAAATTTCCATTTTCCAGATTGTTGTATCCGAAATGTAACTTTTTAGAAAGCTAACTTTGCAGAAAAATATCATAACTTTGCTTGTACCAACCAAAAGAAAATCACTCAAAACATGAATTACAGACTGATCTGTACATGACAGAATCTTGAGACAAAAAAATGCACTGAATCATGGGAGATCCCAATTGAACTCAGTGCTGGCTTGGCAACCATTCTGTCCTTACCCATAATCCACTACGTCCAAATCATCCAATGAGATCACCCGGAATATCAGCCTGTACTGCTGCCCCTAACCTTATAGTGCTCGCTAAGATAACTCTTTTGTAGTAATCAGCTTTTTTTTCTCTCTCTTTTCTGTACGTTTTTTCCTGTTACTTGCATGCCTGCTTATTTTGTGCCTGTTCAGCTTCCTCTTACGTGCCTGAAAGACAAGAGCCATTGCCGGCGAGTTTTGCCGTGCCGCAAACTCGAGATTCCATGTCCGCTTATAGCGAAGAAGGTAGTTCGTAGTTCTTACATGTAGTTTGCTCCAAATTTTGCTCGTTTTAAAACAAAAAATTTTGCTTTCTATATTTTTTTTCTAACAGCGTAATTGCATGAAATTGTTAATATTACAGCACTTCTTGCTGAATTTGTATAAATATGCATTAAGAGTGTGGCTAAGTTGTGTTAAATAAAAAGATAACTCGGAAGTTAATTTGGAGGGTCTTTTTTTGTGACATGTGACATGTAAAGTTTCAAGTGTATAAGTTCCATGCAGGACAGATGTGTAGTTTTGTTTATAATAAATTGTGGCATAAAATATGTGATTACATTCTCATAGGGCTTTGAATTATGATGTCACGTGATGATGTCATGAAGACGCCACATCAGTTTTCATCTATAACTATACTTTTTTGTAAAGAACAACTTAGCCAGATTATACATCGTTCAAAGCAAGTTCACATCTTTCACCAATTTTAAATGGACCGATCCAGTAGGCTCCGCCCAGTGCGCACGTGGGCAAATTAACACGTGCTCCTCTCCAATGCCACGCTGCATTTTCCTTCCGCACGCATCATACGCGCGTGCACGCATGTCGGACTTTAATGCACGCACGTCGGACATAAATCACGGCTGTGATTGGTCAGAACACCATGGGGCAGTGCTTACTGGATCGGTCCATTACAAGGCACTTCTGTTTTCAACGGGAAGGAAGGGACACGTGATTTTGCACGTAATATTGGAAATGAAGACCCTGGATTATTCTCTGTGATGCGGCATACGCTATTTCCAGCAGTTTGCCAAAATCATCTACAATAGGCCAAAAAAAAAAAAGTCTCTGGCTTCTGGTATGCGCGCGCGTCGCCCTAGCCATGCGTGTCGGCAAAATGAAAAAGTTTTTTTTTTTCAATAAAAGATGATGCCTCAAAACCGCCAAACTCACTGGTTTGACTGGAATCCTGCTGCTGCACAATTTTAACGTGTTTTTAGATGGGGTTATGATCGAGAATAAGCTTTACGTGGCCTCTCTGGACTCCCATATATTTGCACTAAGTTTAGTCGGGCACCATTTGCAGTCATCAGCCGACATTTGAAGCAAAAAACAGGTAAAAAAAAAAAAAAAAAAAAAGCAGCGTCGCCGCACCACTTTTTGGGCAAGCTCCATACCAGATACCGGAGACTTTTTTTTTGTGGCCATATTATCTCATCAATTAAGTTCCAAACTTTTTGTTCCCCGAATTGTTCAGCTCCGTCTGAGAGATCCAGGGACGACATCCCAATGAGGGAACTGAACTACGCCTCCATCGACCACGGACAGGTCAACGAGACCAGCGGGGGCCGCAGGGGACCGCCCGTGGGTGGGGTGGCCGTCTTTGGGGGCAGGGTGAGTATTCAAAACTAGTCCGAGTATCACCGTGTTATCCACGGAGCCAAATCCTGTATAACGTCTGATATCTCCTGACGTGTACATTTATGCAAGCCGCGCGCCAGCCAATATCGGAGTCGACTTTACTAAATTGTGACGTCATTTCATTCCCTAATCAGGACTAAATGGTTTGAATGGTCAATTCGAACGCAGTGTTTTGTAATGCAACAACAGCCGGGCGCATTATCCCGTAACATGATACAGAGCGTGTGACACAGGTTTTTTTATCCATTGTCTGTGAAGCGCATTGTGTGAATGACCGAAGACCCGATATAGAAAGCGCCTGCTGATTGGTCAAAATCTAGAAGTCAAGAGGCGGTTGTCTTGCCTAATTAATCAGCAAATCTGCTCACATGTCATACACCTCGGCATTTGCCATGGTCTATTACATAGACTTGTGTTCGTAGGGAGAATTTAAAAAAAATTACCTTTATTAGTAAGGAGTATTTAAACTGTTTGTTGAGTTCTCCCAAGTAATGCACCGGAAGGTACCAATACAACTATAGGGATATTCCATGTGTTCCTAGTAGGGAGAACTTTTAAAAGTAACCTTTATTAGTAAGGAGTATTTAAATTATTTGTTGAGTTCTCCCAAGTAAAGCACCGGAAGGTACCAGTATAGCTATAGGGATATTCCATGTGTTCTTAGTAGGGAGAACTTTTAAAAGTAACCTTTATTAGTAAGGAGTATTTAAATTGTTTGTTGAGTTCTCCCAAGTAAAAGCACCGGAAGGTACCAGTACAACTACAGGGATATTCCATGTGTTCTTAGTAGGGAGAATTTTTTAAAATAACCTTTATTCGTATGCAGTATTTAAATTGTTTGTTGAGTTCTCCCAAGTAAAGCACCGGAACGTACCAGTACAGCTATAGGGATATTCCATGTGTTCTGAGAGAGAATTTTTAAAAGTAACCTTTATTAGTAAGGAGTATTTAAACTATTTGTTGAGTTCTCCCAAGTAATGCACCGGAAGGTACCAATACAACTATAGGGATATTCCATGTGTTCTTAGGGAGAATTTAAAAAAAATAACCTTTATTAGTGAGGAATATTTCAATTGTTTGTTGAGTTCTCCCAAGTAAAGCACCGAAACATACCAGTAGAGCTATAGGGATATTCCATGTGTTCTTAGCAAGGAGAATTTACCAACTGATCATCTTTTTTCCCCCATTATAGGATCCCCCACCACAGCGAGACAACGTGGTCTATGCCCAAGTCAACAAGAACCGCCAACCCTCCAGCGCCGTCTATCTGGACTCCGGCGGCGGTCCGGCCGGCGATTCCTGGGTGTGAGCCTGCTCATCAGACCGGCAAGAACAACAATATCATGAAATATTCATCAAATTTGTACATCTAGTGAATTTTTTTTTAAAGGGGGTTACAATTGAAGTTTGGTTTTAAAAATGCGATGTGATTTCACGGTCAAGGCCAGTACTTGGAAGTATCCAAATTATACTAGTACATGTACTTCACCAAATACAAGTACTACAGGGAGTGAAATACGCTGTCGGGCATGTGAATTGTGATTTTTGGCACTGACAGTTTTTTTTTTCATTTGATCCCTGCCATATTTTTCTCCCACATTGAGAGTTTTGTGTTTTATTGATAAACATGTAGTTGGTTGCCTGTGCCGTACATATTTTGCGCCATTTGTAGGTTGCTGTCACGAACTGCTTGTTAACAAAAAAAACAAAGCTGGCAAATTTTGTCAGAAAGGGTTTTTTTTTTGTTGATATTTGCGATATGTTTTCAGTGACCTTTTTTTTTTAAAATTACTTGCTGCGGACGGAAACAATGTGTTTGAGAATTTCGTATTATTGAGAGTATGCAAATTCGAGAGAATTTCGCGTAATTATTCAGTCTGTGATTTTTTTTTAGGGAAAAAAGGTTACAAATATCCACGAACAAATTCTCGAATAAATTTTTTGTACTAAACGTCCCCTGATCATTTTGTAACCAAAAATTTACATTTTTGTACAGTGTTTTTTTGTTCATGCTGTTAAAGAAAACTACTTGCGAAAAAACAAAAACTTTGAAAAAAATTGACCGCATTAGTGTCAACAACAAGCTTGCAATGACGTGTGATTAAACTAAAGAAATAAATTTGGCTTTAAAATAAAAAAAGAAAAACAGACATTTTTTAAGCTTGTAGATTTAATGTGTAAAACAGTACTTTTTTCCCAGCGGACGTTTTCAATCGAGCTTATTGTAGATTGCATAATTATTCTGATTAATTAAAACTGTACAGTTAAAGCATTTCTGGTAGTTTGTATTATTTGACCTTTTGACATTTGACCTTTGCTACAGTGTATATTTGGCATATGTAGTTGTAATGGGGGAGTCGGTGTTTTGGGTTTATTTCTCCCGAATGGAAAAGTTTTGGAAATTTTCCGGATGGGTTTGGAATTTCTGAAGGACATCTCGTGGCTTCAGAGATTTCGTAGAAACATTTTTTGTTTATGTTAAACATTTAAATTAATTCGTAATTTGGAAATGGTTCAGATTTAGCATTTCCATTCAAAACGGTTTGTACAAAATGGGAACATATCATACAGTCACACTTTAGCTGTCTTAAGATTTAGTGCACGCTTAAAACTTGTTTTATTTCGTTTTGTGTTTAACAGTAGTTGGTTAACAGATTTTACAGCCTGTTTTTGGTTTTTTTGGTTTTGGTTTTCTACAATCCATCTGGTCTGGGTAGTGAGCTAGGCTCTAGGCTGGTGCCTTGCTTAGATTATCCCATGGTAGTAATAATGTACTTTTGGACTCCAGACACCAATTCAACTGCAAGTAGCTTAGCTTTTGATGGATAACGGGTGTCAATCCTTGGGTCCAGAGTTGGTTAAAAAAAAAAAAAAAGATTTTTGAAACTTGCAATCCCATGAAGATACATGTAAAAAAAAAGAATATTTAAAAAAAGTATGCGTATCAGTGGTTTACCAACAAAAGTGGGTTCTTCTGGGTTGATTAGTAATGTAAAGCATGTAAAAGCTGGGTACCACTGGGTTACATTTAGTTGAATGGGAACATCAAGGACTTACAAATGGATACCATAGGTGAAATGCAGTGGACTGATGACAGAGCATGAAACCACTGGGTTGAATGGAGTGGACGTGAATACCCACTGGAAGTAAAATGATGGGTACCACTGGGATAAACCGATTCACAGTGGAACACCCAAGAGTAAGAACACGAGCATAGCTGCCAACTAGTACGATTTTTTCGTAATTATTACGAATTGTTTGTTAAATTACGAAAATACGATTTGCCACTAAAACATTACGAATTTCCCATTTTCTACCTAACGAAACAAAAAATGTAAAGTATCGTTTTTGACCGAAAACTTCTGGCGAAATGTTGCGATAATGGATGGACTGGTGACAAGTCTAATAAGAATGCAGTCAAGCACCTGATAGACATCAATGCAGTGTGCGCAGTGGAGTACTTGAGGACCAGACTAAAAATATTTTTCAATGGTGTGTCATTTGTGTGCATCTCGCGGATGTGTGGTTGTGTGTACTGTATGTGAGTACTTTTCAGTGACGATCGTGAGCACATTTAGTCGCTTATTGCCGGGATGAGACCCATCAGTGCGAGATTTTAATCATGGAATTTAATAAGAGTATGGTTGGAATAATTGGTAATAGAGTTTTAGTTTGTCACAAGGGACAGAAAAGATAAATCAGCATGCGTTTGCAAGGTATGTTGGCGGGATATTTCTATTGCATACGGTGGCCATAGATCATTGTGTGTAAAAACATGATACGAACTCAAAACTCAACATCGATAGCATGCATCTCCAAAAAAATATGCGCATATGTTATTGATTTTATTTTATTTATTTGACTTCCACAAACAAATGCAGACATTAAAACAAAATTAATTAAATTTTTTTTTTTTTTTTTTTTTTTTTTAAATTATCTTTTGGCCAACAGTACATTATTATTCACAACAAGAAGGGTATGCACATGTATGTGTACATGTAAACCATGTACCTGTACTCGATGTTGGTAAAGCTTTCGATAAAACGAGAAGTTGAAAATGACCGCACGGGTTGATTACTAATTGGGATTTTGAAATGTTGGCAGCTATGCACGAGTGTCACTGGGTTGCATATAGTGAGCAGGAACAATAAGTGGTAGCACTGGGTTAAATGGATTCACAGTTATACCCAGCTTGAAAAATGGGTACCCTTTGAATGCTGCGGGATGGAACACCCAGAAGTATGCACAGAAATATGGGTACCACTGGGTTGAGTGCAGATGGCTCCTTGAATACCTATGGGTACCATTGGGTTCAATTGCAGAAGGATGGAACACCCAGAAGTAAAAAGAAAAAAGGGGGTACCACTGGGTTGAGTGCAGATGGCTTCTTCAACACCTATAGGTACCATTGGGTTTGCAGCAGGATGGAACACCTGAAGATGAAAAATGGGTACCACTGGGTTTAGTGCAGATGGCTCCTTGAACGCATATAGGTACCATTGGGCTTGCAGCAGGATGGAACACCTGACCTTATGGGTACCACTGGGTTGAGTGCAGTGGGCTACTTGGAACGCCTATGGGTACCATTGGGTTAAACTACAACCAGGAGTTGAAAAAGTCCAAATCAGTTTGGATTTTTTTTTATGTGTCAATTTATCAGCTCTTTATTTAATAGACTTTTTTTAATGTAGCTAATAAACAAACCACTAATGCCTTGTAAATATATTGACAAAAAAACAAAGACGTTTTTAAAGATATTTCGTAAGTTTGTCACACAAAAAAAGGTTTTAATAAAATGTTGCCAGGTATACGTAGAAGATGAGAATTGCTCGTACAATTTTAAGGCCATGTTAAAAGAAAGACCAAAATCTGACGTGTTGTGCCAATTATACAGTGTTTCTAAAAAAAGAATTGCAAACAAAATATGACAATGCCAGACGTTGAATGTGTAACCAACATAGATAATATAGGTATGGTTTGAAAGATACGCCTTTCCACTTTAAAATGAGACATCAAACATCCAAATCTGGTAATTTTTACAGAGTTATGAGTAATTTTCCAAGAGAGTTCAAATTGACCAGGGACCAAGTTTTTCAATTTTAGGCATTGGGACAAAGGTGGCCTAATTACCTCTGTGTGGATATTTGCCTTGCCTACAAAAAATGTGTTTAGCGAGTAAACAGAATTCTAAACACTTTCTTTCTATCACGTCATGCTAAAAATTGTTTAGCATGTAAACATGTTTACAAATTGATAGCAAGAAAGTGTTTAGGATTGTATTTACTCGTTAAACACATGGCTTTTTTTTGCAGGCCAGGCAATTATCCACACAGAGGCAATTAGGCTACCATTGTCCCATGCCTAAAATTGAAAACTTGGTCCCATGGTCAATTTGACCTCTCTTGGAAAATTACTCCTAACATTATCAAAAATTATCAGCTTTGGACGTTTGATGTCTCATTTTAAAGTGGAAAAGCGTATCTTTCAAACCATACCTATATTATCTATGTTGGTTACACATTTTTCGTCTGGCATTCCGTTATATTTTGTTTGCATTTTTTTTTAGACACACCGTTTATTACCGATACATGTATTGGAAAAAAGGTTTGTCCGCCAGTTTGTAGGTAATAACCTTTTTGCTTTTTAGCGTCTCTCTGCAGATTTTTCTAGCAATATGTTTCGTTGAGCAGAACGATTTTGTTGACCAGCTGATGTAAAATACATCACAAGCTTTCTTCCCAGTTTAATTTAATAATTTCTGTAAATGACATAACACTCAATGTCTTGGTACTTTTGCTTTTTAAGGTTTTCTCTCTTTCTGTAAAAAAAATTTGTTTGGATACTATTAACATGGCCTTAAAATTATAGAAATTGTATTTAAAAATAAAAAATAGTTTTTAAGAACATTTTGCTGTTCCAAAAAAAACCTGTTCTTCCAGTGACCTCTGCACAGTTAAAAACAAGTTAATTAGCATAAAGGTCACGTGTAGAAAGCCGTTAATTATTGTATTATGAAGAGAAACGTGTAAATGTATGCGCATATTTAAGAGATTCATGAGGTTGATTGAAACTTTACAGTGATGAATATTCATCGTGTGGCTTAGTCGATGAATATTCATGTTAGGTGACCTTTTTTGTCAGTCAGGCTGTGAACATTTTTGCATAATTATAAAAAAATAAAAGTTTCGCCATGCAGTTGTAAAACGGGGTTGCTGGTTGGTCTATTTGTGTAGATGTGTCTTTATTAGCCTCTGCGAGAGATCAAGCGCTTTTGTAGACAAAAGCAGTTTTCCTGAAAACGGATCGAATCACGCTATTAAATTAACGTTGGCATTCACTTTTATAACAACATATTTTTAAAGGGCGATTTCCAAACCTCGAGTTCGTCTCCAGCTTCGGTTGAGGAACTTTGTTTTGGTCCCTTGACTTCGAAAACTCTATTTCAGGAACATCAAATACATTATCAGCTGTAAGCCAAAGTTCGGATCACTTCCATTTGATTTGGAAACGGAATGAAGGCCTCAGAGCCAGGGATGTACCGAAGCCGTGTTTTCGAAAAAGTCCCATAAGAGTGTAACCTAGCTACGGAGGTTTAACTAGTAACCAATGTGCGTTAAGTCTGGCACAATCGGGTTCGCGGCTTCCCGCCCGTTTCTATACTGTTTTGGATCTTATGGCCGTGAGTCGGTATGAACCACGCTATCGTTTTATGCTCACAGATTGACCTTAAATAGATAACTCCTCTGTGCGTTCTCTGTCTTGATTTGTGGACGTTAACCTGATTGTTGATAATTAACAATCTTGTCAAAATGTCAACATCATCACAATGAATGGTTGCACTTTGTAAAAATCCAACTTTTTAAAAAACTTTGTGCGTACGTTCAAAGCATGGTATCAAAGTCCTCTCCCAAAAGTTTGTTCGTAAACATCAGCTTTTCTAATTCCTTTTGTTGTACATCAAAATGTATTTTTAAAATGTGAATTCTAAATTAAAAACTGTTTTGTAATTATACAAAATCACTGTTATGCATTTATATTTGGAAAGCACATTTTTGAATAGTATTATACTAACAGTACAATAATCACAGAAATGTATAAAATCGCTTAAAAACCGTACAAGCAGGGTTTGCTGAGGTGCGATGAATAAGTTCAAGAAATATTTTATAAAAATGTGCTTTTAATTTAAAGTTTAAAAGTTTAGAAACAACTTCACAAGACCAGTCAGGGAGTCGCGAATCTGACTAGGGTAGGTCCAGTAAGTCGTTTTTCTCGAACAGCGTCTGCGTAATGTCCACGACCTCTCTCATCAGTCCGATAGCCGTGTCGGCCATGGCTTCCAACTCCTCTTTGGGTTGCTTGACGTTCCTCTCCAGGAAGACCTTCCGAATGGGCAGGGTCTTGATGGCCAGGAGGGCTACCTTCTGCACCAGCCAGGGCTCGTGGCGGGCCAGGGTCGCCTTGTACTCCTCGCTGGCCGCCGTGCTGGTGTACCCCTCGTCAGGCATCGACTTGATCCGGTCCAGGAAGCGCGTCACGAAGTTCAAGGTACGGTGCATGCGGAGCACCGTGCGGGAGCCGTTCACCAGGCCGGACTTGGAGGGCTTGGCCCGGGTCAGGCCCGCGCTCACCTCGTGCGCGACCATGGACTGCAGCGTGGCGTAGTGCTCGGGGTCCTCGGCCCGGTGCGCCCGTAGGATCTTGACCATCGCGCGAAGGTCCTTGGCCACGAAACCGAAGGCGGTCCCCAGTAGATCGAAGAAGCTAAAAGGAGACGATTGAGAGATGAACTTATTTTTTTTTTGTATCACTGTATTAGAATACTGTTAAAACTAAAACATGTCAAAGTTACCTCAGTCTTGCGTCAGTATTATGACTTTGTAGGACTCGAGTCCAGGACTCTGACTTGAGTCGGACTCGAGTCACAGTTTTCGTGACTCGGACTCGACTCGAGTCACATTGGAAAATGACTCGGACTAGAGCTTGATGTCTCGTGACTCGAGCCTAGCCTCACGTATTTTCATCAAAAGAAAAAACCTAACGTAGGGATGAGAAAGGATCATTGAGGAATAATGTTCGGATGATAAAACATGGAGGGAAGGGATAGAGGAGGATTTGGGGATGGGAATTAAAAGGAAAACACATTTTGGGTGTAAACAACATGTACACACAAGGCATGCAAGGTACACAATATACACTGGGATTAACTTAAAAGACAGAATGGATGATTAAAAAATAATTTCAAAATATGATTAGTTTGGTGAACAACTAAGAACAGTGACTCGTGACTCGGACTCGAGGCTTGTGACTCGGACTCGGTGACTCGACTATGAAACTGTCTTGTGTACAGCATGTTAACACTCTCAAAAACACAATTTTGGGAACAAAACAGCCTTAATAATAACAGCTAGTAGCTAAGCCTACGTGAAATTAATGCACCACTGGACGTCATATCGGTTGATGGCCAACAGCCGCCGAAAAATATTTAGTTTGGAGTCTGTGTCTACCGTGATCGTTGTCAACCACAAAAGTCACAAACTAGACCGCCAACAAACTATAGGCTTAAACGTACCCTGCAATGTCTATAAACGCTGTCGCGTACTCCTCCAGCAAGATTTCATTTTCAGGCGTCTTTGCCGCTCGGAACTCGTCCTGAAGTTTCAAAAAGTCGAAAAGCTCCCGCTTAGCCATGTTGTCGTTCCGTCCTGGTCGGCCAAACTTTACGATCAAATCTCTCGTGAGATGGACCTACCTTTGCCGGTCGCTGTGGACTTTAGACCTTGGACCGACTGAACTTATACCTGAAAACTACAGGTGGTTTTTCTAGTGACAATTTGCCAAAAAAAATATCCACTGTTCACTGTCATTATAGGCAGCAAGAATAGCCCTTATATACTCAACCCTTTTTTTAACATCACTTCCTTGACCGAGTGTTTCAGTAGCTAGCCTAATCATGGAGGAAGGAAATACAAATCCGAATGGCAAACACTATACAAACAAACTCTTTTCATGGGAAAGTTCATTCACTGTTCAGTATGCATTTAGGCCGCCCCGCATGGTTGTTATTTACAAAAGGCCTTTTCACCGTGACACTGCAGAGCCAATTCCCCGGAAATAAATCCCCGGCGGGGAAATTCCCGGGGATTTTTTTTTACTCCACCAACACCCCAGCAACCGTTCACACTAATGAGTTGTAGCGGGAACATAATGGTACAATATTGTTTGCACTTTATGCACAGTCATGTATCGATGGTTTGTTGTTTTAGTGGTGCATGGCTTGTGTTGTGTGTGGATGGTCGGCCGGCTGACTAACCGTGACCGTGACGCCGGTCAAAAGTGCCTACGTTACACTGTAGCGCTAGCCGACCCATTGCAAAACGGGCTGGGACTGGAAGAAAAAAAAGCATTCAAACCATGTTTGAAACCAAACGTGAATTTAAACCCCGGGGGTGACTTATTGTGAAGTTTCTTAATCCGGAACTATTCTTTTCAATGTGTTGACCCTCTTCAATTACATTTCAAGGGGATTCTGCGGCATTTGATGAAGTACATGTCGCTATATGAACATAAAATGAAAAGGTCATGCGAGTGACACTGCTGCCCCCAGCTTAGCGCCACCAAGCGTTAGATAACACCCTCAAGAAATCCAAGTATAAAGTTTAGGGGGGGGGGGGGAGGGTGTATGAGCGAAGTATTAAATGTACACGTCCGTTCAGACTCCGTGCTTGAGGGCGCTGTGGTATATGTTATTATTAACCTCAAAACTTGGCTCGCGCTGTCACTTCGATTGGCACGCATGTAGGTCTACATTGAAAAAAAAAAATCCTCAAAACTAAGTAATGATCGTGTTTCTCATGTGTGGAATTGTTACCGACTGGTCCAAAGCACCAAATTTGGCATGCAGACTCTATGGGTCTGCCTGTAGCAGGGTGACACCTGAAAATTGTTTTGACTTGTACCTTATTTGCATAAATCCAAAATGGCTGCCGCGCCATATATTTTATGCACATGATTTTATACATTTGCAAAAAAACAATTTTGAAAAGAATATTTTGGGCATTCTATTTACATATCACTTGCTTAAAAAACATTTTCTAAAGCACATTAGTGACTGGATAATTATGAGGACATAAAAAGTATGAAAGATCCAAAATGTATACCCTAACCTTTTTCCCAGATTGCATCAAGTATAGTCTTGCCAAACCTCGGCATTTCGAGCCTCAAATTCACAGTTTACTAACTGGCACAGTTTCCCTAATAAAACTGTGTGAAATATCATGTGAGCAATGATAGCATCATTTAGCTAGAAAGGTAAAAAATAAAACAGAGGTGGCCGGAAATCGGTCTCAAAATTAGGCGAAGGGTTGCCTAACGTGGGGGACTTGAACGAGTTTAAAGAAACTCCCAAAAATAAGAGAATATGGTTGTTTATAATGCCGGTATGTCAATGTCAAAAGTTTTCTTAAAGTAAATTTCAGCCCTTTTATCAAAACAAGACGAACAGAAAACACTATTGAATGACAACTATATCCATTCAAAGTCATATCCATGCAATAATTGCTTTAATATTTCATCGATAAGTTTCCTCAAAACATGCATGCCTGCCTTTTATATAAAATATAAACTGCATAATATTGCATTTCAGTATTAAAAAAAAATAAGAACATCTGTTATTCACCTTTATGACAACGCTGCGACCACTTGTGAAATATATTAGTTGGTGTGTCAGGAATAATCAGATTACATAATTGGGGGGAAATATTGAATTCCCTACATCAATAAATACTACATTGGGTTATCGCATAATACAATTTTATATCTGACTTTCTAATTACTGGACAAATACCTTAACGGTAACATAATTTGCAAACATCAAACAACAAAAAACTACAATGCCTTACTTGACTGTAAGTGAATAATAGTCTCAAGCATCCTGTGAAATCATGGCACATGTGCTGTCAGTTTCAAGAAACAAAGTGGAATTTTTTACCATTTTCAAACGATGGTTGGCGGGCTATCGTTGGAAAAAAAATGACCTTTTATCAAATACATGTACAGCCCCAAAAATTACCAAATTAAGTTCCCATTTTTTGCAATGAGTTACATATCTGTGAAGTGGTACAAGCCAGCTAGTCTGGTTCCCTGACCAGACAATTCCCCAACATCTATAAATTGCTCTGTTTCATCTGATTTAGGGTCAGGGAGCCTGACTACAAGGACAGCATTTTTTTTATTGGTTTTCCAGCCTCTATGAACACAAAACAGGTCAGTGTAACAATATTTGTTATAAAATACCCACCCCAAATCCATCCATTTCTGAAAATGACAGCAAACGCAAATGTTGTATATTACTTTAATTATTTTCCCCTAAAATGGTCCCTTGTTTCACATTTATTTTATCCTAGATTAAATGAGTATGGCACACTTTGTAGATGTCTTGGAATATTCCCCCGAGGAACACTGACAAACTATTATATCATTCCACCCTCTCCCCAAACTTCCTGAGAAAAGTGTTTTGTGCGTTGAACAACTGACTAACAAGAATAAAGCAAATTCAAATAATTATAGAAAAAAATCTGCATCTTGTTTTTTGCATATACGCAAAAAACAAGATGCAGATTTTTTTCTATATCCCTTGCACGTTAAAATGCACATTATAAACGTCAATTCTGTTTTGATTTACAATCAATCCTGGCTTTCATTTTGAAAACTCCCAAAAATGACATTAAAAACCTTTCTTTTTCATTGTCTTAGAAATAAGTACATAGTTTGTAAAGTTGGTTATGGGTGTTCAATCCCATAATCTGGAACTGGTTCCTGACATTAGGTCAAAAAATAAATAAATAATAAGTTCTGCTTCTGATTAAATATGGCATTTTAAAATAGGGTAGGTTGGGGGGGGGGGGGGATTTTTTATGTTGATCATATACATGTAGGTGTCTGCGTGTAGTCAAGGGTACAAAGGTAGTAATTGAAGGTTTTTGTCTTTGTTTTCTCTCTCTTTTTTCCCCAAACAAATTAGGGTCGGGCTGTCAAAATAGGGTAGGTAGGGTAACCGGAAGCAAAATTATTTATTTTTTGGGCCTCAGCGGTTGGGTACATAGGTACCCAGTTGCGATGCACACCCCTACCATAGTTAGGGCGTAACAGCGCAGTTAAAATGTAGATAGTGGATATTTTGCCGGAGGTAATGACGGCAAACTAACAATTACTAAAGGTTTGCCGGCGGCAATCCATAGCAACAGAGGGCGCTGTACTCTTTAAAATAGGGCTGAATTATAAGATGTATTAAATTCCCACCAAAAGTTGTGTAGCACGTTTGGTGTAATGGTTAAGCAAAAGCTCTAGTAAGCGGGATGACTCGCGTTCGATTCCGACCGCACCACATTTTTCAGTTTTTTTTTCTCATCCCCAAATAAATAAGAATAATCTTCTTTTATTATTTTAACATGTCTAAAACATGTTTTGCAGAGTATTACATTTTCTTTTTCAGATTTGTGGCTCTGGAGGATTTTTTTTAAAAGGGAAATAAAGTCCGAAATTATAAAATGGTCTGAATCCCATCTTGTGAATACGAGGTAACAACGATAATTTTGGCATGGAGCCAGACTAAAACTTGTCACCGGAAAATGTTTAAGTACCAAAAAACAGTAACTGCGCATGTTCAGTGCATATCCGGCAAACTAACGTTTACTAAAGGTTTGCCGTCTCCAGCAAAATATACACTGCCTAAAATGTATGGAAATGGAGCGTTAGGGCGAGGTATTTACTTCACACACTAGTATCCGATCCCATAATCTGGAACATCAGTGTTTGGGTACACTGGTACCCAGCTGCGATGCACACCCCTACCAGAGTTGGGGTGTAACAGCACAGTTAAGGATGTATGGAAATACAATGAAAGAGTGAAAAGTGGCTATTATTTCCCCAAGGAATAGAAGGGGAAAGCCACCCATTGCTGTAGGTACCGGTAGTAAGCTCACAATCTGTGTAATGACATTATCCAATAGTCGGCACGTATTCTAAGTGATCTTTCAGGAGCCAATAGTACCAGGGCGTGAAGGGGGGAAGTTCTGAAGGGCGCTATTTATTGAAAAATGAGTATCGGAGCACTGGCAGCTTAAAATCGCTATACCGAACGATCGCTATTTACGAACAGTTTCTGTGGATCCCGCGATGTTCGTTATAGCGGTGTTCCACTGTAGAGCCTTTGCGTGAGGTATTCAATTCACACACTTCACTGTACCTAGTAAGTATGAGCGGCCATTTCATATTAGCTTAAAATTTAAGTCTCAATACAGCATGTTGATTGTCCTAAATTTTTAGACTGCATGTAAGTTATCATCAAGGGAGATCCAGTAAGTCATTATCGGTGTACAACTGCTGCGTGATGTCAGCAATCTCCGTCATAATCGCAGCCGTCGGCCCGACCAACTTCTCTAGCTCCTCTTTCTCCTGTTTGCAGTACTTCCGGATGAAGACCGCGCGGGTGGGCAGCGTGTACATGGCCAGGCCCGCAATCTTACGAATCATCCAGGGGTGGAACTTGCCCAGCGATCTGTTATATTCCTCCGCGGCGGGCTTGCTCGTGTACTCGTCGTCCTTCATGTCTTGCAATCGCCCGAGGAACTTTGCCACGAAATCCATGGTTCGGTGGAGGCGAAGCAAGGTGCGGGAGCCGGAGAGAAGACCCGATGGGGTCTTGGCTTGGGTCAGGTTGTTTTCGACCTCGTAGGCCACCATGGATTGGATGGTGACGAAGTGGTCCGGGTTCTCGGCGCGGTGGGCTTTCAGGATGCCCACTTTCTCGTTGATGTCCTTGGAGACGAAGCCAAAAGCGGTGCCCATCAGAACAAAGAACCTGCAAAAGATGCAAAAAAATATTGACTTTTCGAATGAAAGAGTGCAGTTTTGAAAAGGAGTTTCTCAAGCTAGGCCAGCGCTGGCTTTTTTTTTTTAGACGATATTAAGCCAGAACGGTACTGTGACAGATCTTAATCTGAGATGGGAATCAGACCACTTACAATTTCGGATTTTATTTCCCTTTAAAAAAATCCCCGAAAGCCACAAATCAGAAAAGAAAAATGTATCGTCACTGACGTCAGACCCCCTAAAGCTACGCGGTCCTATTTCAACGCACTTGTATTCAATTTGTATCTGACAATGCGCGCGCGTTGCAAGCGTTACCTGCGCAGATTATGGAGGGTCGAGGATATACTCTACAAATGAATGTAGGACTAGGCCTAGTACCGAGTCAATTTAAATTTAGCATACTTTAATATCCATATCAACGATAAAGATAGTCCTTAAATATTTCAGTAATTCCGTAATAACTAATAAATATGTCACTTTTTACTATTTTAGTAACATAAAAATGTGGTACAACAAAGTACAAGGACAAGGTCACTGAAGGTCATCTGAAAACAATCCAACAGTTATACATGTATTCTCACTGTCATTTGTTACATAAAATTGAGCAAAAAAGCCTACCGTGACAAGTCGTTGAATGCGTTAACATAATGTTCCATCAAAATATAATGTTCTGGTGTTTTTGAGGCAGTAAATTCGTCCAATAAATGCTTGAAGTCGAACAGTTCTTTCTCTGCCATGATGACTGCTTCCGGCCGGCACTTGTTGTTGACCTAACGACTGTTTGATAATTGATGACACGGGCGGGGTGTCGTAAACATAAAAGGGTCGTCTGCTAGGCACATGTTTGGTTACTGATGGTGGGCAATAGGTTTTAGCGTGCACTGATAGGCAGGGTGGCAGTCTGGTAACATTTTGGTTGAGACCATTGTAAGTGTGGGTAATCACCTTTGTAAACATTGGGTTTAACTTACATATGTGCTGTTAATTATTATATGATATCACCTAAGCTTGTATGAATTCGATTTCAATTTTACTTGCTGTGTATTTGTGTGATGTTTTGTATTTTTGTTGCCAATAACTCAAAGTAGTAATATTTTCACTTGGTTAGTTCACCTATTTTTAATATTGTAGAGACCCGGTTTTCATGTGTATTTATTCAGCAACAAACGTGACAAACTGGTTATGAATTGTCTTGTCTCACTCTTGATTTTACTAAAATAAAATTACCTTAAAAGTCGTCGCAGCTAGCTGCAACCACAAGTTAACACGTTGAGGGGGCCATGGCAGAGATAAAAGTCACTCCTCTCGGTAAGTGAAGAGGCTATTTTCATGATTTTTGAGCAAGTTAGATTAAAACCACTGAAATTGAAAACGCAGTTTACAAAAAAATCACCTGTCATCTGGTCATGCCTGTGGCGCTATATGGCATCACTGCATCATTTTGCATGCACATCAACAATTCAATTCAATTCAATTCAATTCAATTCAAGAAACATTTTTTCATACTCCAGAGAAATACATCAATAAATAAAAGCTATCTCATGTATCTGGTACATATAAATAACGAATTCGATAAATATGTCACAAACAAATGTAATAAAAGTAAACTGCGCTATTAACAAATGACAATGACTGATTGATCAACTCAACAATTGCTTTACAAAAAATACAACATTTGATAGGGCGCATAAATTAGCACCAGAAATCAACAGTGTTTGAAAGTTTTGTTTTTACATATATCATCACCAACACTATAAGCCTAGTAAAACTAAAGTTATCAGGATTTGTTAATTTATATTTTTTGTCAAATAGAAAAAAATTACTTAGGCCTTAGGGCCCTATCATTTATTTTTGAATTATGCGTGTTTTAGATTAAAACAAGTTACAACTTAATTTATATGCCACTCATACTATTTTCTTTCTTTCTTTTAATTCAACAGGTGCAGGACAAGGTATGTTTTGAGACCTATTTTGTTTGTTTTCGACAAATTCATTTGTCTAAATTTAAATCTAAGTGGTGTGTGGCTAATTTCAAAACCAGATTAACTTTTATAGTTCTATTTCATTCACACAATGTAAACAGAACATACATGTCAGGCATGTTAAAAACCAAATAAATTGTTTGCCTTTTCTAGTAGAATGAAAGAAGTATTGTTGTACAGTACAAGTAATGAACACAATTAGGGCTGTCTCGAATAAAACAAATATTAAAATAATCAAAAGTCAACCAAATATTCCAATAGCTTTTTGCCAGTTTGAATATAAAAAAAAAACTAACAAAGTGTAAAACTTGATCGGAGAGTTTTTAATATTCGAATATTCGGTGAAATGTAGCTTTGAATAATACTAAATTATTCAATAATGGACATTTAATAGTTAATTGTTAGGAATGTGTTCTACTGTATTGCCACTATTAAAACATTTTTTGTTTGCTCTGTATTGGGTTCAGATGTCGGCCGCAGTTGCATCTTGGTCACAATCGGCGGCAAGAACATCATGCTAGATTGCGGCATGCACATGGGCTTCAACGATGATGTAAGTTGTACTATATTTTCAGTACACTGATTTAAAGGGAAAATACAACATTTGCAAACATCAAAAAATAATACTACCAAATCATTTTGAAATACCTTGCTGGACTGTTAGTGAATGACAGTGTAAAGCATCCTGTAAAATCATGGCACCTGGTATACTGTCATTTCAAGAAAAGTGGTATTTTTGTATCAATTTCCAACGCTGGTCGGCCGACCAGCATTGGACAAAACGGGCTTTTTTCAAATACTGGCCCCAAATGACCATCGCACTTGTTTGCAATCGATTACACACCTATGAACGGGTACAAGCCAGCTAGACTGGTTCCCTGACCTTACAATTCCCCAATGTATGTAAACTGCTCTGTTTCTTCTTATATGGAGTCAGGGAACCAGACTACAGGAAAATGATTGTTTTTCTTGGTTTTTATAGTATTTTCGAACCCAAAACCTCAAAAAGTCAGTGTAACTATATTTGCTATATATTTCCAACCCCCCAATTCCATCCATTTCTGAAAATTACAGCAAAAGCAAATGATGTATATTCCCTTTAATACACCTTATGCGTAGCCGCCATGTTAGAGAGCATTTCTTGTTATTTTAATTCCATAACAATGAATGCACAAATGGTTCACTCAGCGCATATATCCCAGCAAAACAAATGCATTGCCATCTGAGATGGTTGCTGCGCATAACGTCTACAGTCAAATGAATGGTGCTAGCTGAATTTGCACCGTCTAATTTTGTTCATTAGCCCTAACAGAACTCAACCTATCAATTCCCAACAGCATGTTTTGTTGGAATCTGTCGGGATGGGTACAGTACCCCTAAACTGACAGTCTGTTACATTGGGTTGGCACACCTCCAGAAACTAAGTCAGAAATATGTGTGTACAGTTTTCCCATACGGTGTTGGAATTTGACAGGATGGGTATGGTTCCTAGTAAATCATGCTAGGGAGTTAGGGTTAGTTCCAGCAATTGTAACAAGTATGCATTCTTTAACCCTAACTCTGTAGCGTCTGTTACTTGGAACTGGACCAAGTCCATCAAAATCCATCAATCACTGTGCGTCCAATACAAAACTGTACATGACATAATGGAATCCACCACTGACGCACTGGTTGACATTCATGGACTTGCTACACATGGCTTTTATCACAATAGCAGTATAGGAAGCTAGGCAAAATCAATTTAATACCCCTAGCACTGCTTCAGGCCATTAGGCCCAAGTCCATCATACTCCATCAATATTAAGTCACGCCAGGCCTCCTGGACCAAGTCCCCCAAAATCCATCCAAATTGGGGGATGGATTTTGATAGAGTTGGGGTAGTTAGGGTTAAATAATGCATGCACAGCCTTTATTTCATAACAGTGACTTTTTAAAACTTTTTTGTTTAATTGTCACTACTTTTGTGCTTTTTTATTCCCAGAGACGATTCCCCGATTTCAGCTACATCACCCGAACTGGTCGCCTCACAGAACACTTGGACTGCGTAATAATAAGGTGAGAAACTTTGAACAAATCGCTTACCCGGTAATAGTGGATTGGCGTTTACCTTCCCCAATCCTGCAAAATCCTCCAAAAACCTAGAAGATTTTGAAGAATCTGGAAGGCTTTAGAGTCGAAACCTAACCCACATTGCTACTTCAAAAGTTCAGATCCTCTAAGACAAGACATTCTCAAGTTTTTGTGTGTTGATCTGATGATCGCGGAGGGCCCGCCTAGTGTCCTGTTTGTACCTATCTCACTGAATTGCTCATTGATTGTCACCTGTCACCTGTGAGCCGGGCAGTGCTATTGTATAGGATTACCCCTAGCACTAGTCCGAAAATTTGGGATTCTCAATACTGTGTATGAGAGTCCCAAAACTTAAGGTATTGAAAACATGCAAAACAAGAAAATAGACTGGCACCTAAAACAACCAGTCCAACACAGCTTCAGTACTGCATCAATCAACCATGCCAAAAGAATTTAAGAAACATGTGGCATAAAGCGGGAACTAGTCTCAATTTACCACACATTTCTCCATAGTAAAGCCACCAGACTATTGACACTGAATGAAAAGGTCAGTCTTTTCAAATAGTTAGACCATGGTTGGACATGTACCAGTCTAGTCTTTAGCCCCATTTTGGAATCACTTGACTTCCCTCTCATGTGCAAAATATTGAAGAAAAGTCTCCTTTGAAAATTGAATTGAGTCTGCAAACTTGGTTGGTGAAATACTGAGGACATGTTCTTTGCCCCAGTGGAATTTTTGGAGAAATTTGCTGGCTTAAGTGTGAGTAAAGTGGGCCTGATTTAGTTTTGCACGTTTCAGAGCACTCCAGAGCCATGTCTGCCCTAGCACCAATGAATGGGCTACTTCCGACCCATTGTTTGGACCAGATGCATGAAAAGACTTCCAGTGAATAGCCGTTCTTAATCAGGGGAGTATACAGCTCGATGCTGCCATTTCGCAGCTAAAATCAATCACAATAACCATCTCTGCCCTCAAAGATTCCCCTATTACTCCTAGGCGGGGAGAAGCAATGAGTGACAAAATGTCTTGCCCAAGGGCACACGCAACATAACCCATGGGCGTTTTCGAATCCCTGTTCTTGACAACACGCGTGTAAACACGAGAACGTGTTCTCGAGCTGGTTGTTACGAACGCGCGGGTGCGTGTCGCATCGATATAAAGCAATGCAAAATGGCCGACAATCGTCTGAATTTGTACTTTGGCCTATTCCAAATGAACGAGGACGACTGTTGCAAAACCGGACATGCGGGGATGAAATTGCAGACCTGCACTATAATGGTATTCTTATTGCAATCATTAGGGTATTAGCAAAAAAACAAACAAACAAAACAAATTTACGAATCTGCACAGTCCCCCATTTTGTTCAAGCTGCACCTCGCCGAACCCTCCATCAACCGGGGAGTGAAAAAATCGATCCGCGAACGCCCTCTCGGGTCTGTTCGTCACGTTCGAGACCGCTGTTCTCGTGTCGGGTTAACCCGAGTGTTGTCAAGAACAGGGATTCGAAAACGCCCCTAGTCTGGACTCAAACCCACAACCTGCAGAATTACCCGCAGACCACCAATTCAATGCTTCAAACCATGAGGCCATGGCTCGATGGTAATTACTGTTTTTCCAACATTGTTCTCCTTTCTTTCTCTAGCCATTTTCACTTGGACCACTGCGGTGCATTGCCGTACATGAGCGAGATCGTCGGCTACGATGGCCCCATCTACATGACCCAGCCAACCAAGGCCATATGCCCCATCCTACTGGTAAATACTCTTCAACCCTAACCATGCTAAATGCAACAGAAAGCAACGATGGTAAACAGTTGTTGCATACTGTTGCATTTAGCAGGCAACTCAAGTCCCTGTGCTTTGTTGCATCTTGTTGCATTTAGCAGGATAACTGCTCAACCCTAACTATGCTAAATGCAACAGAAAGCAACAATGGTAAGAAGTTGTTGCATAGTGTTGCATTTATCAGCCAACTCAAGTCCCCGTGCTCTGTTGCATCTTGTTGCATTTAGCAGGATAACTGCTCAACCCTAACTATGCTAAAAATGCAACAGAAAGCAACAATGGTAAGAAGTTGTTGCATAGTGTTGCATTTATCAGCCAACTCAAGTCCCCGTGCTCTGTTGCATCTTGTTGCATTTAGCAGGATAACTGCTCAACCCTAACTATGCTAAAAATGCAACAGAAAGCAACAATGGTAAGAAGTTGTTGCATAGTGTTGCATTTATCAGCCAACTCAAGTCCCCGTGCTCTGTTGCATCTTGTTGCATTTAGCAGGATAGTGCCAAGGAGATACAACACAATCCACTGTTGTATTTGGTTGCATTTGGCAGGGTAGCTGCTGGGTGCCAAGGCTGGTATGCACTGGGTTCACTGCAAAATGCAACGTTTGTTGCATTTGGTTGCATTTAGCAGGGTTCTTGTTTTATTTGTGTTGGATATTGTTGCATTTTGCCTGATACCTGTAAGAAAACCTGATGGGGTTTAGAGCTAAGTTGAGCCTTTTTCCCGAGTCCCAAAGTGGACTTAAATCTAAGTTAGTTTAATTGGAAACAAACCCAAGCAACAATGTTGACTGAGTACCGTGAGTGTCTGGACACACAGCGTGATACACACAGTCGTGTTTTACTATACTCTCGAGGACAATGCTTTGTGTTTTCCCTTGTCCCTGTAATATAACACTCTTTCGTAAACTCAGCACATAACCGTACAGTAGAGGACCGTTTTCAACAAAAGACCCAACTCCCGAGGACTGAAATGATCTGTTGTTCTCTTCTTTTCCCCAGGAGGACTATCGGAAGATCACAGTGGAGAGAAAAGGAGAGACAAATTTCTTCACTTCGGCAGTAAGTAAAGCACTCTGCACAAAGAAAAAAGGGTTTTTTTTTCCCATTTTCAAGAGCCGTGTGGATGGGGCACATCGCCTGTGCGTACTTGTTTGCATGAGTACAGCACCAAGTACGCACACATATTTGGCATGGCAGTTGCTGTTAAACACAGAAATATTATGTTGGTGTTGGTGGGGTGTTTTTTTCCTGTAAGTGTTTTTGCTTGTTCTTGTTCCTTAGACTTGCATGTAGCCTAGTTTTGGAGCAGCCTAACAACGAGATCGATCATTTTTCCTTCATTTCATGTTTCAGATGATCAAAGATTGCATGAAGAAAGTCATCATCGTCAACCTCCATCAGACAGTCCAGGTAAAACAGACAAACAAATTCTGTGACCAATTTTTCCTGTCTCTGGAAACATTCTCATTGTTTATTTTCGGTTTTGTTTTAATACCTCCAAAAACAAAAGTTTAAAACCAACAAAAAAGTCAAGAAACAAGGCCGCAAAACTTCTGTTTTCATTAGAAATTCATAAACTTGAAGTAAAAGAATGAGGTGTCAAATTTCTTCAATCTGTGGTAAGAGTGTCAAAGTTAAGAGTGCACTTCCGAGAGAAGTTAGAAAATCTGTAGTTTACTTAAAACTACAAATTTATTGGGTGTTTTTTTGACAAGGTTGACGATGAATTGGAGATTACAGCTTACTACGCTGGCCATGTGCTTGGAGCCGCCATGTTCCGCATGAAAGTCGGCTCGCAATCGGTGGTTTACACAGTGAGTATAATGTAGTCAGGCATGAGATTTTTCAGATTTTTGTTCTGAAATCAAACTTTTTGAATCCGTGAGAAAGACAGTAGTATAGAAAGATATGCCTCTTTCAGACATTTCGTCCATTTTCAGACTTTTTTTAATTGACAATCTCACCCCTGTTTATTCCAACCATTAACCCTAACTCCCTAGGGATGTGCAAAATCGTATTAAAATTGGGGGATTCAGGATTGTTAGGGTTAAGGCAAACAGTAGTCTCTGTACACAAACAATAGAGGGCGCCCTGTTACCTGACCATGAGAACTTGTTGAGGACAATTAGCTGGTTCACATGCATTGTACACTGTGTACTCAATCTATGTATACCAGTGCATTTGAGGCAAGATGGCGTCCAATGGTCCTTCAATATATCGACACTTTTTGTTATTCTCACCATTGAGGGGGTTCTTGTGCACAGAGTCTATTTGCAGTAATTTTTTTTTTTAGCTCTACAGTTATTGTGGCCAAATTTATGTGGCCAGTTTGCAATTACAGTTGCGTGCATGCATCCACATATTTTCTTTAATTTGATTGATTTGTGATTCACTTTTTTTTTCTTTTTTTTTCCAAGGGTGATTACAACATGACACCAGATAGACATCTCGGGTGAGAAACAACTTTTCATTTTGTCCTTTCAATATTTTATTTACATACGTTTATCACTCAACTTGCACGGCGTACTTTGTACAATAAGGTGATATAGGCTTGATCTCAGTTGCATAGTGTGCATTCTGGCAAAATGAGATGGAACTGGACACAGGCCGTAGGGGAGAAAAATGCCAAAAACCGTATGGGGGTGATTTTTTTTTTGGCAGATTTATTGATATTTGTAATCTTTGATTTGCCTACTATTTTAAAGAAATAGTACAAAAATTGTGGAATAAAAATGGGTTCAATGAAAAATACTTGTCATCTTTCAATTTCACGACTACAAAACTTGAAAGATTAAAGGCCTTTTAAAGTTTCTTTCTCAGTATGTTATCTTTTTGACATGTCCATAAATGCAAACTTTAAACAGCCATAACTTGTCAACAGAATGTTCGATTGAAGTGCAACAAACAGTATTGTAAGGAGAAATTGTATTCTTTTTCTAATACCTGCAAACCCTCATTTCGACCTCTGCCCAGTTCTGTCTCATTTTGCCAGAACGCCGCACAAATGTTTCAATTCCACCCAACTATTACGCAGTAACTTTTCAGTCGGAGTCTTGCAATGCAACACAGGCTTATCAGTGGACCATTTTGTATTTTGTATCAATCCACATTGACTAGTATTGACAATAAACTGTTTTGTTTGAACTGTTTTTGGTCATCTGTCGGGAACACTGTCAAGTTCCTGAATATGTGTATTAACTAGAAAATGCAATATCGTGACATTTTTCTGTGATTTTGTCTTTGTAAATCTCAGGGCAGCGTGGATTGACAAGTGTAGGCCGGATATCCTCATCACAGAGTCGACGTACGCCACCACAATCCGCGATTCTAAAAGGTAGAAATACCCTGTCCGAACTTGTCTTGAGATACGCTGGTACCGTGTAAATATCTTTCATAATTCTGACTTCAAAAACAGAGCGCAGGAAAGAAACCAGTCTGGAACTGAGAGTATTGTTCCAATTAGAATGACGAATTTTCTTGATATTTCAGATGCCGAGAGCGTGACTTTCTGCAAAAAATCCACGACTGCATCGAGAAAGGTGGCAAGGTGTTGATTCCCGTCTTCGCCCTGGGTCGGGCTCAGGAGCTCTGCATCCTCGTTGAGACCTTCTGGTGAGAAATAAGAGCGAAAAAAAGCAGACACATTCAATCCATCATCAAGAAGTTGGGACTCTTTATTAAAGTAGACAGAATGTAGTTAAGTACCGTAATTTCCTGCGGATAAGGCGCGCGGCGGATAAGGCGCAGGTCCCTAAAATCACCCAAAAAAAATTCAAACGCCAACAGATAAGGCGCACCGCCGCATAAGACGCATGTTTGACCGCACACAGAAGAACACCAGGCGTCACCCGGTGTCGGTACATCGCCACAAAGGGGCCATTGTGTTGCCTTAGAACGATCACACTATTCGGAGGATGAATTAAGCCGTGTCCGCACTGGACTTTTTTTTGGGAAGGTTTTACCGAGACGATAGTAAAATGAGAAATGGTCAAATGTGACCACTGTCCGCACTTGGACTTTCGACACGGGAAAATTTACCCAGACCGCGTGGGAGAAGTAACCGAGCTGTCACAGTGTCAGTATAATTACTCACCGTACACAGAAAACAAATTGCCGATCACATTTTCAGCCGCCGATACGCACAGTAATATTACACACGCCATTTGCATGCACAACATAATCGTTTACACGATATTATTTCATCTTGACACGCTAAATCTTGACGAAAAGGCCTGTAATTCTGACGCATTTGTGATGCACGTCGTCGAAGCCATGCCGCTGTACGATGTTCCGTGCGGCAGCAGTGCCATCAGTATTCGTTGGTTCCCATCGCATGCTTACAGAATCGAAGCTATGATGTGGGCCAGGAACCAGTGACTACGGCCTACGTACGGTACCGGACCATGATGTTCCGTGCATGACTACAGTAGCGTATCAGGACGAATTTGGATCGTAGAAAATAACATACATCGGTGGAGAAAGAGAATTTCCGCAAATTAATTCTCAGAACGTGATCTCTCTTCTCTGTGTATGTATTTGTCCGTTGAAATATATATTTTAACGAGATTTTACCGCTCGGACTTGATGATACACCGCAGCGTGTTTCTACAAAATGTTCGGCCACACTTGCACTGAGGTTCGTGCGGTCTCTGTATGCATAACATGGCGCTCGGGCCGGAAGTACGCTTTCCTGAGCCGCTTTTACCGACTCGCACTGTTTTCATCTTGATCCTCAGGCTTGCAGACTTCGAAGATATCCTGTACAATAAACACCCTCAACGTTCACACAATAGAACTTGAGTGAATGCGATTTCCAAACGTTTAAGTAATTCTGATTGCAGCATTTTCGGAATGAAAAAACGGCCACAAAGAAAAACGTTTGTATGACGGCATTGTTGGAACGAAAGCACGATCACTAAGGGGGATCAACGCATTGCGGCATTGTTGGAATGAAAGCACGATCTTGGGGGATCAACACATCGCGGCATTGTTGGAATGAAAATACGGTCACAATGTCTGGAGAGTTGAGCCTTGGTTGACCGCATTATTGATTGCGGCATTGAAAGAATTCTTCACACAAAGACCGTCACTTTGAACTCAAGCGACACCAGATAAGGCGCACCTGTAGATAAGGCGCAGCGATGTTTTTGTGGTCTAGAAAGTCAGATAAGACGCGTCTTATCCGCAGGAAATTACGGTAAGTTGTAAAGTCTGTAACGAGCCAGTGTGGCCCATCAGGCCGGCGTTTATCTCCGGTTTCAGTAGCATGAAACGACTGAGAATAGTTCTACTTCCCCTGGATGGGATGCTAGTCCATTGCAGGTTACTCCCCAGCTAATGCCGGTACCGATTTATACTCCTGGGTGGAGAGAGGCAAGTGGGGGTGAAGTGGCTTGCCCAAGGACTCAACATACGGCCAGCGGCTGGATTCGAACCCACCCTCTGATCATGAGTCACGAACCCAACCTCCTAGGCCACACTCCCCCAGAATGTAGAGTGCGACTTTTTTTCAGCCACAAAAGAAATGTTGTTATTTGTCTGGCTGAAATGACTTAAATCAAAATTTTGGGTGAAGATAAACGTACCAACATTTTTTGTGTGAAGATCACCTCAAGTTTCACCTTCAATTCAGGAAATCTGGTACTCACAAGTTGTGGTACTTCCTAAAATAGTTTCAGTCCACTCTCCCAACCGACCAACTATGCCCTGGTTTTGCCTTTTGCTTAAAAAAAATATGTCTTGATTTCACGAGACATTGTTTTTCTTCCTTTTGTTTGACATGATGATACAGGGATCGCATGAACTTGACAGTGCCGGTCTACTTCTCGCTTGGACTCACAGAAAAGGTCAGAAAATGTCTAGTTCAAAACAATTTTATTTTTGGCTTCATTTACTTTCAGTTTAGATCTCTGAGTTCAACTTGAGGTCGTGTTGGCTTAGGCAAAAAAAAAATAGTCAGTCTCTGATCAGACCAAAGTTCCAGAATTGATGCAGTGATGCGTTTTGTTTTTTTCAAGCTTGGATTGTACAGACAAGGTGGGTACTACTTTGCTTTCTTGTGTCCTTATATACCTTGGTGTCCTCCATCATTTGCCTTGGTGCCCTCCATCATTTGGAGTCGAGCTACCCGCAAAAAGTTGAGGCGGTGCAGCAATAGAGGGCGCTGTTGTAGCTACCGCGAAAAATATGAAAACAAATTTACAGTGGTAAATTTGAGGAATTTTGCAATTTCGATTTTTTTCCCCCCTAATTTTCAGGCCAATCATTACTACAAGCTTTTCATCATGTGGACCAATCAGAAGATCCGTAAGACCTTCGTCAAGAGGAACCTGTTTGATTTCAAGCATATCAAGGTAAAGTTTCCACTCATGTTAACAACTTTATCAGCGGTAACTTTTTATATCTAGTTCCTCAATGTTCCTGATGCCCGTTAAAGTCTGCATAATTTCTGCCCCTTTCCAATTAAAGGTGATATACAACATTTGCTTTAGCAGAAATTTTCAGAAGTGGACGGATTTTGGGGTTAGCTTTTGGTAGTATAGGTTGTAGTCTGCCAAGTTTCATCCAGATTGAAGGTTGTTTATTGTGAAAGCTGACCCCAAAAATGAAAAATGTGCAAAGACTATGGGATTTGGGATAGAAGAATAAGAAAAAGAAGAAGCAAAATCAGAACAGAAACAAATGCTTGCGAGTGGTAACACATCTGTGCTAGTAAGCAGGAGGTTGTGGGTTCGAGTCCCACCCGAGTGATTTTTTTTCTCACAATCACTCAGGGGCAACACTGAGTATACAGTGTTTATAAAAAATACGTCGGTGAAGGGCAAGAGTCAATATTGAGTTTACATCATCCCGACGCAAATTCCATCTTATGAATGGTATCATTTCTGTATGACTACCGATTTTTTTTAGGGAAATAATCCTTGTGAATGCATAAAAGGAATATTTGTTACTTTTGCTTTTTCTACTGCCATGTTGTTGCTGCTATGTTTTGAAATTGTCCTTGATCGTTGTTATTTTGTCCAGCCGTTCGACAGGGGTTACATCCACAACCCCGGCCCCATGGTCGTCTTTGCCACGCCCGGCATGCTCCACGCGGGCCTGTCTCTCCAGATCTTCCGCAACTGGGCCTCTAACCCGCTGAACATGGTCATCATGCCGGGCTACTGCGTGGCCGGCACCGTGGGCAACAAAATCCTGAGCGGGGCCAAGAAGATTGAGATGGAAAACAGACAAGTGGTGAGGATGGAGAAGGGGGGGGGGGGATGCCTACCTTGTAGGTATATTGTGCGTAAAACGCTCGCCTCTCACCAAGGTGACCCCGGTTCGAATCCCGGCCGCGGGACACATATGAGTAGAGTTGTGCGTTGGTTCTCTCCTGTGCCACGAGGGTTTTTCTCTGGGCCCTCCGGTTTTCCTCCCTCCCGAAAAAACAAACACTTTCGATCTCAGGCTGTGCTCTGTGGTCATATATGGGTCGATGTGGCCGGCAGCCATAGGCGCCTTTACGTGCCAGCGGCCCGACCACGTTGTAGCCGCGTCCTTCGCAATTCAGCATACTAGCTGCGAGTAAGGATGATTAGCCTCCCAAATTATTATTAATTATTATTATTATTACCTCTCTCAGTAGCTTTTGTACAGGCTGGTCATCACCTACCAGAAACCTCTATGGATTAGACCTTATAACTGTCAAAGCCTGTTGAAGTGGTTTGATAGATAGGTTGACCATTAATACTGGTACAGCTTGTGTAGCAGCCATTTTAACCTGTCAATTGTACCAATATGAGGCCAGTTTACAGACCTGTTAAAACTGTAACATGTTAGATGTTGACCAATAGGGTTACTCGCTACAGATTGTCCCCGAGAGAGGGAGAGTTATTAAGCAAGTCCTACTGGACGCTAAAATATATTTCTTCTTTGTCTTCTCATTCACGGCTCTGGAGGATTTTTTTTTTAAGGGAAGTAAAGTCGGAGAACCATCCCGTTACCAACTGACGCAAGTGCATTATGGTAGTTGACTACACTCGGTTGCAGAACAAAACAATTGCAAACTGGAGAGCTTTCCACCTTAAAGGGAAAATACAACATTTGCAAACATCAAAAAATAAAACTACCAAATCATTTTGAAATACCTTGCTGGACTGTTAGTGAATGACAGTGTAAAGCATCCTGTAAAATCATGGCACCTGGTATACTGTCATTTTCAAGAAAAGTGGTATTTTTGTATGAATTTCCAACGCTGGTCGGCCGATCAGCGTTGGAAAAAACTGGCTTGTTTTTCAAATACTGGCCCCAATTGACCATCGCACTTGTTTGCAATCGATTACACACCTATGAACGGGTACAAGCCAGCTAGACTGGTTCCCTGACCTTGCAATTCCCCAATGTATGTAAACTGCTCTGTTTCTTCTTATATGGAGTCGGGGAACCAGACTAAAGGAAAATGATTGTTTTTCTTGGTTTTTATAGCATTTTCGAACCCAAAACCTCAAAAAAGTCAGTGTAACTATATTTGCTATATATTTCCAACCCCCCAATTCCATCCATTTCTGAAAATTACAGCAAAAGCAAATGATGTATATTCCCTTTAATCAAACATGTGTATGAGAACAGGCAGCACCCTAAGTAAATCTAAAATCCTGCTACTTGCTGTGTGCCGCTGCTATGTGCCTACTTCTCCAACACGCTTTCATCGTCCAGTCCTTTGGAAATTTAAAGCAGATTTGACATTTTTTTTTCTACTTGCAGATTGACGTGAAGCTGTCGGTGCAGTACATGTCTTTCAGGTAAGTGGAAACTCACTAAAAACTACTGGAAAACGTCAAGATTACTTACAAGATGTAATTAGCGTCAAAGTGACTTAAATTCAACTGACATATTTTTTAAACACTGTGTACTGCATGTTATCCAAGTAATTCTGAGAAGAAAAAATGATGAGCTTCTCAGTGGGACTCTAACCCACAACCTCCAGCTTACTAGTGCAGACGTCTTCACCAGAGATCAAGAACTTTCCACCCTTAATTCATCCTTAATTATGATGACTGCAAATAAGAAGAAGTGTTAGTACTCTAGTAAATGAATGAAACTCTATGGGTTGCAAACAGTTTGTGGTCTTACTTGCTCCGTGCAACTTTTACTTTCTTTTAACCCTAACCATCCCAAATCCTCCAAAATCCTTTTTGCAAATTGGAGGAATTTGCAGGATTGAGGTTACATGGCAAAAGTGCATTGCCGATTTCGGAGGACGCACTATGTCAAGGTCTTGGGCCGGACCTTGTGTTGTTTATGCTCAGCCGTGCATAAATTTAGTCCTTGATTATACTTGAAATCCTCCGCACTGCTCCAGGATGTCACTGCCTCTGCCTTAGCCTATTGACAGTCATTGCCGGAGGATTTTGCAGGATTCAGGCAGTGGTCACCCCTCCACGGACCATATTCAAGAAATAATGGAGGAATTTGCAGGATTGGGGCTATATGCTATTTTTCCATGAGGCCAATTGGAGGATTTTGCAGGATTGAGGCTACATCCTAGCAAAAAGGCCTAGGGAGTTATGGTTAAAAGGTATTATTTGTTTCCCTTTTTGACTGATACCAGTGCCCACGCAGATGCCAAAGGGATCATGCAGCTGATCAGAATGTGCGAGCCCAAGAACGTCATCCTGGTCCACGGAGAAGCCAAGAAGATGGAATTCTTAAAGCAGAAAATCACAGGGGAATTTGGTCAGTTGTGAATCAAATCACCGACAAGTTTGTTTTTGTGTCTTCAAAATTCATGATATGGGCAATCCCAGCATTATGAAAGGAAGTGTGTAAGGCCAAAAAAAAAAGTCTCCGGTTTCTGGTATGCGCGTGCGTCGCCGTAGCCATGCGCGTCGGCAAAATGAAAAAGTTTTTTTTCACTGAAAGATGATGTCTCAAAACCGCCAAACTCACTGGTTTGACTGGAATCCTGCTGCTGCACAATTTTAACGTGTTTTTAGATTGGGTTATGGTCGAGTATGGTCGAGAATAAGCTTTATGTGGCCTCTCTGGACTCCCATTATTTGCACTCAGTTTAGTCGGGTACCATTTGCAGTCATCAGCCGACATTTGAAGTAAAAAAAATCAGGTAAAAAAAAAAAAGCCGCGTCGCCGCACCACTTTTTGGGCAAGCTCCATACCAGAAACCGGAGACTTTTTTTTTTGGCCTAATGTCCGTGACAGAGCCAATTTACCATGATATCTAATTAATGATTCAGAGAAATGATCCCAAACTCCTAGTCTGTAATCTCCTTAGCCATTACCAGATGACGGATCTACAAGATTTGATAAATACATTTTCAGCTACGTTCACTGAGATCCATAACCTTCAAAGCAAACATGCATTCTGTGCCAAGTAGTCCTTTCAGTCAAAATCAATCAAGTGACTGTTTTCAACAGTTCAGAATTCCCAGCCTACGTAAAGCAGGATTGACTGGCTGGAACTGTTGATGTAACTTGATTCAGCTTTGCTTTGACTGTGGGTAATTGATAAGCCAGCTGTGCCCACAACTTGCCTGCTTTGTCTGTTCGTGGTCTGTTGACTGAGTTTGACTAGTCACAGCGCTTGCTTGACATATGATCTGACTGCTGGTGACTAGCCTGTGTTAAAAGTATAGCAGGGGAAGTGGATTGAAATTTCGACTGTTTGTGACTGTTTAAATAGCAGGAGGGTTCTCTGTCCCACAACTTGGAATGCCCATGTTTGAGAATGTCGGCACCTTTTTCTTTGTGTTCCCCCATCCCCATATTATCAAAAATAATATCGGTACTTCTTTTTCACGATTGTTTACATTTTCAGAATTGTAGAACTTTTGGTATTTTTCTGACTTTTTGCTTGATTTTTTTTTCTCTTCCTTTTCAGGAATCCAGTGTCACATGCCGGCCAACGGAGAAGTGGTTGCCATGGAAACCAAGGCAAACCTCACGGCAGACGTGTCCTTGAGCCTGCTCAAGCGAAGCATCGCCTTGTCAGGTAAGACATGTCTAGCCGGAGAAAAAAGTCTTAGTTTGTTTCCGAGATTTTCAGCTCTTGTTACCTCTAGCATTGTATGATGAAGTGTGCTTGATTGCCTGGAGAATTTGTGAAAGAATGAAGGTTTTTGGTATCAGATTTGAGTTTCTAAATGTAGGTGGGCAATTCCGTAAAATCCGACAAACGTCCGACAACATGATGTACATGTACAAGGTCGTTAAAGGGAATATACATCATTTGCTTTTGCTGTAATTTTCAGAAATGGATGGAATTGGGGGGTTGGAAATATATAGCAAATATAGTTACACTGACTTTTTTGAGGTTTTGGGTTCGAAAATGCTATAAAAACCAAGAAAAACTATCATTTTCCTGTAGTCTGGTTCCCTGACTCCATATAAGAAGAAACAGAGCAGTTAACATACATTGGGGAATTGTAAGGTCAGGGAACCAGTCTAGCTGGCTTGTACCCGTTCATAGGTGTGTAATCGATTGCAAACAAGTGCGATGGTCAATTGGGGCCAGTATTTGAAAAAAGCCAGTTTTTTTCCAACGCTGGTCGGCCGACCAGCGTTGGAAATTGATACAAAAATACCACTTTTCTTGAAAATGACAGTATACCAGGTGCCATGATTTTACAGGATGCTTTACACTGTCATTCACTAACAGTCCAGCAAGGTATTTCAAAATGATTTGGTAGTTTTATGTTTTGATGTTTGCAAATGTTGTATTTTCCCTTTAAGGTGGTGGTACCTTAGTTTGGTCTGTAATTGTTTTCTACTCATTAGATGTCACATTATTAGTGATGTGTCACATTCACTTTTCCAACAGCAGCTCACTAAAGTGTCTGACAGAATTTAAGGAATTGCCCAGGTGTACGAACAAGGACATCTTGGCAATGAAGAAGTATAGACCATAATCATGTTGCGGCCATCATGATTTTTTTCTTGTTCAAATCAACGTAACCAAAGCGAGGCTGGAAGAAAAAACAGTCTGGTTCCTTTTTTGAGCAAAAAGCATTATCATTCAGTACTGTTATTGGAAACAGGGGACATGACTAAAATGGTGGCAGCATGATAAAGGTCTATACTGTCATATCTGAATGTATTCTACATTCAAGCAATGGTTCAAAGTAGCCCCAAAAACAAACACAACCAGAGTTTTTTCTTTTTGAAAAGTGGACATCTGGCATTTTTGAGTTTGACTCTTGAAATTCAGTTGCAGTTGATTTCAACCAGTTGCCCCAGTTTCCTCATATACAAAACGAAAATCTGACTTCTGAATTTGACTTGACGTTTTAGAAATTGACCCATTAGTTATCAGGAAAAAAGTTAAATAAATTAAATAGAAAATCATTCTTGGTTGTTTTTTTTGTAGGTGATGCATTAAAAGATGTCAAAAAACCGAGAGTACTACACGGTGCAGTCACCATTTCTGGAGAGGTACGTTTTTTTAAAAGTAAAACTTTATAATTATCTTTAAAAAAAAACTTATTAAAAAAATTATCTAGTGCATAAGAAGTTTCAACTAACAATGATTACACAGTCTCCTGACGATGACTAGAGCAGGCTAGTCGAAACGTTGAGACCAAAGACAAGTTCTTTTAGAACTTAAAGCAGGACTGTTCTTATCAGAACAAAAACTACTTAGCTAAAGTTGATAATAAGCAGGACAAGTTCTTTTCAGAATTAAATATCTTCTAAGCAGTAGTTATTACCACATGGTGTTACCGCAAACCGAAACGATACTGATACTCCACCGTGCAAAGCCTCAAATCTTATATAATGATTACACATATGGAAAAGAGGCATTGATAAAGCAGCGCACCAAATGTTTTGTAAAATTATTGTTTCTTCTTTATTTAAAAAAATATGTTAGAAAATGCATCTTGAGGATGCCTCCAAGACGATGCAGCAGCTGGGCATGACAGAGCACGAGATACGATTCACATCTACCGTCACCATTCCATCCATGAGCATGGAAGTGGTCCAGAAGAAACTCAAGAGGTATCGTTGGTCGATCCAGGAATTTTAAAAGAGGTGGCCAAAGCGTGGAGGTTCAGGATTTTTAAGAAAGAGCGTGGCTAACTATTGTTATTCATTTCTGGTAATGAAACCAAGGATTCCTCAAATACGCCCTAGGCACTGTAGCTCGCAAGCCTGAAGAAACCTGCAGAGAGAAGACAGTGACAATAAATTACAGTTTTTAGAGGTGGGAGGAAAAGCCCAGAAGAATATTCTCGGGGAAACCCACGGAATCAGGTAGGGACTGAAAACTCATTCCACGTGTGGACCGGGCGGGAAACAAACCAGGACCATAGCGGTGGAAGACGAGGGAAGGACCACTGCCGCAACCTGAAGTTAACAAATACACAGACAGAAGGAACTAAGTACAGTCGAACCCTGATAACAAGAGCACTGTTAATACAACCATGGGCGTCGCGAGGGGGGGGGGCAAGGGGGGACACTTGCCCCCCCCCCCTGGAAAAGCAAAAAAAAAAAAAAAAAAAGGAAGAAAAAGAAAAGGAAAAAAAAGAAAAGAAAAAGAGGCGCGAAGACAAAGTGGTGTAAATTTAATGAGTTGGGGGGGGGGGCAAAATGTCCCTGCCCCCCTCTAAAACTGATAAATCGAGAATGTGTTGAGAAGTACAAGCATTTTTTGGCAAAAAAAATTTTGCCCCCCTCTAGAAAAAATCCTGGCCACGTCCATGAATACAACACCTGCTTATAACAAGCAAAATGTCAGGTCCCAAGTCTTTGTTTTTCTTTGTTTTTCTTTGTTTTTATTTACTGTTACTACAAGGTACCTGTTATAACAAGGTAATTCGTAAAGTCCCAAGGACCTTGTCATAAAGGTGTTCCGCTGTAATAGATTACACGACTTCATTTCAAGAAAGAAAATTTGTGAGTTTTTTTCAGTAATATGTAAATAATCAACTTTGGTCTGACAAAAGGGGGTGGGGTTAGCTATCCCCCCCCCACTCATATGCCCATGGGTACAAGATGCTAATGTGTTGATTTCAAAAATATTTTTAAACATTTTATTTTGATTTGCCAATTTTTGTTGTTGTTGTCTTTAGGAGATTCCCTCACCAGAGTGTACAGCTAACGTCGGACGGCTCCATTCTAGTCGGATCAGTCCTGGTCAAGGTAAAGCAATGAAACCCCCCCCCCCCCCTCCTAAAGAAAATGGATTGAGAAATTTAGGGGTCTTCCAATGACTCATTTTCTGGAGGGGGCACTCTTAAACTGTACAAAAATCCCCTCCCCCTTACACTAACTGGCCCAAGTGTATCAAAGAATAAATGTAAATTTATTTTTTCGTTTTTCAGGTGGCGGGGGAAAGCGAGGAATCTCTGGACCTGTTGGTGTCATGGCCATATCAGGTGAGCCGGGACGCAGTGTTTTTATCTGCGGCACACATCGTCAATGGATCATGGTTATTCAGCTAGTTCGATGTTTACAATGACGTCTCACCATTGCTATCACTCAGTCATGCATGTACATTCAAACATTTTAAAGAACGGCTTTCGTCGAGCTGCCACAATGGCCTAGTGGATAGTGGAATGAACTATGGATCGCAAGACCTGCGGTTCGAACCCATATCCATTTTCATAAAATATTTTTGTTGGTTGGGATAAGTTTTATTGAAGGGAAACACTACAAGAACCTAGTGTCCGTCTTCCATCCACACGGCGTGATGAATATTCATATTAGGGTGTGCGATATGATTGGTTAAAATGCAATGTATGCTGCAAAAAAAAAAAAAAATTGCAGCCAGGACATCCATTGAAATGAGGCAAATTTTTTTAACTCACTACCACTGTAAAAACACACTGCACTCAAACAACTAAGTTCCAGAAACATTTTAATACACAAGTGAGTTGGATTTTTGCTGGTAATCTTCGTTGGCCTTTGCCAGTCTGTTCTCAAACCTGTTCTGACCATTTTGCCGAAGCAAATGTTTAATCTGTTTTTTTTTTTCTACCGCAGGAGGAAGATCTTGGTAGTTCGCTCTTCACGATCCTACAGCACGGGTTCGCGTCACATACAGAGACATAACCTTAGTACACAACTTCAATCCTTTTATACTCCTGTACCAAGGCAGAAACATGCACAAAGTGCCAGAATTGAAATGAAGCTGAAACAGGTCACTTTCAAGGGGCACTGTTTGTCATATTTGAAAGAATTTTTAAGTTGGACAAAGAAATTGACTGGACCAGGAATTGAACCTGCGACCTCCTGAACACAGTACCGGTGCTGTACCAACTGAGCTATTGACTAGAGCAGGGTTTGAACCTGCAACTTTTGGATTGACGTTCCGGTGCTCTACCAACTGAGCTATTGACCTGAGCAGGGTTTGAACCTGCGACTTCTGGATTGCTGTTCCGATGCTCTACCAACTGAGCTATTGACCAGAGCAGGGTTTGAACCTGCAACCCCCGGATTGCCGTTCCGATGCTCTACCATCTTCTGAACTTTGACTGGTGGTAGGGTTTGAACCTGCGACCTCAGAATCACCGTTCTGGTGCTCTACCAACTGAACTTTTGACCGGAGTAGGGTTTAAACCTGCGACCTCAGAATTGCTGTTCCAGTGGTCTAACAACTGAGCTATTGACCAGAACAGGGTTTGAAGCTTAGACCTCCGGATTGCCGCTCCGGTGCTCTACCACCTGAGCTATCCAGCCTAATTTGTGGCCGTTCCCCATTTTTGTCAGTGTTGATGCTGATTAAGAAAGAAAAAATTAAAGAAGCAAACCCAGGGTTTTGCTAAAATGACTTGTTGAGAGAGAGTGCACACGTATTAAAAAGAGTGGGTTTGGGACTCCAAACACATCTCCTCGGGTCACATACATCCAAAGACAAAAATGAGGAGTTAGAAATATAATCATGGTCGACTTCATTTATGTCATTCTTGCTCGGTTGTTTTATCTCCCTTTTTGATGAATGTGGTGAAAGAAATGTGGCTCAAAGTTAAAGAAATCAAAGAGCTTTTCAACTGCAGTTTATTTTTTGTCAAAAGAAGGCGCTACAGTGTATGTCCACATGACTGTAAAATAAAAATTGAATAATAAAGTTACTTTTTATTGCAACGATACAGGAACTGAGGTTTTGCATCCGTTATTCCAATTGAACATGTAAATATGAAAGTAACTGTTAACGATTAAGAACAGGAACTCTCATTGTACTGTTACATTAAAATTATGAAAGGAACCTCCCCCCCCCCCTTGACCTGAGTTTGAGGAAAAGTAGGTAAATTTATTTCAGTGATTCAAAAATTAATTTTGGGCTGGATCTGAGAAAAGACCGATTGCAGTTTTAGTTCCCAAAGGGGGAACAATTCTACTGGAAATGAAAATGGTTCGGCTGGTGATTTGAGCACTTCTTGTTATTCTATCTATATTTTTTGAAAGGACAAATCTGCAATGGCCGAAATGAGCCAAATGTCTTTCTTGGGACATACTCTGTGTGTCAAATGCTGTATTCGTGTATTATTTTGGAAGTACATCTGCACGCTTGTATCATCTAAGGGTACGCACTGGAGTAAATGGGCCAAAAATGTAAAAACTTGGAGAGAGGACAGTGAGAAGAAATTACAGTTTTTAGAGGTGGGAGGAAAAGCCTTGAAGATATTCTGGGGGAAAACAACGGAATCCGGCGAAACCCAATCCACATATATTGGCCCAGGCGGGATTCGAACCCGGGTCACAGCGCGGCGGTGGAAGGCACATGCAACAACCACATTAAAAATTGGCCGCTTGAGGGCGCTATGTATACCGCCATTTGCAGCACGGTTTCATTTCTTTGAGGAACTTCAGGAAGGTAAAAAATAAAATGCGAATCTGCAATGTTTTTAATCAGTTATTTTATTCTGATAATTTCTAAACCGCTTTTCTGATATAGGAAAAATCGTTTTATTTCTTATGTTATGGTTCGTTATTCTTCCAATTACTGGAAAGTGCGTGGGGAAAAGAATTGGCTTTTTTTGCATGAACTGATGAATGATTGAATCAGGTTGGGCTCCATTGACATTGACATTGTACACACGATAGCCCCATTGCTATGGGGATTCATTGCTGCGCTGTACGTTCGGCCACACGTCTGGGTAATGTAAATTTAGTGAGGAGTTTAGTCCGAAACTTGCCATAACATTTTATTGGACGTTTTTTACATACCACTGCATATAAAATGATATACCGTATACGGTTGTATTCTGATTTCTGTGATGTCTCAGCTGTTGCCCTCCGGGAAGATTAGGTTATCTTTCTTCAAATTTTTGAGAAATTTAGACATCTTTTTGGAGTCCATACGTGCCAGTTTCGGACTGTACTAACTACTGTACTGAGGACTTAACTCCTCAGTAGGTTAGAAAACCAGGCGTGTGGCCGAACATACAGCCCAGCAATATGGAGGCCACACAACAAGCATGACAAGTGGGGCTATACACGCAACAGGTTCCAGGGTATGAACGACGTCTGCTACTGCCATAGCGGAAAAAATTACTTGCGTTACTTGACATGATTTTGCATGCACTGTTTATTTCTTAAAACTAAATCGTTGAATCTGATGTACGCATGCATACTGAAATTGTGAAAAGGCTTATTGTTAAAATATACTACAACTGCGATCTTCATCTTGCACTTTCTTTGCAGTAAAAACACATATCATATTTTAATACTATAATAATAATAACTTTGTTCGTACCCATAGTTGTTTTCTCTGTCAAAAGCACAATGGCCAACCCCCCAAATAACCTTTTTGGCACCCCTGCCTCTTCGGGGACCGGAGGGGGCTTCAGCTTTGGAAGTGCCACCCCCGGCGGCACCAGTGGTTTCTCCTTTGGTACCGCCAAGCCAGCAACAGCAGCGGCATCTACCACTTCCGGTTTAGGGACCGGCGGATTTTCATTTGGAGGGGGAGGGACCACTCTTGGCAGTGCTAGTGGGGGCCTCTCATTTGGAAGTAAGTGTCAAAAGTAGTATTTTCCCATTTTTGTTCTCTCTCATTTAATCCTAGATGTAACTTTCTCACAATTTTTGTGAGGATTTTTGCTGAATCCTCCAAAAATACTCAAATCAAATTCGTGTACCATATTTAAACCCCCAAAAAAGAGGCAAATTGAAAATAGAGAAATTAAAATATAAAAGAAAAATATTAAATTCTTATTTCCATATATCTCAGATTGATGGATACCCTAACCCTTCTCAAGCCTCCAAAATCTTCCAGGCGGTTTTGTAGGATTTTGAAGGATTGAGGTTGAATAGCAGAAACGTGTTGATTTTGGTGGACGTTTGTGTCGAGTTGGTAGGCTGTACCCAGCATTGCTTAAATGTTCATTCGTGCTTAATTGAGCTCTGCATAATTATGCTCCATATCATCCATTTTGCTTCTGAATGTCATCGGCACTGCCTGGACCCATTAACAGTGATTGTTGGAGGTCGGATAGAGGCAATGGTCACCCCTCCACCACACAAATTCAAGAAATAACGGATGATTTTGGAAGATCGAGGCTGAATCCAATTTGAACACGGTAGCAATTGGAGGATTTTGTAGGATTGAGGATGGTTACGAGGGGTTAGGGTAAATGTTGATTTCAAGTCACGGTCCTGTCAAGCAAGTTTCCCTTGTTTCAAACTGTTTTTATTTCATGTTTGTTCTAAGGTGGAACCCCTTCCACCACCGCTACAGCCGCCCCAGCAGGCGGCGGTGGTTTCTCATTCGCCGGTGCTCAGCCCGCTGCAGCATCAACGACCAACGCTGCATCTACTGGTGGATTCTCGCTCGGTGCGGGGGTCAAACCAGTCGGTAAGTTTAGGCCTACGTGTACCTTGTGGAAGGTGCCATTACCATTAATCATTGGCCATTTCAGAAGCACTCAGCAATATTTAGTTCTGTTATTATCCTCTAGCCATGGCATGATTTTACACAAAAATTGACCTAAACATGTGACGTGTGCTGTGGGAAAAAAAATGACCTACTTGCATGTGTATTAATTAATTCATACTTGGCCTTCAATATTTGAAAAGTCTAGACAATTTTTGAATGAAACTTTTTTTGGGGGGGGGGGAGATTTTAAATTTGTCTGTTCATCCACCAAATCTTAATTGCAGATGAAATATTTGGTTCTGATAAATTTGATGTAACCCTTACCAAACTCAACCCATCAAAGTTCAACAGCAGGTTTTGTTTAAATCTGCTGGGATAGGTACAGTACCCCTAAACAGATGGTCTTTTACACTGGGGTTGGCATACCTCCAGAACCTAAGTCCAACAGTGTGTGTGTACAATTTCCCATGTGGGTGTTGGAATTTACCAGGATGGGTATGGTTCCTAGTAAATTAGGCTGGGGAGTTAGGGTTAAGGTAGGTAAAGTGGAATATAATCAATTTGTATTAAGATACAGAGAGCATCCTTTCTTAAAATTGACGCTTGCAACTCGGGAACATTTCTAACTCCAAGTAAGGACTTACTCCCATCTATTGTTGTTGCAAAGAAACTCCATTTGCTAACTCAAAACTCTGCTTAACTCAAAATTTGAGCCCATGCCCCTGAGGTGTGACTTAACAAGATTTTACTGTACCCTTGTCAGAAGAATGTGAAGTGCTTGCTTGGTTCCACCTCAAAAAAAGTCTTTTATTTTTAGTCGCCATTTTCTTCTGTAAATGTGCTTCAATGCGATTCCGTGTACTCCTTCAACAGGGTCTAACTTTTCCTTCGGCGCCACCCCAGCTGCATCCACCGCCGCCCCAACTCTTGGTGGAGCACCAGCAAACACTGGCGGTTTTAGTCTCGGCACCGGTGCGACAGCCGCCACCACTGCAGCAGCTGGCGGTTTTTCGTTCGGCGCTACACCCTCCGCGACACCCGCTGCGACACTGAGTCTTGGCGGGACACCGACTCTCGGCGGGACACCGACTCTCAGCGGAGCACCAGCTGCCACCACGACGGCTACTGGCGGCTTCGGTTTTGGGGGCGGATCTACTCTAGGGGGCGGCGCTAGCGGTGGTTTCAGTCTCGGTGAGTTACAGCTCCAGGTACTAACAACAAAGAGCTGCATAGCAATAATGGTCAAGGGTCTTGCTTAAGGACACAAGTGTCAAGACTGCGACTCGAGCCCACACTCTGCTGATCAGAAACACCAGAGCTTAAGTCCGGTGCTCTGAACCGCTCGGCCATGACATTCCCCTCCCCTCCCTCTTTCCTCTCTTTCACCAGGTGGGGCAACCCCTTAAGGGCACAAGTGTCAAGACCAGGACTCGAACCCACACTCTGCTGATCAGAAACACCAGAGCTTGAGTCCGGTGCTCTGAACCGCTCGGCCATGACATTCCCCTCCCCTCCCTCTTTCTTCTCTTTCACCAGGTGGGGCAACCCCTTAAGGCCACAAGTGTCAAGACCGGGACTCGAGCTCACACTCTGCTGATTAGAAACACCAGAGCTTGAGTCCGGTGCTCTGAACCGCTCGGCCATGACATTCCCCTCCCCTCCCTCTTTCCTCTCTTTCACCAGGTGGGGCAACCCCTTAAGGGCACAAGTGTCAAGACCGGGACTCGAACCCACACTCTGCTGATCAGAAACACCAGAGCTTGAGTCCGGTGCTCTGAACCGCTCGGCCATGACATTCCCCTCCCCTCCCTCTTTCTTCTCTTTCACTAGGTGGGGCAACCCCTTAAGGCCACAAGTGTCAAGACTGGGACTCGAGCTCACACTCTGCTGATCAGAAACACCAGAGCTTGAGTCCGGTGCTCTGAACCGCTCGGCCATGACATTCCCCTCCCCTCCCTCTTTTCTCTCTTTCACTAGGTGGGGCAACCCCTTAAGGCCACAAGTGTCAAGACCGGGACTCGAGCTCACACTCTGCTGATAAGAAACACCAGGGCTTGAGTCCGGTGCTCTGAACCGCTCGGCCATGACATTCCCCTCCCCTCCCTCTTTTCTCTCTTTCACCAGGTGGGGCAACCCCTTAAGGCCACAAGTGTCAAGACCGGGACTCGAGCTCACACTCTGCTGATTAGAAACACCAGGGCTTGAGTCCGGTGCTCTGAACCGCTCGGCCATGACATTCCCCTCCCCTCCCTCTTTTCTCTCTTTCACCAGGTGGGGCAACCCCTTAAGGGCACAAGTGTCAAGACCGGGACTCGAACCCACACTCTGCTGATCAGAAACACCAGAGCTTGAGTCCGGTGCTCTGAACCGCTTGGCCATGACATTCCCCTCCCCTCCCTCTTTCCTCTCTTTCACCAGGTGGGGCAACCCCTTAAGGGCACAAGTGTCAAGACCGGGACTCGAACCCACACTCTGCTGATAAGAAACACCAGAGCTTGAGTCCGGTGCTGTGAACCACTTGACCATGACGTTCCCCTCCCCGCCCTCTTTCCCTTCTTTCACCAGGTGGGGCAACCCCTTAAGGACACAAGTGTCAAGACCGGGACTCGAGCTCACACTCTGCTGATTAGAAACACCAGAGCTTGACAGGGCAATGACACTCCCCTCCCCTCTTTTCTCTCTTACACTAGGTGGGGCAACCCCTGCGTCATCCACGAGCGGCGGGTTCAGCCTGGGTGCCGGCCTAGGAGCATCCAAACCGGTTGGCTTTGGCACGCCCGTCGTGTCTACCACCACCACTGCTGCGACCGCCGCTGCCGCTTCTGTCACCACAAATCAAGGCTTCTCATTTGGCGCCAAGACAGCAACAGCAACAACGGCGGTATCTGCACTTGGATCAACTACGGCGCCTGCACTAGGGTCGGGAACCCTCGGAACCCTGGGAACGCTTGGAACCCTGGGAACACCATCCACGACGACGTCGATAACTGGTGAGGTCAAGTGGAGCTCTACCCCTTACTCTCTTGAATACAAGTTTCTATTTTTTAGCTAGTCTCCATATCAGCATCACCTATATTTTTTTTATATTATTATTTTTTAGGTCTCTTATGTAATTTTCTATCTCGGAGTGTATTTTTGTATGATTATAATCAATCATTATCTGTCGTGTATTAGCTGTATATGGAAAGAAATGTCTATTTGAATTGAATTGAATTGAATTGAAATGCTTACAAGCATGATTCATAAAACATAGAAAGGCACAAATACACAATTACAGTAATGCATCCAGTGGTAAAAGTCAACATGTGGCATCTCAACGATCAATTTAAAAAAAAATTTTAATAAGAATTTTGTATCACTCTTCCAGTGTCAAAACTGGTCAAATTTCTGAATTTTTTTTTCAGTTACATAATAACATACTCTTGTAGTACATGTCACTAAGCACATCCCACCAGTGCGTGTTAAGTAAATTACATGTGTTTAGTTGTGGAAAACTGATATTCAGATACATCTTTGTTATCAGGGGGAGGGTTGCCGTTTGGTGCAACAGCCACAAAGCCATCCGAAGGGCTTGGATCCTTGCTCGGCAAGCCGGCGACGACCTCCACCACCGGACCTGTCTCGGCCGGGCTTTCCCTCAGTAAGTGCCAAGACGTCTCATTAATTGAACATTAGCATTAAAAGTGACCCCACAATTTCTTTTAAAAAAGGAGACCGTTTGGGTTTAAAAATGGCTGAATTGTGTAAATATTGCCAAGGATCAACTCCCTGGTTTTTGGGCTTCCATCTGAGGGCAGGCCTGATAAAATAGAGGTTGAAAAATGGGTCCTATTTGCCTGTGAAAGTGGAAGGATGCCACTCGTAAGACAGCTACATGCAGGCTTGGGAACTATCACTTTTCGGGAGGTGATTTTGTTTTGGTGTTAATATTAAAAAATGTAATCAGCTAGTCTACCCAAAATTAAAAAGAAATGAAAACATGAAGGACAAGACAATAATTTAATTTTTGTTTGAGAAACCCCAGTGATGTCGGCTTGCATGTTATTTGGCCCTGAACTTTGTTAATTTTACACTGTTTTCAATGGGGCTTGAATTGGTTCAGTGCACCCTTTGTCCACAGTGGGCTCTGTGTACAAGTACCCCCTCAACGGTTACAAACAGAGACTTAAGGGAGACCACTGGGAGAGACATTGTAAGGCATTGCTGACGACGCCTGACGCTCACGCGAAGACGCTATGGCTCTGTGCACATTCAGGATATAAAATAGTTGTGCGTGCTTGGCACCATGCTTGCGCGAACCAGTACGTGTAGCGAACCTGTACGCGCACGTGGTGTGCCCCATCCACTGGGCTCTTGAAAGTGGTTAAAAAGCGCCCTCTCTTGTTTGCGAGCGGTGCACATACACCTGTCGTGTCCTGCATTAGTTGCATGATTCTGAATGATTTTCCAAGAATCTTTTAGCGTTGATGTTTTCAGTTACTGTTTACAAACTTAAAATATGAGAAGACTCCTGCAATTGACCTATCGCGGTGGAATCGCGTTAGAATTTTCGTCAATGCAGCTTGTGAGATTTTGTCCAAATACATGATAATACGTATGGACGCAGAAAGCGCAACATCTGAGCCAAACAAAATTTAGCGTACAAAAATTCATTGGGTTGTCTAAGGGGCGTGGCCAACTCGAAAACGGCGATAGTTCAATGTATCCCAGATACAATTTGCCTATTGTGGGTAAACTTCTCCGAAACTGGATACATCTAAATGATATTCCTCCTTACTGCTGCTGTATGAAGTGTTCTCTTGGTATTAACAGTTCCGAAGTGTTCTCAAAACCTCTGAAACTCTTGTTCATTTGGCTTAGGGCCGGTCTCAAATCACATCTGGGACGAGTTCCGGACAAGTTGTGGGTAGAATCATTCACTTTGTCAGGAAGAAGCTCTGCATTTGTCCCAGACATGTTCGGCGAAATTTTACATCAGCTACTGCTTGACTCAACAATACTGATAACTTCATTGCGGGAAGATTGCGGGGAAGTTGCTCAGAATCCTGCAACTTATACCCGATACAATATCCGCAATTTGTCTGGAACTCGTCACGGATATGAATTGAGACAGTCCTTATTTTCTTCTTGGTATTAACAGTTCCGTATTATGCATGTTACAGGTCTCCCAGCAGCTACTAGTATAGCCACAACTACATCAAGTACAACAGGCCTGTCACTGGGTAAGCATTCATTGTAGAACTGAAATAAAACGCAACTGTTGAATTGGCTAAAACACATTGGCAAAAACAATCTCTCATGCAAAATGTTAAGTCATTGAGCAAATGTTATTGCGGGGGCGAAATGTGAGGCGTTCTGGCAAAATGAGACAGAACTGGGAAGAGGTAAAATGAGGGTTTGTAGGTATCAAGAAAGGGAATAAAAATTCTCTTTACAATACTGTTTGTTGCACTTCAATCTGACATTCCCTTGACAAGTTATGGCTGAAAAAAACCCATTAAAGGGAATGTACATCATTGGCTTTTGCTGTAATTTTCAGAAATGAACTATTTGAGGGGTTAGTATAATAGATCAAATATTGTTACACTGACATGTTTGAAGTTTTGTGTTCGAAAATGCTGGAAAAACCAAGAAAAACACAAATGTTCAAGTAGTCTGGTTCCCTGACTCCACTAAAGATAAAATGGATCCATTTATAGATGCCGAAAAATTGTAAGGTAAGGGAACCAGTTTAGCTGACCTGCACCCGTTCATGCACATGTAACCAATAAGCAAAAAGAAATTTGGACTGAAGAAATGGTAAATTTTGAGCAGTAGTTGCTAAATAGTTAGGTTTTCCAACGGTGGTCGGCCGACCACTGTTGGAAATGTATACAAAAATACCATTTTCTAGAAAATGACTTCACACCAGGTGCCATAATTTTACAGGGTTTAGACTGTCATTTACCAACATCCTGGTAAGGTATTTCGTAAAAACTTGGTAGTTTTATTTTTCGATGTTTGCAAATGTTGTATATTCCCTTTAAGATATTTACGTTCTGAAAAAAAAAATTGGAGAATGAATAACAAACAGTTGTTTTGCTGCCGTTATTTGACATAATTTCATTTTCAATTTCTGTTCTCCAGGAGGCTTGGGCGGCTTGACAGCATCAAAAGCACCGTGAGTTTTTATCCTTTGTGGTATCTTTTTTATTCACCCCATGAAATTTAATCATTACTCTTTGGAGAAAACTAAGTGCAGCATGGAAAATATTACATTCCCTCCCCCTTTTTGTCTAAACCTGCCATTTTAAATTCTCCAACATAGAATGACAATCCTACTTAGGGTTCCCACAGTCCCAGAGAAAGATCCTGAAAATACTGAAATTCAAAGCTATCAATAAAAGTCATGGGAAATGTTATTTTACATGGAGTCACAAAAAGTTGATATGACAAGAAACACAGTGCTACCATCAAATTATCAGTTTTTGATGAAATACCTGAAACCACCAAAGACGAATTTCAACACTTGAATGGACATGCAGCCTTTTGCTGAAGATAATTTGAGTTGATTATTTGTACTGCTTTTTGACAGGTAATTGTTTCAGTCCATGAAAAAATTACCACCATTGGAAAAACTGCTAATGTGACGGATGCAAAGTGGGCCCCGAAATTGTGTTTCTTGTCATATGCCAAGATATAAGTTGTATCCGGTATAAGTTGCAGGATTCTGAACAACTTCCCCGCAATCTTCCCGCAAGTTAAATTATCAGTATTGGTGAGCCCAGCAGTTGCTGATGAAACTTTCCCAAGAACAAGTCCAGGACAAATGCAGAGCTTCTTCCCAGACAAAGTGAATGATTCTACCCGCAACTTGTCCGGAACTCGTCCAGGATATGAATTGCGACTGCTCTAACCTGAAATATTATTGTCCCACAGAACCACAACCACCACGACCACCACCGCCGCCCCTTCAACCCAGGGCCCGACCCTCAGCTATCACCAGCTGGAGCAGGCCATCAACAAGTGGACAGTCCAGCTGGAGGACCAGGAGAAGATCTTCCTGACCCAGGCTACTCAGGTCAACGCTTGGGACCGGATACTCATCCATAACGGGGAGATGGTGAGTAGCCCTATCATCAGAAAATTGGGGAGGGGGATTGCAGTTGGGGTTGCACAAGAGTAAAGTAAAGTCTGTCAGTAGCCGGTATGGGCTCCGTGCGCCAACAAAAGAGGGCGCTCTTTTACCTAGCAACGACGTCCCATGGGCGGGACATTAAGCTGGTTGACGCGCACCGTTCCTTGTGTGCGAAGCACGTACACCAGGGGATTTGTACTATGTACACGCAGTGGTACGGCCGCGCGTTGCGGCAAAATTGCAGTCAGGCAAGATGGCGTCGGTCGGTCACCCCCAACTGTACTTGCTTTGCCGGTGAGGGGGTACTTGTGAACGGAGCGGATGGCCCATCAGGCCAGCGTTTACCTCTGGTTTCGTTGGCATAAAAGGACTGAGAATATTTCTATTTTTCCTGGATGAGATGCCAGTCCATCGCAGGTTACTCCCCAGCTAATGCCTGTACACATTTATGCTCCTGGGTGGAGAGAGGCAAGTTGGGGTGAAGTGGCTTGCCCAAGGACACAACATATGACCAGCAGCTGGATTCTAGCTGGAATCATTTACCTCCGGTTTCTTTGGCGTGAAACGACTGAGAAATTTCTATATAATTCCCCCTGGATGGGATGCCAGTCCATCGCAGGTTACTCCCCAGCTAATGCCGGTACCCATTTATGCTCCTCGGTGGAGAGAGGCAAGTTGGGGTGAAGTGGCTTGCCCAAGAACACGACATATGACCAGCAGCTGAATTCTAGCTGGATCCGTTTACCTCCGGTTTCTTTGGCATGAAATGACCGAAATATTTTTTTATTTCCCATACATGGGATTCCAGTCCATCGCAGGCTACTCCCCGTCTAATGCCAGTGCCCATTTATACTCCTGGGTGAAGAGAGAGGCAAGTTGGGGTAAAGTGGCTGGCCCAAGGACACAACATGTGAGCAGCTGCTGGATTTGAGTCCCTGACCCTCTGATCATAGGTCACGAACCCTAACCACTGGCCCCCACACAAGGTCAAACCCCCCCCCCTCCCACAACTTGCACAAGAGAGCATGAAAAACTCTTAAACTTCATGTTGGTTGTGAATAAGATTGCCTTTTAAAGGGGAATTTGTTTTTGGTCTAAATCTGATGTCAATTCAAATAATTGACGTCGTATTTGTATCCACATTAGATCACAACCCTTCACAGTGACCTGGAGAAGGTGAAGACAGACCAACAGAGGTAAGAATAGCAAATGTTACTCCACTGATAGAGTGACAATTCAAAATTGTTTGACAAAGACAGAGAGATAGACATTCACTTCGTCCGTCACACACAGGTTTTTTATGGCACATTTAGATGAAAATTAGTGTTTTTGTACTCTGCTCCATATGTGTACGTGCACTACATACATCCAAAGGACAGACAGACAAAGGGAGAACAACAGATTCTTTGTTGTCCTCGAGAGTTCATCTTTTCTTGAAAAGGTCCTCGATCATGCGTTTGTGTGCTTAGTCTATGGGAGAGTGTTATATTGCAGGGACAAAGGAAAAGACAATGCCTTGTCCTAGAGAGTTATGTAGTGCATGACTGTGTGCGCAAACTGGTGTGCTGAGGCATTGTGTTCTACACTGGGAACTGACACAAGTGTTCACAACGCACCATCTTTTTTTTTTTTTTTTTGGCAGGTTGGAGCATGAGTTGGACTTTATCATGGCCCAGCAGCGTGAGCTAGAGGACATGCTGGTACCCCTGGAGGATGCCGTCCGCACCCAGCAGCAAGGCACCGTCTACTCGCAACACGCCGACTCGGAGAGGGAAAGGACGTAAGTCCAAACTGTTTAAACCCAGGCCTACCTGGAGTGTCATGGCCTAGCGGATCAAGCACCGGACTCGTGCTCTGGTGTTTCAGAGGCAGCAGAATGTGGGTTTGGGCCCGGGTCTGGACACTTGTGCCCTTAAGCAAGGCACTTAATCATTATTGCTTCGTCCTTCGGATGGGACGTAAAGCGGTAGGTCCCGTGTGTTGTGTAATGTAATGCACGTAACAGAACTCAGTTACTCTTATCACTAAGAGAAGGGGTTTGCCCTGGTGTTTCTGGCCTCCTGCTAAAACTCTCCTGTGGAGTATTTAGGAGAAGAACTAACCAAGAACCAAGTAGTGCAAGTACCAAGTACCTAATCATGATGGTCATTGTCTTACTTCATCATTTCTGGCTCCTAGCCCACAAATTTTCGAAAGTCTCCTCAAAACACACGTGTTCGCTCGATCTCTTACGTTTTTGGGTTTTTCGTTTTCCCTTGCCATTTTTCTCTTTTAGTGTAATTGTTTGTGTTTGTTATTTTTTGTAATCTTGTAAGCGCATTGATCATTAAATTGGATCTGCGCTATATAAGCACCGGTATTATTTATCAGGAACTGATACAAGTGATTGACAGTGGACTTCCAGCATGAGCAATAGAGGGCGCTTCGTCACCACGCATGAGTGCTCCAGTGTGATGGACTCGACTACAACGTTGGCAGCAAATGCCTCTAGAAATTATAAAATGACATTCAATGATATTTTTTGTAAGATGGAATTTGCTTCGGAGTGATGTAAATTCAATATTAGAAAACTTGCAAGAACAAATATGAAAAGTTTCATTGCGGTACCCGCTGCCACATCAGATTCAAACCAGCCAGCCGATCCCGGCAAGCTTGGTGGTAAGATGGCTGCACTAGAAAAGCAGGAGGTCGTGGGTTCGCGTCCCACCCGAGTGACTTTTTTCTAACTTTTACTCGGGAGGTAACACACTGGGTATACAGTGTTTATACATCGGGGAAGGGCAAAACCTAATATTGGATATTCTCTGTGTTTTTTTTTCCACGTTTTTTTTTCTTCACTTTTTGAACCAGGTACGTCTTAGCTGAGAACATCGACGGTCAGATGAAGAGGATGGTCCAAGACCTAAGAGAAATCATCGAGCATCTCAACACGGCCAACGCGCCTCAAGACACCAATGATCCAGTAAGTTATCGCTCTGTTTTTCTCCCGAAAACCAAGGATTCCTTGACCTACACAAGTACCACAAGTTTCTTTAAAATGCATTGTTCACACAATTTTTTTGTGATTTTTATTCATTTTTGTTTTTTACATTCTTAAATTTTGCAATTTGTGTGAATTTTTCTTTGCTTCATCAGATCACACAAATTGGCAAGATCTTAAATGCTCACATGGATTCTCTTCAGTGGATTGACCAGAACACAGGTATTGAACAAGATATTGTAAAGGGCCATTGTATTTGGGATGTTTCATTTGCCCAATGAGCAGGGTAATAATGATGTAGCGCCTTGCATGAGCACCAAGACTGCTGGATGTGTGTGCTGTACAAATACACATTATTATTCAGTATTTTGGGGGGTGGGGGGGGGGGGGGGGTAGGGGGACAAATAGGGCAGAGATATTTTTCTGAAGTCCTTTTCAGGATAGGGAATTTTGAAATAATTATGGTATCCGCTCCGTTCACAAGTACCCCCTCACCGGCAAAGCAAGTACAGTTGGGGGTGACCAACCGACGCATCTTGCCTGACTGCAATTCATTGCCGCGCGGCGCGGCCACTGTGTGTGCATAGTACAAATTCCCTGGTGTACGTGCGTCACACACAAGGAACGGTGCATGCGCGTCAACCAGCGAAATGTCCCACCCATGGGACGTCGTTGCTAGGTAAAAGGGCGCCCTCTTTCGTCAGCACACAGGGCCCATAGTGATTTGTTGTAAGAATATATGACATATCTCTCAAGTTCGTTTAGGAATTTGCTTTGAGTGCAAGTCGTGTTCCATGTAAATTATTTTATAATTTGAATTTTTTTTATTATTATTAGTATTTTTGTTTTTGTATTAATTTATTTTTTGCGTTAGTCATGCTGCAGCGGAAAGTGGATGAGGTGACTAAACAAAGTGAGATCGTCCGACGAGACCAGGAGAAGAATGTCCACCTGGCGTTTGACTGACCGGCGCCACTAGAGGGCGCTGTAACATCAAAAGTGACAATGACTCGCACAATACCCTGCATCTTGCATTTTAGCTGACTGACTCTGGTTATAAAAAATACGGAGGACGAAAAGTGTGCGTCTGCTTTTCTGCTGTCAGAATAGCAAAATTTACCTTTTAATAAAATCTACTTTTTTTGCTTTTCTGCTACCTGAAAAAGGAGGTTTTACTTTTCCTCCTTTGTTTGTGGACGAAAATTGGACCTCCACTGAAAAAGGAAAACCTTTGTTCCAAACGTTCAGTCAGCTTTTCTGCTATTTTGGCAGCAGAGAAGCAGATGTCCACTTTTCGTCCTCCGTTAAATTTTGACTCTTCAGGTCACTGGAGCTTTCACAAATAATCAGAGGCAAAGAAGTTTTATTGCCTAATACAGATAAGACTGGTGGTGGATTGACTGCAAGACAGTCATTAAGATGTATTTTTCCACTAGGGGGCGCTATTCATTCAAAAAGCCCAGAGCCGTATATAGAGGGAGTTGCAACAACTTCAGACTGTTGAACCATAATGGCCGTTCATTATGTGTACAGTGCAACGTGCGACTATTGTGTACGAATTATATATGTGCACTGATGCACAATCCGCCATTTTGGTTCCAAACAGTGTGACCCTTATGTCGCAACTCTCTCTACATGTATATACGGCTCTGGAAAAGTGTATGGTTGCAGGCCAGTTAATAAAGCCAAAGTTGCCTACTCTGGCCAAATCATGATTTGCATGCCCTCAAATTCTCTGCTATTAGAGCATTTTGTGGGCCATGAGCTTTAGGGTTTGTGAACGAGAGGGTTGGAAGCCATGAACAGGATTTCAAGCTTGTGTTTTTGTGAAATTTGGATGAAATTTGGCCCAACAATTGCTCTGTTTTGCAATGGAGTGTAGGCATCATTTTTCAAAAGGGCGATTTTTCAGGACTGTTTTTAGGGCTAGGGGTGATCATCATCTTTGGATGGAAATTTCTCCCAAAAGTCATCAGATTACCCCCAAAAATTGAAGAGAAAGTAAAAGATGATGACACAAGGTTTAATTAATGTGCGTCTCAAACACCTTGGAGAGTTGCGAGTATTTTTCCTGATTTTTGAAAGTGGGGGTTATTTATCACTGGGGTCTGTGGCAGTTTTATTTACTGGTCTGCAACACTAGAGGGCGCTCTTCACGGAGGCCAGTTGACTGTAGCTAGCCACGCATGTTTGACTTTGGCAAAAATACATACTTTTATTATAAAAGACGGTTATGTTCACCAGAATGTTTCGGGGAAGTGAGGAAAACACTTCCAGCAAAGTTTTTTAAGGGGACTGGTCCTTCGATTAGTGGTTACAAAATTTATACTTGATCTACTATATGCTAAGAAAATTTTCTAGGGCACTTATATAATGGTCAACATTATTTTTGAGGTTTTTGTACATGGGTAGCCAATATGTACCTATTAAAAGTATGAAATAAGGTAAATTTTATTCCTTTCAGCATTGATTTCTTGTATTCAGATTTCAGTTTGTTCATGGCTCTGAGAATTCGCTGGGGATAATGACCTCCGAAGTGGATCCCTCTTTGTTTATTGCAAATTGACATCAGAGAATGTTGCAGCAGGGACAGATCCGAGGTTTGGCTGTGGGGGTGGGGGGGGGGGGGGGGGGGGGTAGCAGGCAAGTGGGGCACCTTCCGTCGGTGTGAAAGTGGAGGAAAAGAATATGGTCCCATTCATTTCGCTATAAACCTATATGACGAGGAACTAATTATGAATACGTTGTCCATCTTGCTCTTTGTGCTCTTGGAGTTTACACCGCGCAATGAGAGACAACATTGAATGAGGGCCAGGGCGTTGGGGGCCAAGCGAGATTTGGCCAGGATTGTAGTTATGTACAGATACCTTTTTATCGCGAGAGGGGCACTGTTGCTTTTGATGACCAGTTCAGTGACCATTTTATTCGCGTGAAAAGCACTATTATTTTTTAGGGGCCCAATTTTAATGTTGCGAGCGGGGCACTAATTGTGCTTTCGAGGGGCAATTTTTCCATCCCGAGAAGTTATCGCGAGAGGAGCACTAGGCTTGTCCCGACTTTTAACAAAAAATTGCTTGTATTTTTGGAGTTTTTGTATCACGGTCCCAAATCGTGTAGCCTAAGTATATATTTTTGTCGACCTTGAGACTTTGCTGGTTAAGCTGGCTATAAAGAGATGTTCAAAATTTAGAAAAGAAAAATCGAAAAGTCATTACAGGCCTATACAATTTCCTCCCAAATTGAACAGATGGCGAAAGATGGGAAATATCCAGATTTAATCAGTTGTTTCTTGAACAACAGATAGGTGTAAACTTGTATTTTCCTGAAATCCAGTTGGGCAAGGGCCAACTTATATTTCTCCTCGATGTGATTATGATACATTCCACACAACTTGACCATTTACGATCTGACAAACTGCAGATGCAAAACTATGGACGGGCGTCGACAGGACTGTCGGCTGCAGATCCCCGCCGGAAGAAACCAGCCAAGCTCCCGTGGGGAAAGATGTCAACACGCGGCACAGTCAAGTCTGATCGGTAACCGCCGTGTTGCAGACAATGCTGTCTCCCCGTAAAATCATCGGGGCCGTAATCACAAGTCCGACGACTCATAAGTCCGACGCCTCATAAGTCCGAAATTTCGGTCTTATGAGGTGTCGGACCTATATGAAGCGTCGGACTTCATAATGAGCGGACCCCAAATCATCTCCATGTACTGAGGAATGAAAATGTAGCATAATGGGCAAAAACTTCACCTAACTTCTTTGTTTTGTTTTTTAAAGGACATTTAACCCTTTCCAACGTCTACCTTTTCACCCCAAACCGACTAATTAGTTGAAAGACTTCGGAGTGTATCAGAGAAGGCATTTAGAGTTGAAAAATTCGTGGAAGCACGCCCGGCTTGGGTTGGATTCAACCATGGCTCAATGTGGTCATGGTCGAGCGTGCATGTGACATGATGATTGTAAAGGAGCGGCATCGTCTGAGGAGTTCGTCCAAAATGTTACAACTTTGTTTGATCTTTGCGTCTTGCGCCGCCCTTTTTAGTACGCCGCCTTGTAAAACATTCTTAATCCTTCTGCTGTTGTGTGCTTGCCGACTCGTGTGCTTTTGTTGGCCCAAAACCGAAGACCGCAAAAAGGTGTGAATGACCAGTGATGTTGTTTCCAGTGTTCGCTGATGATGGGAAGAAACAAAAGAATTGTAGGACAAGGAGGTTGGGGTTATGCCAAGAGGACAATTATGAACAAAATATTGAGAGGAAGATTCTGTTTTTGACCGTCCGACCCGGAGGTTTGAAAGTTGGTAGCAAAATAATATGGAACCAACACATCCGCTGTCGTTCATTGTTGACCATTTTTGGAGGGTCATACACAGTTTTTTGTGGTCTGTGGCATGTTTTCAAGACTTATCATTTGCCTGAAATAAAAAGTCCATCATTATTTTTTTCAAATTTCAAAATAATATTCAAACTCAAAGCCACAATTCTTCAAACAGAGTTGCACGGATTGTACGTGACAGAAACCCCTCACGCACTGTCCGCGCGATGGCCCCGCCAAAAACATGAAGATGTTTTGAACTTGTCCGGAAGACACAGATGTTCTTTCAAGTTCCCCGCACCTCTCAAAGTAAAATGGCTTGACGAAATACGAGTTATCCTTCTAGCTTTGTGTCGCCGCATCTAATTAGGAAAAAAATACCTAGGATTAGGAACGTCCAATTAATGCGGCAGATCACAAAGCCCGTGATTTTCGTATGACTTGGTGGGGTAGGCCGGTAAAGAAGGTGGATTGCGGCGGGTGGGGTAGGGGATGCCATCGGCGTCAATCGGTGGGGGAAAGTGGAGGAGGATATCATATCATTTGCCCCCCCCCCCCCCCATTTTTTTCGTCTCCGAATAAATATTATACATTAGATAACATTTTTATTCGATAGCTCAGAATAGCTGATTCATTTAATCCAATTTTGACAAAGATGTTAAAATGATGAGATTTTGCTAAATAAAATTGGTTAAAGTGGTCAGAAATTACCTCAGATCGCACCACCGGGAATCCAACATTTTCCCGGCCACTCAGTAATTGGAAGGCTTCGCGCTTCGCGCTCGCCTGATTTCTGAGATAATGTCTCCCCCATGCACTTTTGACAAGCGATTGACGCCCTTGGGCAGGCCCGAAGCAATTCTGGTGGAAGGAGTGGTTCCTTAATGTTCAATTAAAACTGGAAAGCTACAAATTCAGTAAACTTTGAGGTGCATGGGTGGTTCGAGCCTGCCTGGACCACCTCACTATATGCCATACGGTGCACTGTGTTTGTGCGCTAGGGCGACTGCTCTATGTTCCGACACCCCTATGCTCCGACACCCCTATGTTCCGACAACCTGCACATAAGATTGTGTTACTCCCGGTTAGGGTTAGGATTAGGGTTAGGGATAGGAATAGGAATATGTGCAGTCGGAACACAGGGGTGTCGGAACATAGGTGTGTAACCGTGCGCTAGCCGATCGTTTGATTCTATGCTTTGTGTGCGCTGAAGCAAAAATACAAAGCTATTCGAGTTTTACTTGCTTTAGTTGCTTCAAAAATTAAATTTCCCCTTTCCCCTGTTCTTTTGACACAAAAACCGCTCGGTACGGTAAATTAACTTCCAAAGGTCATTCCCCCCCCCCAGTCGATCCCTCGTAAGTGTGTCAATTCAGTTCAATTCATTAATAGTTTATTAAAAACATGTCTCGCAGTTGAAAACTGAATAGGCCTACATGTGAATATTTGATCTTTAAAAAATATAAACTAATGTAATGTGTCCCTAAGTTAAAATGAAAAAAAAAATGTAATTTCGGTGGGGAAAAAAGAGCTTGAAAAAACTTCTGAATTCAACTATTTTTGTGCTATTTATCACTCGTTCAAAATATTTTTTTCCCACTCCCCCAAGTTAAAAGAAAGAAAAAAAATTAGACCAGTATTTCAATATGTGAAGAGTTATAGAAATGACCTCTCCCCAATGTCAACGCAAGCTATGTAACAATACTATCCATATCAATTTGATTAATTATGTAATAATCTCTCCATGTTGGGGAAAAAATACAGATAGCACGCATGAATTTGCACACTTAAATCTCAAAGAACAACCAACACAATTTAGAGTCGGCTTTGGCATGATTCTCTTATCAACAATTTGACTTTACTCTCTGCTGGTATAGTTATTATTGAGAAGTTAAATTATTGAGTTAATAAAGAAAACCCAGAGTCATTAAAAAAATTATCGGGCTCCTCCCCTTGGCCGATATTTGGGCAGACATTACACGCAAGGTCGGCTGCAAAGACTGTAAACAAAAATCTTCGGTTTTATCTCTGCAGAACACTTAACCTTATCGCATTTGCAAAATTAAGCCCCGGCCGGCTTTATAAGCGGTTAATCTGCAGATAGCCTCATTACAAGGTATGCATGCAGTTTTTTAAGTTGATATCAGACGAGAACCGAAATTAGAGTTTCTCAATTAAGCAAACTTAAAAAGCCTACAGAAACACATAGGAGGGAATTTCGGTTACACACCGAAAAAAAAGTTTCCCTTTTTTAACTATTGATTTTCATTTTAATTAAAAAAACCTAAACAGCGCGCCGATATTAAATCTGACTGGAACTTTTTTTAGTTTTCATGAACTAGAAACCATTATGTTCGGAGTAACTGCCACAAGAAAATTTAATTGTAAAAGTAAACAATTATTTATGGGACAAAAAAATAAAGTTAAACATAAACTTGAAACTTTGTTGAAGGAGACAAGCGTTGTATCATTCAAGAATGATATTTGGTAGGCATGCAATATTTCCTTTTAAAATGGAGGAAAATAACTCATACGATGTACCACAACAAATAACTTAACACTACAGATATGTGTTCCTGGTTTGAAACCTCGCATCAATAGATTCGGTGATCTCTCTGTAATTATTTTTTTCGAACAAGCAAACTTCCCAGCTAATTGTTTGCCCATCACGCGTCATGTATTGGAGGTAGGTCGACATTTGACCCACTGCATGGCACGCCATAATTACCACGCATCCGATTTGTTGACTTTGTGAGCAGCCGACATCACCGCTTAATCAAAGACAACGCATGCGCAACATCACCGCAAACTGATGACGCCCGGGGCATTTTCATATCGGTTGTAATCAATCGCCGATTGGGAACTTGAGAAAACGCAACGATTTTTCACGCTTTTTCCAAAGCTACTTAATCTTTTTGAGCTTTTTTGGACGAATTCTTCCAACTTTTATCAGAATTTGATATTATTTTGTGGTATAATTGCCTTAAAAGTGTCTAATTGTCAAGAGGCCAAATCAGTTTCGATAGATCGATGCTTCGGTTTTTGTGTAATCGATAGGTTTATATTTAGCACGCGCATTGTATTTTATCAGATTAATCAGATAACGTGCTAGCTAGCTGTTGTTGGCAAGGTACGAGATCGCACGCATGGAGAGACGAAACCGGCTGGCGTAATTATCCAAACCAACAAGATATGAAGTGATTCTATTTTTCAGATCAGTCCTTGGCCAGCCGGGAGCCCAACCAACCCATCATTGAATCAAAGAACAAAACAGTAATCATGGAAAATTCTACAGGCAAGCCAGCGCCCGAGGGCATCGCCGGGGCCCGCAACGAGGCGGCCCTGCTGGCCCTCATGGAGAAGACCGGGTACGACATCGTACAGGAGAACGGCCAGCGTAAATACGGCGGGCCCTGCCCCGGCTGGGAGGGCCAGCCGCCCTGCCGAGGCTGCGAGGTCTTCGTGGGCAAGATTCCCCGTGACCTCTTCGAGGACGAGCTGGTGCCGGTCTTCTTGAAGGTGGGCAAGATCTACGAGCTCCGGCTCATGATGGACTTCAGCGGGAACAACCGTGGCTACGCCTTCGTCATGTACACTAATCGGGAGGACGGCAAGAAGGCCGTCAAACAGCTGAATAATTACGAAATTCGCAAGGGCCGCTACCTGGGCGTCTGCCCCAGCGTCGACAACTGCCGGCTGTTCGTGGGCGGCATCCCCAAGAACAAGAAGAAGGAGGAAATCCTCAGTGAAATGGCTAAAGTCACTGAGAGCGTGGTCGATGTGATCGTGTATCCATCGGCCACGGACAAGACCAAGAACAGGGGCTTCGCCTTCGTCGAGTTCGAGAACCACCGGGCGGCAGCCATGGCAAGGCGGAAACTAATTCCGGGAAGGATCCAGCTATGGGGACACCAGATCATGGTTGACTGGGCAGAACCGGAGCGAGACGTCGACGAAGACATCATGAAGACGGTAAATTTATCTCATAGTTATTTGGCAGACCTAAATATTGTGTTGAAAATTTTACCTGTGCGTCCATGTTTTGTTTTTAAGAAGGAAAAAGCCTAGGCCTACATTTTATTTGAACATGTGAAACTAGTGAAGCTTAAATCAGCTTACTTCACAAAATTTGGAGCGTATTTTTCTCACAGGCCTACCCCAAATTCCCCCCAATCATGTTGTTAACGAATTACAAAAATATGACTCGAAACTGTAGTATTGTAATGTTGATCACCATGTGATGAGATGACATGTTTCAAATGAATAATTTGAATCGAATGGCTGTTTTAGAATTTCTAATAAATATTTTTCAAATGTCTTGAATTTTGATGTTTTTTCCTGTTTAGTCTAGACCATGACAAAAGTGTTCACTATGTAACAAGCCAGCTGTGTTCTATTCTTTCCAGGGTACAGAATGAAGAACGCTGAATTTCAATTGTAAAATTTAAAAATGTAAAATTTCAAAACTCTGAAATGAGTTAATAATTGCTTGTGGTTTATCACACTAAACTTAAAACTTGTGACGCAACTTTTTTCATCATATATTATCTCAATGAAGGTCAGTCATTGCAAAAATGTTGAAAAGTCATGAATCTGGGACTAAAGAGGAAGAAACATTTCCAATTTGGTTAGAAAACACTTTTGAAACTGTACTCAACTCTCCATAGACTTTGTGCACAACCAAAGAAGTGGCCTCTGATACTGTACATACTTTCCCAACGTAACTTGTAATAAAACAACAATATTTAACTTTTCAGACCAAACTGAACTTGAAGATTTTTCCCAAAAGACCATAGTTCGAGACAACTATAAACATTAGGACCCTTCCTCATCATGTTTTGAAGCAGTGAAGGTCCAGTGAATTGTAATATGATGCGACACAGTTGAAGAGACACTTCTTGAAAATATTTTCACTTTTCCCTTGACCTGTAACCACAGAGCAAAGAACTGATCAATGTTTTGGATGGCTTTTTTTCTCTCTAAAAAATGGAGCTCAGTTCAATTTCGTTATCAAAACCAAAGTTGATCCCAAAGGGGAGAGATCAGTCTAGTTGTTTGTGGTTTGGAAGACGGATGTTTAGCAAATGGGATGGATTTTGCACAAGATTTCATTTTCCAATGTAACACAAGTCATCCAAACAAAATGGTGATTTTTTCCCACGATACAGCATGGTCGGGATTTTGAACCCGATTTTTGGAACGAATGTAGTATCCAGATGCTATGTTGTGTACAGAGTATATGGAGAGTCAAGACAATTTTCAAAGTATTTCCTAACCAAATTGGAAATATTTCTGAGTCCCAGATTCACGTCTTTTTAACATTTTTGCAATGACTGAGCTTCATTGAGATGATAGATGACGGAAAAAATGGCATCAGGATGCGACATTCTTTCCCAATTTTTAAAAGTTCGCATACACTGCTAAATCTCTGCACAATCATTTTCATTCCATTTTCTTGTACCCCTCATAACTAAGCTTCAATAGGTCATATTTTACATTTTTTAAAAATAATATCTCAATACAGGCTGTTTCTGCCTACTGAGGTCACTTAAAGGGAAAATACAACATTTGCAAACGTCAAAAAATAAAACTACCAAATCATTTTGAAATACCTTGCTGGACTGTTAGTGAATGACAGTGTAAAGCATCCTGTAAAATCATGGCACCTGGTATACTGTCATTTTCAAGAAAAGTGGTATTTTTGTATCAATTTCCAACGCTGATCGGCCGATCAGCGTTGGAAAAAACTGGCTTTTTTTCAAATACTGGCCCCAATTGACCATCGCACTTGTTTGCAATCAATTACAAACCTATGAACGGGTACGAGCCAGCTAGACTGGTTCCCTGACCTTACAATTCCCCAATGTATGTAAACTGCTCAGTTTCTTCTTATATGGAGTCAGGGAACCAGACTACAGGAAAATGATTGTTTTTCTTGGTTTTTATAGCATTTTCGAACCCAAAACCTCAAAAAAGTCAGTGTAACTATATTTGCTATATATTTCCAACCCCCCAATTCCATCCATTTCTGAAAATTACAGCAAAAGCAAATGATGTATATTCCCTTTAAAGTTATAGTCCATCATTTGTAATTTGTGCATTTTGTTCGTTTGAAGCAACAAAAGTGCTCAAAATCTAAAGAAGGGTACAGAACAACTAACCTGATAAAGTTTCAGCTCGGCTTCAGCTGTATATTCTGAGAAAAACAGCATTCTAGGATCTCAATTTCAAATCAAAAGTTGCTGAATCATGTTTTGAATTGCGCCTGAATTCAGCGTCCGAGACACATTCTCGCTGAGCCGAATGCAGCTACGCGATGTCGCGCACTGATCTGACAAATTATAGCAACCGGGGGTGCGTGTGCGTCGTGCCAATGCTTGCGCGCGCTTCGCCGAATAACAAAACGAACTACTAATTTGGTGCGTCTTAAAAAGCACCGTTGGAAAGGCCTTCTTTCGTTGATTACTTCAAAATGACAGCTTGCCAGAAAGAATAATTTCACAGGGAGTTTAGTCCCCTTACTATCTTTCAACCAAGTATGTTTTTCAACAATAATTATGCCAGCTACTTTTCGGATAGCTGCAAATGATGGACTATAGCTTTAAGGGTTAAAAACCAATTTTATTTATTTAGGAAAATCAGTCAAACACATGCACAGTTTACTCTAATACAAAACCAGTCTGTTTCAAGGTAGAATTCATGGACTTCAGAAAATCTTTCTCGCCAAGACCTCTATCCTGCACCAAACAAAAAGTACATGTACCAACAGCACAAGACAAACATTGTGCAACCTGGCTGCTTGCCCCGCTCTCTTTTTGTCTACAGCTTTTGGGCACCCTCCTTTTCAAATTTGAACAGGGGGGTTATGAACATCTTCATGTGTGCAGAGGTCAGGCCATGTGTTACGAGGAGACCTACTGTACAAATTAATAGGCAGACTGAGGGCTTCCCCCATATTTATTGCATGTTTTATTGCTGGGCGGTGGTGGCTGCCATTTTGTTTTTGTATTTTTTTGCCCAACACATGCGTGTGAACTTGTACATTACAAAATTTGTTGCTTTGTGAGCTTATTGTGCGTGCTAGTAGTAGGCAAAGTCCGACGACAATAAAATTGTTTTGAGATTCAACAAATGCTTAATTGATTTAAAACGAGCATGCAAACATTTGACTCAATTTGAAAACATAGCCTGTACAATGGACAGCTTTATTCACGAGTCAGCCATGTTAAATCAAAAGCGAGGTAAAAACTTCATTTTTGGAACTTGTGAACAGAAATGAAAGCAATGAAACAAAGTTCATTACAAATTAATACCAGTCTGCTCTGATCATTGATGAGTTACATACATACTTAATGTTTGGTACCCTAATGTTTCAAGCATATTGTAAAAAAAAAAATTGAGGCTTGGAACGCATAAAGAGTCTGGCACCATCCAATTCAACAGCTTAAGGCCTAACATTTATATAATACATTCAGGGAACCAAATCAAAAATGGCTTCCTCCTGATGTGAATAAGGTATATTTGCTCTTGGCACAAGAGAATAATTACATTGCAGGAAAATTGTACAAGTGTTGTACATTTTAACCATATTTTGTCTCCAATAATTTGCCAGCAGTGTCAAAGGCAGAAAAGGCTTTGGTTAAATATCATTCCATCCTTGTATTATAAGTTGTACTAAAATAATTTTCCAATGAAGACAACAGTTCTTTTCGTCTAAATTTAACTCTGCACAAATACGACCACCCAGTTATTGCGACACACCCCCTTGCTGCGATATCAACCAACGAATGGAAAACCTGTCCAGTGCAAAAAAAGGGATGGGGGAAAAAAAGTACACATCATGCATACACGCATGTTAAGCTGTTTACGGACTTGCATCCGTTATCACTCGAAGGACTTTAGTCCTTCGACCCAGGGCTCAGAGATAAAGCCATACATAGGGCTGAGTCATTAAGTAACCAGAAGTTTGTTAAATTTTAAACCAAAAGACAGGAGCTGGCAGAGATTAGTGGATTTATCGCTTGTTTTTTTCCCCTAGACTGATTGTTGGTTGCCATGCCATCCCTCCAATCCTCACTGCGACATGATCCTCGCATCTTTTGGCTAGAATCTCAAACGTCCATTTTTTTTCCCACAAGACCAGTGCAAAAATGACAACTCCAAAAAACAACACAACATTTTCAGTTCACTGCAACCTATTAAAGGGTTGTTAAAAATATCTCTGGCATACATGTACCACTTGTAAACATAATTGGTGAACTTTAATCAAACAGAAATGAAATACCGGTAGGTATAGGCATACATTAAGCAGATCATGCCATAAATTAGGCAATTTTGTAGTTTGAGGTAAAAAAAACATTTGAGAAACATCCTTTTAAGAAAAATATCCACTGCATGTGAACTGAATCGATGGGAACATTTTGAAATTGAAACAAGTGGGGACAGATCCTAAATAAATTTGCAACAAATATCTAGGATGTCTGATACCGGTAGTTTGATGGAAGTTGAATTTATAATTTCAACTATTTTGGTTGTTTCCAAATGTGACTTCACTTCTTGAATTCTGATCAAAATTCACCAATTCGCTACTGTTGAAATTTGTTCTTCTACGGTGATTGGAGAATAAAAAACTGTAAAATGTTAGTTTTAAATACTTGGTATACAGTCTGATACTGCATCACGGATTTAGTTCCGTGGAAATTCCCCTTATACCCCAAAGAATCCATTGGTCTAACCTATTGCATTGTACAATATGGTACCAGGTATGCAATTATGAAATTGAACATTGCAATGAGTCATAATACCATGACTTCAGCACAAATCGCAGGCCTAACCGCTGGACTTGAATGCCACGTGCACTTTACGTGGTCGCTATCAACGGCCTTTCAGGTTTTTTTTTCTTTCGCCCAGAGACCCTTGGACCCAGCACTGTGTAACCGTGTATTTATTAACCTGTGCGTGCTTTGAAACGA